GTAAGCAGCAAGAGAGGAATTACAAACGTACTTAGCGACATTGTTTTACCTGAAAACAAAGAGAAACTGTTAACTGTTGTCTTGTCCCTTCTAACTCTGAGGCATAACTAACCAAACTGATTTAACCCCGCATAGTGAAACTGAATCAACAGCGCGTTTGTTTGACATATTGGCATTGTCTTAAGATGGTTTTCCACTAGGCTGAATTCTTTAATTTTTCAGTCACACTTTACAATTTGATTTTCTTCTCAATTGTAAAAATTCGACAGTTGTGGATTCGATTGACCATATACATAATTGAAAGGAAAATCAAGCAAAAAATCTCGTTGGATTAAAAAATTGAGCTAGTGGAAAGCCTTAAGACTTTTGTAACACGAATATCTGACGTCATACCTTGGAACATGTACCTAAACTTCCTTGCAGTTTAGATCAAGCCGATTAACTGACTGGTTACATCTATCAAACTTCAAATTCAGCGGGACTTGGATTTCTATAAATGAAGACAATTAATAGAAACTCTACGCAATTCGATCGAAAATTGCATTCAGTTTCAGCTTAAATGAAGCGAGACTATAGTCTTACAGAGCTGCCCAGAACGAACGACATGCATTGACACGTTCAATGGGATTTTTAAAAGTTTAATTGAGCTTTAGCGACTGTAAATATGATCAATATTATGGTATATGGTATATGGGTATAATATGACGATGGTTTAATACGATGTCTGTTGTCAAGTGAACGTCAGACCAATTTTTCAGTAAGGTCTTTCATAGTTTCCAATCATGCTATAGTTCATCGTATCTGTTAAATGTCGTGCATTTAATCGAGGATATCGAGGACATGATGAACAGTGAATGCACAACTGATCAACGATTAAACATTTAGAGGTATAAACAGGGCACATAAAATTCATCATTGACTTTATTAGATAAAATAAGCATTCGTAATCTGCGAATTCAGTTTAGAATTAACTCTTCCTATAGCAATATAAAATGATTGTTGCTTACCAGTAATGCTTATCAGCTAGTACTTCACTGATTCTTTCAAGTCTTTTGTCATTTCATAACAGGGAAAAGACTTTTGCTGAACCAAAGTGTACATAAGGAAGTCCGGTAATTGTACCTATAATAAAGGTTCTCCGGTTTGAATAATTTTTTTACTTCATGGTCACGAATAAAGGCAGCAAAAAATATTATTTAACTCCTGCTGGCTGTTGTTGTTTTAAATTCTTCATACGCCATAAGGGGGAATTTTAGTCGTTCTTGAGTCAGCGGTTCCCATGCTTTTTTTACCGAATCCCGATTTTATAGTCGAACTATTTGTGATGTTATGGAGTTTATTGCGCGAGACAAAATGAAAATACTGATTTGCGTTTCCCCTTAGTTAAACTTAAAGTTTCAGTCTCACTATGAAACATATTTCTGACCTTCAGTAATATCTGGTCTGCAGGTATAAAACAGATGAACCGTCGAAATGGATCAAAATGAAACGTTTGCACGGATGTGAATCGAGGATTGCGAGTTTTAGTGTAGACAGTCTCACTGCAGGGATTTTCATAAGAATGTCACTATAGTAATATTTTCACAAATTTAACAAAGTGAAAGACAAAAATATATTTTAGCTATCGTAACATTAGCGCATTTTTGCACGTCTGTCAAAAATGACCAAAGGCAAAGGACCAACTAACTTACCCCACTCCTAAACCAGAACAGTTTTCTTGTTTTCAAAGTTAGTGGTGGGTAAAAGTGAATAATTATTACGGTTACAGTCTATCAAGGTCAGATATGCCAACAGTGTGATCAGTGTGAATCTAAAATTAGTTCAGTGATGATTACACATGGTTTAAAGTGGAAACAAGCTTCATAAAGCGTTTTAAATTTTCCTTTTAACGCTGTATATATAATATATTTACCTGTTCGAGATTTCCCTGCGATGGAGTCTTGCCATGTGAATTTAGCTACATTCTATCAGGTTGCAATTACATCAATTATATAGTCTGATCATAACATAACCTTTCCTTGGTGTATCATTACCGCTTTATAAAACATCAACATTCAACAACCGTTTAGATTTGTCATTTGAAGTACAAACCATAGTTTACCTGGCCCATGGCGGTACCTTCTGCCGAGGTGTAGGGGGTGTATTACTCCCGTAATGCCTTGTTTGCATTTAGTCGTTAGTGTCATTAAGGCCTGGTTCACACTACCTCCTAAGAATCGGGGATGTATGATTTTCCGATAGACAAAGCATTTTGCACACTAGTGACCTTACACAAAAGGAATCGCAGATTATTACGACAAGTGTGAACCAGACTTGAACCCTGTAAATTGCCTTTTAGGGGCCTAAATTTAGCAAGAACTTCGGTTTAATAAAGAAAACAACAAACATTTTTAGTTTGCAGCCGTTTTCATTCTGATATTTTCCTGATCTCCCGGCACTTTCGCACTTCGCATCTCCCAGAGTTCACCCCCTCCCCAGCAGCGCTGGGGGCATTTCGAAGTACGACCTACATGAAATTATGTGTTTGACCCAGCCAAATATTTCTAAACAGCCCTCAATTAACTTTCAGTGAGCACGCGGCCCTGACCAAACACTGAATTAGTAACGCTCTGAAAAGTGGGTATTAGTAAACCACACTAAATTTAGTGTAAGTAGAATATTTTCCCTTTTCAGCACGCCAAGGAATGTTACAGGAACCCTGTAACATTGTATAGAGCCACACTTTTTAAGTGTTGCGCTACCCTCAAACGCAGGGGCGCCGCAACCACACAGGGCAGCCCCGTTCCCTTTGCTACCATTTACCATTTTTTTATACCATCATCTACGTATGTAATCATAATTATCATTACGTAATCATAATGTAATCATTATATCGTAATCATAATATTATTGAAAATGCGTTCTCCCGTGGATTTGCAAGTTCGCATGTATTTGCAAATATGAGTTTCCTCTTCGTGTGGTTGCTAAGGTAAAATGAATGTGCCCAGCGCCTCTGCTCAAATGCATTCCGCATAACACTTAATTTGTGTTATCCTGCACCTTTCTGGTGTAGCATAACACTGCGAGATTTACAGTGAGAAAAAAAAACGATGACAACAGAGGTTATTAATGTGGTGAACAGATAATGGTCCTTTATGATAGGTTCGTAGTATGTGCACTTACCAACGCAAACGACTCCATTCCAATAAAAGCCAAGTTTACAAGAACAGTTGAAACTACCAGGATTGTTTGTACACTGAGCGTTATCATCACAATTGTCTGTTTGTTCTGCACACTCGTCAATGTCTAAATAAATATCGATTAATCCAAAATTTAAAAGAACCTTTTGCCTGCCATGATTGCAAACATTTTTAACATTCACTCTCACTACTGACATGTTGCGAAGTGCTTGGTATTGTTATACCATTTGCAATTGCATGATATCATATATATTCTCCCATCACAACATCAGTTTAATGAACATATCTTAGGCCTACTCACCTACACAAGTCCTTCCGTCTCCACGGTAACCATCGTTGCAAGTACAAGTGTATGATCCCTTGACATTGAAACAACGTCCATTTTGTCTATCACAGAGTTCAGTACCCTGTGCGCACTCGTCAATATCTGTGTGAAATACATACATCACATTTCAATTTTATTTCAAGTTAAGCTACATATTAAATTGAGACTTTTCATCAATTGGGACTTTTTGCAATTGGATAATTGTAAAATGTCCTTCATGTACATTTCATGCACCGAAGTCTTTTTACGCAAGCCTTTAAAATAAATATCCTAGTTTGACATTTCTATTTTCATCGGCTTGGATAAAACCATGACTTGTATATACCTGCACATACAAGACCGTCTCCTGTAAAACCTGGTCGACAAGCACAAAGGAATGACCCTTCTGTATTGGTACATGTCGCATTCAAATGACAATTGTCTAAATCGAGCTGACATTCATCAATATCTATGAAAAAATAGAAAGAAAGAAGGGCATCAGTTTTTTATATTTTCTCATTTGCACAGCGACTATGCAAACACGAAATGTGTCAAAACACTTATCAACACAATTCCCCCTAAAGATGTAGACTCTTGAAAACGTTATTTCCCATATTTTGGGCTGAATTTTTTCCCCCTGCTATCTATTGCAGGATTATGCTGAAAATATCCTCCATACTGCTTTTGTTGCCTCTTTCAATAAGACCATTAAATACAAATGTTTTTACGGAAATATAATAGTAAACAGATATCTTCACACAGAATTCAACATATTTAACAGCATTTAAGTGTAAACATTGTTTCGCTGAAAAACCTACCTGTGCAAGTTCTTCCGTCTCCAGAATAACCTGTCTTACACTGACACGTGAATGACCCAATAGTGTTAAGACAGTTAGCATTCGTGCTGCAATCATCAGTCTGTGATACGCATTCATCAATATCTACATAATATTGAATAAATAATTATATACTGATTGAATTTATGGGAAAGAGACACATTATATTCAATCACAGCATTGGAATGACAAGAAGGACGAAAAAGAGGTAGTAACAGAATAAAAAAATACTCAATAAAATAAATATTTCAGAGTATGTGACTTCATTTCAATCAATGATTTGCGTGGGGTCCAGGATGAATGTTTGATTATGTTTCGATGCCTATGCTGAAACAGAAGTGTGCAAATGCCAACACTTCCTGTGGACTTACCGTGGTTACTATACATTGATTTTGAGTTGACACTCAATGGAATCTACTTAATGAATGAAATGGACCATTTTTTGGTTTTTCACAGTTTACAAAAGAGTACATACCATCACATGCGATCTCACCATTACCAGTGTAACCTTTCCGACATGCGCATGAGTATGATCCCACACAAATAGCGTCAACATGACACAGCTGAGAGGGACAGAAGACTGAAAAAGAATTGAAGGAACAGCTTTAAATCCTTCAAAAATACTTTTTACAGTAAATACCTGTCCCAAACGTTTAAATAATCGTCATCCTCTTAATAGCCTTATAGCCAATTTGCTTTTGTGCGTATAACGCGGTATAACGAAAGAGAAAAGGACGTACCGGCACAGCTGAAACCATCTCCTGTGTAACCAGGTCTACATTTACAGCGGAAAGATCCTTCAGTATCGATGCAATTAGCAAGTTGGTGGCATGGATTTTGCAAGCATTCATTGATATCTTGAAAAGAAAAACAAGATTCAAAGATTAGATATATCATTGGTGCATTAAAGGTATTTTGAAATAAAGTTGAGATAGTTGGTAAAGCTCAAGTATAGTTTGGTGCGATTATGCTGTTTAGTTATGGTTTAGTGAAGATTGTTACCATCGGCTATTGTATGTACTCTCTTCGACTTGGAAGCAATTACCCATCCCCGTCACTTTGACATTGACTAAATATATCACACTTGTATATGAAAAAGATGTTAACGATCACTTACTGACACAAGTGAGACCATCACCGCTGTAGCCTTGCTCGCAACCACATGAATACGAGCCAGGGGTATTATTGCAGTTAGCGTTCACGTGGCAGCTGACAGTCAAACATTCGTCAATATCTGAGAACAATGAATGGCGAAAGGCGTTAAAATACGCGTTTTTATTACTAAGACAAATATATGCAGGTGGTGCAAAATAACGATTGTGTAACAATGACATATAGGATGAGATAACAAGGAGGTAGTGGAGATGAAATGAGTACATATCCAAAGATGCTCCACGGGTGGGTGGCGGTTGGCGGTAAATACGGCAGGGACGAAATGTGTTAAACGTAGGAAAACAAAAAATTCAAATTTGATAGGCCTGGGGCCGGTTGTTGGAAAGGCATTTAGCTTAAACGGTGGATGAGCCAAAATTTAAAAATATTCTCATAGATATTGTGACTGGACCTACATCTTATGCATTTAATATGTACTTCCGTTGACAATCAAGCTATTTACATCGAAATATTTCAGTTCGGTTGTTGAATAAATTCAATGGTGATTTTGTTTTCCATTTTTAACTTATCCACCGTTTAAGCTAAATGCCTTTCGAACAACCGGCTCCTGGGTTAAACGTCGTATTTTGGTCACGTCGATTGAATGCAATTCGCACAATAGATAATGGATGATAATGAAGCTTATTGAGGTTTATCATCTCATCTACTGTTTGAATTGCATTCAACGCGACAAAAATGCGACGTTTAACATAGGCCATAGTGAAATTGAACTTTCTTTGTTTTCTGTCATGGATTCAAACATCAAGGACAGGAAACATGCATAAAAAAGAACAGGACAGGATACAAAATATATCGTGTCGAGATGCTCACACAAGACAGCAATGCAATAAGAAGCCGTGCAAGGACACTGGTCGTATTACTAGTTGTCGGGATATCAAATATGTCGTTGCTTGCCTGTACATATTAGACCATCGCCAGAGAAACCAGGCTTGCATTTGCATTCATAACTTCCAACCTTATTAGTACAGTCTGCCTGATCGTGACATGGATTGGATACTACGCATTCGTTAATATCTAAATAAAATGACAAGAATATTACCGAATACGGTAAAATGGAGAAATTTTTGCTGGTACATGATAAAAACAAGAATATGGGTCACACATGATAAAAAAGACTAGTACCATCACAAGTGAAACCATCTCCTGAATATCCTGGTCGGCAACTACAGCTGTACGATCCTGGGAAATTACTGCATTCTCCATTTATATTGCAAGGATTATTTAGGCATTCGTCAATGTCTGTATAAATAAAATACGGGTTTATTATTAGTAACTAAAACAGTCCACAACGATAACAAACAGCAACAGATACAATAACATAGTTAACAAAATAACATATTCGAATAGTTCAATTGGAAACATCTCTTCGATAAATTACATACCAATACACTCCTTTCCATTTCTTATGGTATAACCCGTGCCGCACGTACAGAAGTAAGATCCGGGTGTGTTAGTACAGTTTCCTCTCACGTGACATGGTCCACCCAGACATTCATTTATGTCTAAGGAAATTTAAGATTAAAATTTAGAAAGATCCTGGTAGCGTTATTTTACAACAGATGGGACAATATACAGTATAGAGGTCTCAAAATGGCAGTATATACATAGGTAATACATAGGTTTTTCCCGCACTTACCACTGCAGTTTAGACCATTTCCAATCCATCCAGTTGAACAGGTACAGAAGTATGACCCAGCAGTGTTATTACACACAGCTCGTTCATGACATGGTTTGTTGACAATACATTCGTTAATGTCTGCAAAAGGAATATTTTTATACGCAAAATTTAATAGAACACAAAAACAGCAAAGAAATATCTAAGAAATCCTTACAATCTGTTTCACAAAATAGATTCGATGTTCATATATTTCAATGTTCATGCATAAAACAGTATTAATCGTAACTAGTGGAGATTATGTTTTGATTAACATGCATGCATCACTTATTTTCTATTATAAAATGAACGAATGATTTGTTTCTTTACCATTGCAAGTTACTCCGTCACCAAAGAATCCCGTTCTACACTGGCATGTGAACGATCCTGGTTGGTTGTTACATATTCCATAATTTGCATCACATGGTTTGCTGTTACATTCGTTGATGTCTAAAATAAACTTTTACTTTAACTTCACCAAGTTCTGCAAGTTTTTTAGTTAATTGTAGTCAATTTATCACATCGACAGCGATTATTTATATACCTCTACAAAGCTCCCCACTTCCTTCATAACCGGTATTACAGTCACATGTATAAGATCCTTCAGTATTCGTACAAGTAGCCATGGCATGACAAGGATCATCCAAGCATTCATTGATATCTTAACAGACGTAATTCGTTAGAAAGTTAAAAAAATTTTTGACATCCCGAAAGCTGGCCTATAGATTTGTGCAATGCTCAATAAAATTCGAGTGTGCAAGAAAATGAAATATTTTAATAAATTTCTTAAAAGAAAATTGTTAAAACGACGAAACCAGCACATTTAATTCACTTACTGAAACATTTCTAGCTGGATGCTTATCTTATAATTATCATAATTCCTAAAGTACCTCCACAGAAGAAGCCACTTCCGCTGAATCCATCTTTACATGAACATCTAAACGAACCAGGTATGTTTGTGCATTTTCCGTCCGTATGACATGGGCTGTTAAGACATTCATTAATGTCTACAAAGAACAATATGTGAAAATCAGAATTTTGGAGTTTTATACCAAAACGGAAAGAATAAACAATTTCAGTGATATTTCATTTATAGGGACAGAATGGTGCATACCTGTGCAGACAAGTCCAGTTCCATTATAACCAGTATTGCAGGTACATTTGAATGAGCCTTCTGTATTGGCACACACGGCATTACTATCACATGGATTTGAATCACACTCGTTGATATCTATAATACAACAAACATGTCTATGGACACGAGCTACGGACAAGAAAGGGCGCATTATGTATGCATGTCAAACGTCGCAAACGATCTTGGTAGTTCTGGGGATAACGAGAAAAACAGTAAAATGTTGTTAACCAGCGTTGTAATATATGCAGACCAAACTTAAGAGATTAAAATGAAATTAGTCTCCATATTTTGCGATTGACTTCACTTTACACAATGCCTCATAAACTAATAATGACACCATGCAACAATCTTATTAGTGTTCCTTACCAATACATCCTGATGGTCTGAGAGCGTAACCAGCAGCACAATGACATGTGAAACCTCCAGGGGTGTTTGTGCAGGCCGAATTGTCTCCACAAGCGTTCGTCAAACATTCGTCAATATCTAAGAAATATGCCACAGAGAGGTTGTAAATTGTGAAAATATTGTGTAAATTGATAATTTGGATTCTTACCGACACAGTGGGTTCTATTCCCCTGGTAGCCTTGATTGCAAGTACAGATATATTTGCCAGGAGTATTTCTACATGAAGCCGAAGAGTGGCAGGGATTACCAAGACATTCGTTAATATCTGTATATTACAATAAATATATTATCGTAAATATATTATCATAAATATATTATGGTAAGAATAAAAATCTTAATCAAAAGCATATTGGAATGCAAACTGGATAACAAGTATAACTATAGAAGTGCATGGAAATTGTGTAAAAATACGCAATATAAAAATGTGTCAAGGCATCCTTTTATAATCTCTATAAGTAATGTTATGGTTAAATTTGAATAATTTGATGGCGAATGCATGTTACAGTCAGTAAATATGACAATTCATCTACTCACCAATACATACAAAACCATTTCCAATATAGCCAGAATAACAGGTGCAAAAGAACGAACCATCAGTGTTGGAACAATGCGCTTTGTCGTGACATGGTGCCAACAGACATTCATTAAAATCTAGATATGGATTATTGGAATTAACGTTTTAAGACGTTACTGGTAGAAAATGTAATGTTTATGATCTTTGCGGATAAAGCCTTTTCTGCTTGCCCAACTAGGCGCATTGGCCAGCTGCATGCATTGACCAATCAGAAACATGCTTAGTCCGCAAATTACGTCATCAGCAAGACTTTTTATCAAAGTCTATGGAGCTATTTCTCACACGGATTATCAAGTTTAAAAAAATTCTTCTTCTGACTTATATTGAGAGATTAATGACGTGACATCTACAAAACTTAAAGTATTGGAAGACCTGCTGACCTGTACAAGTCGTTCCATTTCCACTGTAGCCAGTATTGCAAGAACACATGTACGATCCATGTGTGTTTGTACATGTTGCGTTATCGTGACAAATATCCGCTTGTAAACATTCGTTTATGTCTAAAACAGAGCAACGCTGTCATTAAATTATCCAACTACAGGCCACGCATGATTTGAACAAAATTGTGAAAAAACAGTAAACATACCAACACACAAGAAACCATTTCCAGAGAAGCCTGTCTGACATGCGCAGTTAAAGCTACCAGGCGTGTTCCTGCAAATACCGTTCACGTGACACGGATAATCATCGCACTCATTGATGTCTAACAAGATGAAAAAAATTCAAATTATCGCTAACAAATTATATAAGAATAACAATACCCTAGAGTTTTGATCAATTTAGAATATCTCTGATGATTCTCTCAATTTCAATATAGGAAGGAATAGTTTTATTTTAATTTCACGTTTGGCAAAACGTACTATAATTGTTATAAATATTGCAAATTCTATTGAAATTTATTGATCGTGCTACTTCAGGGAATCAGATCCGGACTCGGATCCGGGAATCGGATCATATAGAAATAATTCTAAAAACTTACCAACACATATCTTTCCATTTCCAGTGTATCCTGTGTTACAAGTACAAATAAAACCTCCATTTGTATTTGTACATGTTCCTGATGATCCATGTGCGCAGTCGTCCGTGTTGGTCAGACATTCATCAATGTCTAAATTAGAGTCAAAGAACAAGCTAAGTATATTTTTAAAACCTTGTTTTTCAAGTTTATTTATTTCTGTATCTGACGATATTTGATATGAACGAATTACATTAATCGACGCAAGGAATAAAATAGTCCCTTGATTTGGCGAAATGCCGGAGCGTGCCCGCGTTCCTTTCAAAAACTTTAAAATTTGTAAAAATCGCGTGGTGACCGCAGCGGATCGTTTGATTCGCGTCCGATATGTGTCGGCCTTTGAATAATTAATGGTACGATTGTAAAGGCATGTATTAGTTACTTTAAGAAGAAGAATACTGTCCATACCAACACAATTAACTCCATCTCCAGAGAAACCAGCATTGCAAGCACATTGGTAGGTCCCGGCACGGTTTGTGCATGTTGCAAATCTGTGACATGGGTTCGCATCACATTCATTCATGTCTACATTAATAAAAGAAATATAATAATTATAATGACAACAACTATACAGGAATAAAAACGTCAGCGAAACGTATTTTAAGATGCCGAAAAAAAAATATTAATTTACCTGTACAGTGCAATCCATTTCCTCTATAACCATCCTTGCAAGTACAGTAATGGCTGCCAATTGTGTTTGTACACGTGGCATCAACGTGACAGGGATTGGTCAAACATTCGTCGATATCTACAAAATAAAAATTGACAATTGAATTCACTCATTTTCTGGCATCTCATTCAATTTGAGTTCTGTTCTGTTCGGTTCACTACAACATTATTTTACCGGCACAAAATTGTCCATCTCCACTAAAACCAGTTTTACAGTAACAACGGTGGGTACCATCCCTGTTTTCGCACGTGGCATTTGTGTGGCAAGGATTATCTAAACATTCGTCTTTGTCTATGAGAGAGACAATAAGGACCATTATTATAAAATTTATAATTCTGCAATTATAATTCAATTGTATAGCTATATACAACAAATATATAGTAAATCTTTTTTTTTATATGATTAAGAGAGCTGTTATTAGTAAGTAGTTGTCACTTCATTTTACTTTATACTTTACAACAACAATGGAACTGAAAAATTATATAATATTATTATGCATACAAACCTGCGCAGTTAATACCATCTCCAACATAACCCGCTCTACAGGCACACTCAAACGATCCGTCCGTATTGGTACAATTTGCATTGATGTGACAAGACGTTGCAGTAAGACATTCGTTTATGTCTAAAATATAATAAACAATGAAAGGTTTAATTTATGACATAATTTTCCGACTTTACGTCATTATGTCTAAGTAGTCAAATTAAATAGATGAGGCGAAGGTCTAAGACTGTAACTATGCAAATGCACGATCTATAAGTTTTTATCATACGCGTATTCATATATACTCATTTACAACTTTGAAGTTTATTCATATACGCTCATTTACTACTTTGAAGTTTTATATACCAACCTACACACTGGATTCCATTTCCAGTGTATCCAACTTTACAGCGACACTGGTGTGACCCAGGGATGTTTAAGCAATCAGCATTTTGATGACATGTATTTAACGCTGGATCAATACACTCGTTTATGTCTGAAAAGATGTAACGTATTGATTAGTTTATATAGCCGCTGCTATATAAATTGTTTTTTTCAATAACTCTAAAATTACCCATTGTTCGGTAAGACTTTTAATAAACCTTTGGCGTAACATTCTTAAATTGAGGAACCTTTTTAATGATTGTTATCTCTAAAGCTGTAATTTTTTTATTTTCCAGGATTTTTAAACGATTGAAAAATCACTATCCGAGAGTATATACTTTTCATCCCTGTTGGGAAACTGTGGAAATTAGAGCAGTATTTCTTCACGTCCGCGTCGTAGATTTGATGCGTCTTAAACTCGCTAGTGCATGCATGAAAGATCGAGTACTCCACGAAATACGGCTAGTGACATCATGAAGAGTAATGGTAGTTAAACTATACGAACTTACCAGTGCATATGAAACCTGATCCCTCATAACCAGAATTACAGGCACACGAAAATGATCCAGCATTATTAGTACACCTGGCATTGGCATGGCATGGGTCATTATCACATTCATTGATATCTAATAAAAAGAAAACAGTAGAGGTATCATATTTAAAACGTAATACATTAAAGTGTTTTAGTCAGTCTAAGGATATAGACTATACTATAGTAACTTAATCGATTCCCAAAATCTAGAAGCTTGAAAGTAGGACTTTTCATGAACTATAACTAGTCCTTCCTCCAAAAAGTTCACTCATCGATCGCAATACTTACCCACACAATTAAAGCCGTCTCCGGAGTACCCAACATTACACGCACATGTATAGCTTCCGGGCATATTTTGACACGCAGCAATAGCGTGACATGGATTTGTTTGGCATTCATCAATATCTGTGAAATACATGTTGTTGATTAGATATATATAGACCTACGTTCAATCTGGATTGGGACATATCTGAACGCTTAAACGGGCTTGTAGTGGAGCATGAATCACTAACCAGTACAGATAAAACCATCTCCGGTGTAGCCAGTTTTACACTTGCAAATGAAAGAACCAAATGTGTCCGTGCAATTTGCATTTGAATGGCATGGACTGTCTACTGCACATTCATTGATGTCTAAAAAACAGAAATATTGGAGATTAAATAAGGTGAATAAGGGAATTTGCCAAGCCTGTTTATAATTGACACCAGACTTGTTATTATTAAAATCTCGTCAGTAATATACGTACTATTACATATTTCGCCATTTCCAGTGAATCCTGGTTTACATTTACAATCAAATGAACCTTTGCTGTTCGTGCAGGTACCGTTAGGAGAACATGGATTTGTCAAACACTCGTCAATATCTGAAAAAAATTGAAATTGAGAAAAAAATATTAACGGTCTGTTAACATGAATGTACAAATATTAACCCCGCCCCCCCCCTTCCCTCTCACACACACACACACGTACTTAACGATCTTCCTCGGGTCATGTGAGTAAAACAATTACACGAGAAATTGTCAGCTCCTGTTACACATGCAAGGTGCAAACCAATCAGCTAGGCACGGTGTTGAAATGTGGTCATTTGTTGTATTTCAAATGGATTTAAATGTAAAGCAATGATGAATGGGTCTTAGTTCATCGTCGTGGTTGATAGTAGACAAAACTTGTATCACTTACCAACACAAGATGTTTTACCATCACCAGTGTGACCAGGATTACAGGCACATGTGAAGGAACCCTGCGTATTTGTACATTTGGCATCCACGTGACAGAAATTGAATAAAACACATTCATCAATATCTACAATATAATAAACGTTGTTATAAGATACCATATCAACAGTTTACAAGATGTTTCAAAAATTTGATCGAAATATTTTTATCATTACACTATGCATGCAACCACTTTACAAATCGTTGAATACATCACCTGTACACGTCCTTCCATCTCCAGTGTACCCTGGATTGCAATTACATTCATAAGATCCAGCAGTATCTGTGCATGTAGCAAACTGACTGCAATTATGAGTCCCACTGGCACACTCGTCAGTGTCTAGGAAATACATAACAGCACGGTTAAAAAATGAATCGTTTATAGAATCAACAAAAAATACCGGAACGCGTTTGCCATGGGGTAATGATGTTATTTTGTAAAATCAATTTGCTTAAACAACAAAAACCAAATAATTCAAGAACATTAGATCTATTTTTTCATATGAAACGATTTCGAGTGCGTCGCTCATGAAAAGCTTAGCCTTTCAGGAGAATGAATAAAATTATACTTACTGAGACAAACGAAACCATTTCCAGAGTATCCAGGTTTGCACGTGCATTGGAAAGAACCCGGAGTATTAGCACAAGAACCATCAGTATGACATGGTGATCCAGCACATTCATCAATATCTGAAGATAAACAAACAGCAGGATAAGAAAGATCACATATTGGCATTTCCCGACCACGGTTTTTCATGACTCGTACTATGATTCATAAAAAAGCATGTGACAGATTTGTTTTCTCACCGGAACAACTTAATCCGTTTCCAGTGTATCCTGTTTTGCAGGAACAATCAAATGACCCAGGTGAATTCGAACAGTCAGCGTTTACATCACAAGAGGCCCTCAAGCACTCGTTGATATCTATACGTAAAATAAAATAAAAGCAAATGAATAAAAGTTGAGTTCGTTCTTAAGGCATTAAAAGGCATTAAATAGACACATTTCATCTTATCATCATGTCGGACGTCACTGAAGCTGAATGATTGTTAAACTTTGATACACTTTATCATTTCACTACACTCTTCAATTCCATAATATAACTAAGCTTCAAAAATACGGCTGGAATGAAAAATAACTTGAAAGCTATATATAGCCATCGCCTGATCTTTTTTATGATTGATTGATCACATTACTTGTGTACCAGTTCCCACAGAAATTACAACATCTAGTTCATTTTTTTTATTTTAAGACTCAAATTAGGTATCATGAAAAAGATATAATGATCATACCAGCACACTGAAGACCATTTCCGGAATAACCTGTCTGACAACTACATTGGAAAGAACCAATCGTGTTGACGCAGTTGGCCAGGGTGTTGCAGGGTCTAGTTACATCACATTCGTTGATATCTGCAAGACAATTTAAACAAAAATTGTTTGTATGACAAGATTGGAATTAATATAAAAGAGTTTAAACAATTTCATTGCCACGAGAGCCATGAAAGTATTCGATTAAAGGACAGACGCACGGAATGACGTCGAAGAAAATTTTAACGCATTTGGTCAGTCATCACTTCTTTATTTTGTCAGCCAATCACATTTTAGCACGTGTGTTAAGCTAGCCAATAGAATTTCTTTAAACCTATAGATCATGTACGCGTGATATCTGCTCGCCACGGCGGTTCGTGGCCATTTTTTTGTTCGTATCACAAATGACGTCATGCCGTGTATCTGTATAAACCATGGATAATAAAATCACGTCTTTTAACTATCCATGGTATAACTGAACAGACAACGGTTCAATGTCGTCATCTATTTGTTAAATATAAGCTGACTACACTACATTGTAAATTAGTACCATTAGCCTTTCTACTTCAGCTGTATTTTTTATATAATATTCTTCAATGAGAATTTTGACGAGTTAAATCGGAATCGATTTCTGTGCTTACCATTACAAATCAATCCATTTCCTTGGAAGCCAGTGTGACAACGACATAAGTAGGATCCAGGGCTGTTTGTACAGTTAGCGTTATCGTTAGGATCACATGGTTTGCCTGGACACTCGTTAATATCTGAGAAACAAGATATCAAAAATATGAGATTCATAAAACTCCAGAGTTTGTACTATAATTAGCTATGTACCTACACTCATAATTATAATGATCAAGTGTTTTATAGTTGAACTTACCAACACAGATTTGACCATTTCCCACGTATCCAGTATTACAACTACAAGTGAACGATCCTATATTGTTTTTGCATGTAGCTTGGGAATGACAAGAACTTGATACTTTACATTCGTCGATGTCTAATAACAGAAGTATGAAAAAAATAATGAGTTGATGTCTCCAAAAATGTGTGTGTGTGAGACTAAGTATTCTAATCATTCCTAAATTTAAGATAATTGAGGATTAGCCTGTATATCCTTGTCATCAAAAAGAACGTTTGATGATTGCGCAATCGTACGTACCCGCACAATTGAATCCATTGCCAAAGAATCCTGTATTACAAGTACAGAGGAAGGAGCCAATCGTGTCTTGACATCGTGCATTGGTGTCACAAGGAGTCGTTTGACATTCGTCGATATCTACAAAAATTAAAGTTTTTTATTTACGCCTTGTTTCTGCTTCACGTCACATTTATTTTATATGGATAAAAGGGGATAAGAGGGAGAAGTTATCCTCCTACCTTGACCTAAACTACAAACCACTTACTAGTGCAGACAGCACCATCGCCAGTAAAACCAGTAGTGCAGTTACACATGTATGAACCAATCAGATTTGTACAAGTGGCTCGACCAGCAGCACAAGGGAATGGATTTTGCTCACATTCATTGATGTCTAAAGACAGAATTTAGAGGACGTATATAGTAAAAAGTTGAGAAATAACTAGAATACTAATATAGGAGTTAAATAATATTATCTGACAAGGGCTGCGTTACCGGGGTGTCAGTCTCACTGGGGCGTGATAAAGTGGGAAAAACGTGATTACTAAATAAGAAAATGACCTATTTGTCACCCCCCCCCCCCTCTCCCTTCTAAATAACTCCGCTGTCCGTGACAGCCCAGGAGAAAAATTGAAACAGTAAATAAACATGCTGAGAAAAGCAATTTCAAAATCTCCAACAAACCTGAGCAAAATAGTCCATTTCCGTTAAAGCCAGGCTTACACGTGCATTGAAATGATCCAACTCCATTTGCACAAGTTGCATGGACGCTGCATGGGTTACCGAGACATTCATCGATATCTACAAAAAAAGTTGTTGTAATATGTGAATTCAGATATATTTTACATCTGGTTGAATGCGCGAGGCAGTTTCGAACTCACCATTACAAAGAAGCTTTCCATCTCCAGAGTAACCAATATTGCAAGCACATCTATAAGATCCTTGTGTGTTAGTACAGGTAGCCCTAGCGTGGCACGGAGAAGTTGTTGAATTGGTACATTCGTTGATATCTAAATAGAGAAAATTTACACTCGGCAACTGCGTAGTTTAATATTGTGATGGTGCTACTTTGAGTGACCACGGTGAAAACCCGCGACCTTTGGTTTACTAGTCCAATGCTCCTTCAACTGAGCTACTATACCAGCTGACTAGACGTCAAGATTAGCTACGGATATAATTAGCTACGTATATATCTAATGTATATAACAAGTTCATAAAACATACATAAGCATGAAGAAGGATAAGAAAATCAAAAACAAAAATTCGGTTTTATTTCGGGTCCTCTTTTCATGGGCCATGCAGGATAACCCAGGCTGAGTATTTAAAAAAATCTTTACATATTAAAGATGTATTGTTGCAAAGAAACAACGACATTTGCACACCACTAGGATTAGTCCGGACAACAACGTTCAGCTTTGAAATTTGTTTACCTTCACAAAGGACACCATTTCCAGTATATCCTTGGTTGCAGGTACAAGTGTAGGAACCAAGCGTGTCTACACAAGTGGCTTGAGCATGGCATGGATCATTTCTGCATTCGTTGATATCTGTGGTATTAAGGCGACAAATAAGATATTATCCTAAACAAGGACTCGATAATCACTGAAAAATATTAGCGCTTCTTGGTTCCTTCATTCATTAAAAATGTTTAAATTTGAACATCTTCCATGCACTCGCCATGCAGGGCATGTAAAGCTAATTTTTTTATGGTGGTGATGTATACAAGACAATGATATTTTTTGGGTCATTTGTACACAGTCTGACCCAAGCTCTTTACCGAAGTTATTGTTATATAATAAAGATTTGTAGGAAGAATATTAACTATATAGCACCGGTCCACACCCATGTACTGCCACAATACGAGTCAAAAGTTAAAATTGAACGCCGGCCTTTGTAAAATTGTGAGGTACCCATATATCCAAGTGTTGTTAACAACTGAATTTTAGATTCTCACTCACACTGAGAATTATTGAACAGGGAAGAGAAGGTTGATCTCGCTAAATTTGTGAGCTTGAATGAGCTCTTGAAATGCAGATGTAAGTCTAACACAAAATCAGTAATATTTTATTGATCAAAGCAATTTATAACGTAAAGGTCGATAAACGAAAAGAGAGAATGTTTACTTACTGACACAGGTGACTCCGTCTCCGGCGAATCCAGAGTTACAATTACAAAGATAAGTGCCTCGTGTGTTTGTACATGTAGCGTTTGTGTCACATGGGTTATTATCGCATTCATCAATATCTAAATAAAAGGGAAAATGATTTCACATACCACAGAAAAAAGCTTATCAAACGGCCAGTTCCGCAAGAATAACAGCAAAGATTTCTGTAAAACTATAATAAGTATTAGCTTTTTTCATTTGTTCTTTTTTCTGTGTTGTATATAGTTCAGTGAAAGGCCAAACCAAGTACCTTATTTTGAGAGAATTTCGTTTCGTCTGGATCAAGGCCATAAACCAGTCATTGACTGGTATGTATGGAAAAATAAACTACAGCCTCACCTGCACATGTTAATCCATTTCCTATGAAACCTGTTTTACAAGTACACGTGAAAGAGCCAGGAGTGTCAGCACAGACCGCATCAACACTACAAGGACTCAATGTCGTACATTCGTCGATATCTTAAATAAATAAAAAAATTTATATAAAAACGGGTTCATCCTTCAGAGAAATTGAATTTAAAAGTTGTATCAAAATTTGCAGCATTGATGTATCATAAAAACTAACGGTTTTTTAATAGATTTTAATGGCTCAATAATTAGACACTTACTTGTGCAAGTAAATCCATCTCCTTTATAGCCTGTGTTACACGTACACGTGAAAGTACCTGGAAGATCATCGCACTTGGCATTTGGGTCACAAGGATCTGTCAAACACTCGTTGATATCTGTTGATGATAAAAGCAGTTTGTACTGATATTCTTAGAAAATGCCATGAAATTACTCTTCAATATGTTAATTTTAGAAACACAAATACATATACTTAACAGTATGTCTTAAAATTTCACTACTCTGCATACTCTTAGTCTATACTTACTAATACAAGCGAATCCATCTCCAGAATAGCCAGGATTACATGTACATGTAAATGATCCTACGGTATTTGCGCATGTTGCTGAATTATGACATCTGTTCGGATCCAAGCATTCGTCCACATCTGCAAAAAACATCGTCTTAAACTCGTGTTATGAACTTAAAAACTGGCAAAAGCAAATATGAACCAACAAACCCAGGTAAAAAAAAACCTTGTATCAAAAAAGGTATGCTGCAAATATTTCAAATTAAACCGTATTACCTAGACAGATGAAGCCATTTCCGGCATACCCGGTATTACAGGTGCAGGTAAACGATCCATCAGTGTTTTTACAAGTGGCGAATTGATGACACGGATTGCCGTTACATTCATTGATATCTGAACAAAACAGGTAAATATATTGGTAACAAACAAGGAGCAGCGTGGTCTTTAAAACAGTCCTAACAAATAAGATGAAACAAAGAACCTCTGCGCTTTGTCACACATGCAAACTGTCCTGAGGAAGGCTTAAGGTCGGAAAGACCAGAGATTTTCCTATTTTAGGCAATTTCTTCACCATATTTATAGAAAAACTTGATATTTAAGAACGTAGAAGGCTGTGCGTTCTGGTTTCTGAAGAAAGAATCAATAACCTAAAGGTCCGTTCAAACGACCCAGTTTTGTTGGATCCAATTTCCTTCTGGCGGATGTTTAATAGTCTGTTGACTTGCAATGTATGTGGGCAGCAAATCAACGTAAACCAACGTAGTATTGCTTTATCAGTAACAGACTTCATTCCATACGTCAAAAGTGAATTGGATCCAACAAAATTAGATCGTGTGATTAGACCTTAAAACAGCAGTGTTTGATTTGATTTTACTTAATGCATTTTATTTTACGTTAAATTCATCTCTTTCCTCTTTCTGAATGAAAGTCTGGTTTCTTGGAAACATTCAGCATGGATCGAACGTTTGCTGCACTCACCATTACATGTTGTTAAACCGTTTCCAGCATAACCAGGTTTACAGCTACAGTTAAAGCCTCCAAATGTATTTGTACAGATTGCGTTTACATGACAAGGGTTTCTGTTGCATTCCCCGATATCTAAAAAGCAATTGGAAAATGAAATAGTTTGTGCCCGTGAGGTACGTCAGGTGCGGATTAACTTGATTAGTCCATTTACTGACGAGATCTCTATTAAAAGAAACCCGTGATGTGGTGATACCAGACGTACCGGTACAGTTGACCCCGTCTCCATTAAAGCCTGCTTTACATGTACACTCAAATGATCCAGGTGTGTTCGTGCAGATTGCTAACGTATCGTGACAATTGTCAGTTCCAAGTGTACATTCATCATCGTCTACAAGTGAAAAATTAAGAACAGGAAGTCACGTTAGCAATAAATTTATAACAGATTTCCTCACTGCCCTCAAAACATTTTAATCAATTCTGTTTAACAACTATAATTTGGCTTTAGATAATTACTTTCAGTGTGCATTTAAATTTTAGCCTAATAGCAATATTTCGGTGGCAGAATTACGTGACAGGTATTATAACGAACGTACAAAGGAAATATCTTACCAACACACACACGCCCATTTCCAGAGTACCCAGGATTACAAGCACAGGTATAAGAGCCCTCAGTGTTTGTGCACGTGGCAATACCCACAGCACAGTTATCAAGATTATTAAGGCATTCATCAACATCTAAATGATGCATGCATATAAAAAGCATGTCAGGAAAGATACATCGCAGGTCTTCTATAGGGTATTTTAACACACGTTCAAATTGGGATCAATGTTAGTAGGAAATAAACTGAAATTAATAACTCTGCCCTAAATGGGTTTATTCATCTCAATGGGTTCCCCAAAAAGCGGAGTGTATAAACTAAATTTACTGTGCAGGTAAATGACAGGAAATTCTCGTTTTCGTGTTAAAAACAATTACCTCGACAGTTTACACCATCTCCTTCATACCCTACATTACATCGACATTCAAATGAACCGACGGTGTTGGTGCAGGTGGCAAATTGATGACAGTCATCAGTATTCCGATTGCACTCATCAATATCTGTTGTCAAAGAAAAGTGAATAATTAGTAGTTTCAACCGGCTTTATTACAAGCAGTCATTTTTTGTGTGCAGTTGTTTGTCATGAAAACGCATGTCATATTTAATTCAAGTTCATTTTTAAATGGGTTACCTGTTTACTACAAAAAAGTGCATGATTACGGACGTGACATACCATTACAAGTTCTTCCATCTCCAGTGTAGCCTGTATTACAGATGCACTTAAACGATCCTTGTGTATTTGAACACTGTGCATTGCTGTGACAATTATCTTGGTTTAATAAACACTCGTCAATATCTACAATTTAAGATATATATTAAATGAACAAGCAACATATATTTACTGTGCACTATTTCTCTACCCCCAAATTTCTGCTTCGAGAGGACAAAAATTTCACTTCCTATATATACCTCACTTTTTAAAAATTGGTGAACATTTTTTATAATTATAGACTTCAATGAATATAAGTTTTCATAGATGCACACGGTTCATCCACAATAATATATACCTGAACAAATGACTCCATTTCCATTGTATCCTGTTTTGCAGGCACATTGGAATGATCCCACAATGTTGGTACAGTTGGCGTTGGTATGACAATTGTCCATATTTCTTCCACACTCGTCAATATCTAAATAAAGTTGCGCGGATTATATCAGTTAAACGGCTATGGTTATTACTTTATATTTCCAGGTAATATTGCTTTGTTGCATATCATATCATGAAATCTTTAATCTGAAGACTTCAGCAATCTTATTTTGACTAAAGTTATATACATTCATAACATATTCGCTAACTATGTAAAGCGTTCGTTAGCTGACCATAGAGAATCAGTTCCATATAACTGCTGCATATCATATGCGTCACCTACCATCACAATTGGTACCATTTCCTTCATAACCAACGTGACAATTACAGGTAAAAGAACCAATCGTGTTCGTGCAATCAGCTTTCACGTGACAATTGTCAGTATTAGCTGCACATTCGTCGATATCTAAAAAATACATCATATAAGGTATGAAGCTGGTGCAAATAAGAGACAACCTCACAGTCACATTTATAGTCTTTTGCTGCTTTACAAATCTGGCATCGTGTAAACGAGTCCCAGATTAAACAAAATTTGAATAACAGCTTACTAGCCCACCTTCGCAGTATGTACCATTCCCAGCATATCCAGTTTTGCACACGCAGGAAAATGCCCCGAAGCTGTTAAAACAATTGGCATGTATATGACAGTTATGTAAACCAGAATCGCATTCGTTGATATCTGAAAAACAAAACCAGAACGTTTCATTTCGCCAAAAAATAATTTTGTACATAATAATTTTAAGCAGCTTTTCTTAAGCTAAATTGTCTCTCGATATTGCATTAGTTTCTGTATACTTACCAACACAGACACCGTTTAGTAGCCTTAAACCGGATCCACACTGGCATATGAACGATCCCTGGGTATTAACACAAGTTGAGGAGCTTGGGCAGTTGTGAATTGCACGTGCACACTCATCAATATCTGTTAAATAAAGCAGAGATTGGCATTTTATTTACAACTAAAGGTCCAGGTATTATTACACTATTGTATAGGACCTTAAAACGTCATGCGAGAAACTATTGCTTCTTCTCTTCTCTCTCCCTTTTTTTGTTTCTTAATACATTGTCTTACTAGCCAAGACAAGGAAGAACTAGTTCTACCCCGAAATTGATAACAAGTCCAATGTTACTTGCAGTACAGTGAACTGATAGACGTTGCACAACGATCAGAAAGCGGATAAGAGACTGTTCTTACATAACATCATTTCACATCTCAAATAATTGTATTCATCCCAAATATGGTTTTACTATTTACGTAACCGTTGTACAAAAGACTAGTTGATGGGAATATTTTTTTGCTTAGTCTTGGGAAATGTTGGAAAGCCAAGAGTCGGGCAGTATTACTACCATTCTATGAAAATTCTATGACTATAACTATCTTGCTCCAGCGCTAAGTCATCAAGACTCATCATACCTGTGCAACTGGCTCCATTTCCTTCAAAACCAGTCTTACAAGTACAGGTAAAGGATCCTCTTGTGTTTGCGCAATTTGCGTTGGGATCGCAATTATGTGTACCCAATATGCACTCGTCGATATCTACAAATTATTATCATACAATATTATTTCTTAAATCACTGATTTCACAAGTCGGATATGACAAGTTTCATTATATTCTGTTCGTTTAAGTCATTTCTCTGAGTGTTTTGACCGCGTTCATAAAATTTTTACAATGGCTTGCTGATCCAAAATCCAAACATTGCTTTTGTATTTGTGTGTTTTCTCTACTAATATTTGGAGTATTTTTAGGTTGACTTATTAGTTGGTCTCCGTTTTCATGCCATTTGTTGGTTAATTGTTCAAAGATTCGTCAGTCGCTCAAACGACTGGAAACGTTTAAGATAAATCAAAATAAAAAAACTATACCTGTGCATGTTCTGCCATCTCCACTGAAACCAACTTTACATCTACAAGTATAACTTCCCATTGTATTCTCACAAATGCCATCTGAACTACATGTGTCTATATTCGTCGCACACTCATCAATGTCTTAAAAAAAGAACTGTTCTGTGAAAAAAACGGGTCTCCGTTTGAAAACAATACAATAAAAAGGAGATTTAGGAGGAGAACTCTGCCATCTTAATAAAACATATGTTTACCTGTACAAGATACTCCATTGCCTTGGAATCCAGTCTTGCACTGACATGTAAATGAACCAATGGTATCTGTACACGTGGCGTTCACATGACAGTTGTGAATTCCAAGAGCACATTCGTTGATGTCTATAAGAAAGTAGTATATTTTTATAATTCAAAAAACGATGACAACAGAGGGTGTCAATCGAGTTAACGGATGATGGTTCCTTTCTGCATCTTAGCGTGTTGATAGCAAAATATTGACACTGACTGACAAGCGTATGAGCAAAGTGAGGGAACATAAACGAGATTGTAAAGTTGTAAATGTAAACGATCAAAACTACAGAATAAGCGTTCACATGCAGTATTTATTTCGGCTCGTGTTTCGCGCGCTTTTCTTAACTTTCGCAACGTTCCCGTTTTGATCAGGCCATCCAAACCATTCAGTAATTGTATAGTCTTGCTTAATAATTGCATGACCTTAAATGTCTAAAATTGGAATTATACAATTTAAGATTGGAACTTCTATACACGTGAAGGAATATCGGTCAGTGATCCATCGACTAAACCATCTCGCCGAGAATATAGCTGAACAAACTTACTGTCACAAACGACTCCATTTCCAGAAAAGCCAGGTTTACAAGCACAGCTGAAATTACCAGGATTGTTTGTACACTGAGCATTAGCGTCACAATTGTCAGTTTGTTCTGCACACTCGTCAATGTCTAAATAAATATCAATCAACCCATTAATGTGTTGAGTGTCAAATAACTTTTAGTATCGATCAATCATCGTTTTCAAAACAGTTTGTACTTTTAAGCCTGACTTTCATATGTCATAATTTATCGACGATGTTTTACGACCCGTTATCGAATTTTTCGCACCAGTGACCTCAGACAAAGGGAATCCCAGATTCTTGGGACAAGTGTGAACAAGGTTTTAAGCCTGGACTACAGGGTGTATAAAAACCCCCGCAAATTCAGATAGGTTCGCTTCTATTTAATAACAAGAGCTCGTAGGCCCCTGGAAATTATTAGGGTTGCAGTTCTTTCTATGCACCCTGAATACCGGACGGTGCATGAAAATGACTTGTTCACGACAACTACGACTAAATGGAAACCAGGCTCAAGCTCAACATTCACTCTCACCACAATCGAGAAGCGTTCAGCATTCTCCCACATCACGACATCAGGTTATTGACCGTATCTTACTCACCTACACAAGTCCTTCCGTCTCCACGGTAGCCGTCATTGCAAGTACAAGTGTACGATCCCTTGACATTGAAACAACGTCCATTTTGTCTGTCACAGAGATCGGTGCCCTGTGCGCACTCGTCAATATCTGCGTGAAATACATACATCACATTTCAATCTTTTTTCCCTTTCGTCAAATTGGGACTTCCAGCCACGATATTGGCTATGTTACATTTGAGCGCAAAGGCGAAACCAAACCCAAAAAGTAAAGCAATATAATATTTGTAAAACGCCCTTAATATACAGCTTATTCTTGCCAGTTTTTTTTTAATAATTATCATAATTTGACATTTCTATTTTGATTGGCTAAAATTATGCATGACTCATAGCTACATACCTGTACATACAAGACCGTCTCCTGTAAAACCTGGTCGACAAGCACAAATGAATGAGCCTTCTGTATTGGTACATGTCGCATTCAAATGACAATTGTCTAAATTGAGCTGGCATTCATCGATATCTACGAAAAAGAAAAAATAAAACCAAATTAATGAAACCCGAACACTCCACCCAAGTCACATAGTGTTGGGCAAACATTGAAACAAAAACGTCAGAAATTTTTAAAGACAAATAAAATATGTGGCAAAATACAAACCTGTACACGTCACTCCATCCCCTGTGTAACCAATCTTACAGGTGCAGATAAATGATCCGATCGTATTAGAACAAGTTGCTTGACCGTCACAGTTGTCAGTTCCAAGTGCGCATTCGTCAATATCTTAAAAAAGCGATAAGAATTGTAAGAAAATGTATGGTGTTCATTTCGTGTCTCCCGTGACTGTTTAATAACAAAGAATTCAAGTACACGGTGAGTCGAACTTATGACTGGTTTGGTTTACCAGAGAATACCTTGATGTCTAACATGACGCGCGATTAAAATGCATTTCTCTCCCCAGGAAAACATGTTTATTATATTAATTATTCACTACAACCAATCTCTGTCAAATCACAGCCGCTGCGCATGTGCAACAAATTTGAAAGTTTTTATGTTGAAAAAAGCGACAAAACACGAAGTGTATAATACCTACCAACACAGTTGGTGCCATTTCCACTGTATCCAGCATTACAAGCACATGAAAAGGACCCAGGGTTGTTGTTACATGTCGCTCGGGTGTTATGACAATTATCTGTATTACTAGCACATTCATCGATGTCTATATGAAAATATGATCGTTAGCGGTGTTCTATAATAGTTACATAGAATGAATACGACATGCACCAAAGAGAGGACTGGTCTGCTTGGAACATATACAAAATATTGAAAATATAGATATAGTAAGACATTGCGATGAAGGCTGGCAAATCCTTTATCATATTATTATCTTACAGAAAGACAGCTTCAATCCTGGTCAAAACATTGACGACACTCAGTGTTAATTGACACTACAGTCAGTAGTCGCGGAATATATTTCAAAGTCTCTCCCTTTCCCCCAAAATCAATGTTGGGTGATGTGTTAAAACTCATTCAAGCATTTAGCATGGACTCAACGTTGATTAGGGTGGCAAGGAAGAAAATCGAGGAAGAAATGTTGATGTTTTGCGTAAAACACTACAAATCATTTAGAGTGTAGTCAATGGTTTTGGCCAGGATTGTAGTTCACAATCATCAAGATCATAACTTACCAATACAAGAAAATCCATTTCCAGTCCAACCAACGTTGCACGCACATGTGTAAGATCCATGGTTGTTTGTGCAGCTAGCTTGAGTATGACAGTTGTCAGTATCTAGGACGCATTCGTTGATATCTAGAAAGTAAAAATTTTAAGGATTTGAACTGGAAGAAATGACAAAAATGAAATTACGCCAAACAATTATGGGGATAAAACGGCCTTCCCTAAAGTGCACAATATATTGAATTTTTCATATCGATAAAAATGTTTAAGCCTGGTTAAGCCTAGTCCTCGTAGGCCTCGTAGGTGACAAATGAAAACCAGGCTTCAAAGACTCACGTAGAACATGACACGTATAAAATATAGCTATAATCAGAGTAAGGTTTGAAGCAACGATTATTAGCAAATGTTAATCATTTTTTTAGATTTGGTGTATTATAGGTCTCGGACATTATAAACATCTCCACTGGCTATTAATACAGTAGCTACCTTCAAAATATATATGACCTGCTCCAATCGCAACCCGGTACCGTGTACCCGGGGCCTAAGACTGCCTAAGGAATTCCAGTCGTAATATCGGTGATAAAATAGCTCTGCTCGTGTTTTAAACATGCAGTCACAATACCAACCTGTACATGTTTTTCCATCGCCTGTAAAACCAGTTTTACAAGCGCACCTAAATGAACCAATCGTGTTTGTACACGAAGCCTCGTTGGTGTTAGGATGACAGTCGTGAGTACCAGTTGTACACTCGTTAATATCTTGAAAAAAAAGTTTAGTGATTAACTTTCAATAACAAAAAAATACGACACTGACAGGGAAAGGTAAAGACAGAAATCCTTTTGTCATACTGATGACACAGATCGGCCCACCACATTGGCATATACTATTGTACAATTCCAAAGTTTAAAGACTGCAAAATCGTATTGTGTGTCACAATGACTTGCACAAAAAGCAAAAATAAATACCACCACAAATGACTCCATTTCCAGTAAACCCAGAATTACATTGACAAGTAAACGAACCAAATATGTTAGTACATGTGGCATTAACATGGCAATTATGTAGATCGAGAGTACACTCGTTTATGTCTAAAATAAAAATAAAAACAAAACTGAATCTGAAGATTCCTATACGGATGAAGTGGACGAGCAATGGTAAGCAATGCTTTTATATCTGCTCTATCTATTCGGTACAAAATACGTAGCGTAGCTAATTTTCTCACGTGGGTAAGAGATGTAATATAGATGGAGTACGTGCGATTTTGGTTATAACTGTAAATAAGCTATATTCAAACAAGCATTTTTCCTTGATAGTACGAAAGAAGAACCCAAGTATCATTGTCGTCGTCTGTATAATTGATTACTCGACCCACCATTACAAGATAGACCATCTCCACTATAACCAGCCCTGCATGTACAAGTGAAACTTCCTTGTGTATTTGCACAATTAGCATTTTGACCACAGTTATCAATATTTAACAAGCATTCATCAATATCTTAAAATGAAAAGTATATATTTATTGTTAATTAAAAAACAAATGGAAGAGTATTTACTACATTTTATAAAATTGAAACTGTAAAGGTGAGGAATAAGTAACATCCATCAATAATTAGCAATACCCTCTATACTGTATTTGTTGTCTTTATCAATAAGACAAGTTATTTCCAAAGGGAATATAGTAGCATATATCTTCACATTAAATTCATTAGCAACAGCGTTTAAGTGTAAAAATGGTTTCGCTAAAAAACTTACCTATGCAAGTTCTTCCGTCTCCAGAATAACCTGTCTTACACTGACACGTGAATGAGCCAATAGTGTTTGCACAGTTAGCATTCGTGCTACAGTCATCAGTCTTTAATACGCATTCATCGATATCTAAATGAAATAAACAAATTGTTCTATTAATGAGATATATTTATTATACCGGGTAGGTTTAGGGTATGATAGGGAAGAGATCAAAACACAAATTGAGTTTGAGAGTCTTGACCTGTACAAGTTCGTCCATTTCCAGAGAAACCAGTATGACAAGTACAAGTATATGAACCGACTGTGTTGGTACAGTTTGCGTTAGCATCACAAGGGTTCGTGGAACATAATTCTACAATAACAATAAAATTTCATAACAATAAACATGTCTCCCTTATGGAATTACATGCTTTTAAGTATGCGAAATAAAATTATTTGAATATTCCAACTTTTTTAATAAGAAGCAATATCCTACTAACCACAAATAGTTGGCGTGGAATATTTTAGTGCCAAAGCAATCCTATGAAGAGGCCAAGAGACGAAATTGCCACAAAGGCGGAACGAGCTAACATTTCTCCAGCTTATTCCAAACAGGAAAGATGTGAATTCAGATGACCATCCATACATGCAACGCAACTGTTCTGCGGTCAGTCCAACGCGATTCTGGATTGTTTCACCAACAGTTTCACTGTCAATATTTCCAAATGTTGTTCCAAGTCTCGCTAACAAATCTTCAAACTTTTCCGTTTCCAAAACGATCTTTTTATTCATCAGTGGTACCGCTGAGCTTTGATACAGTGTTTGATACCCAGACATGGTTCTTTGGTATATTTCTGATACTGTGGTACCCAAGCATGACGCCAAATGAGTTACTGTGATTACAAAGGTACTGGGTGCGCTACCCGTTTGAACTCTAATTGAAGATGTTCCATCTGCAAGTGCCACAACTGAAACACCACCTGTTCCTGCTGTAAGATTTGTCGAGAAAGCTATTGATAGTTGATCAAATGATTTCTCAATAGCTGCTTTTACCAGTCGGTACCATTCAAATGAGGGAAGATTAATGGCAACATATTTGTCCACGCCTGCTGGATTAAACTTGCTTAAAAATTCAACAATATCGTATCGCAGATATAACGCTTCAAATACGAGACTGTGAGCCTCTTGTATCGTTAAATCGTCGATTTGAGCTTCAGTTTGTCCTGTTAAGGAGGCGAGACCGGATTTTGAAAAGCCATACGTTTGCAACAAGAGTGAAAGATATTGCTGATAATTGTTCTTCATAATGTTACTCAATGCACCAGTACTATTTAAAGTTCTGATTGCGTACGCGATTTGTGGAACCGAATAGGTGAGGATTTGAACATTGGAGAGGCTTTGGGCCAGTTGAACTTGAGAAACAAGAGGAGTCTCCATCCAAATACCTTCAGAAATTGTGAACAGCAACTGATAAAAATTAAACCAGCTACTAATACCACTTGCGTTTCTTACAATGTTTAAAATATTTCTGTCCGTGATCGTAGCAAGATTGAATCTGACTTCATCTTCACCCAAAGATCGAGATAAAACAAAGGCAACATTACATGAAGGAAGTGTAGTTTGATATCCAAATATTGTCTTAGATAGATCAAAGGCAGAGCCAACAGTTGAAAGAGAATTGCATTGAGAGAAATAACTGGACAACATTATATTTTCTATGGCGAAAAGCTGTGCCGATTTCCATCTGTATAATATCTCAAGATGACGTACTGAGAACTTGCTTGTAGTATTTGCATAGTACGCCATAGTCTTAGATAGCCATTCAGCAACCGTCATTCCTGCTATAGCAACGGAGAACGATTGATTTTCAAACAGATTCTTACGAGCAACCAAGTCGTCAAACGCGGGGAAAAATATGTCATCGAGTTGATTCATGTTATAGCCGTACAATGTTTCATTATTTGTGTTTAAAAGTTCCGCCAGTTCGGAGACAGTTACACCAAGTTGATCAGCACGGCATTTTATAGCCGCAGAAACGATATGTGGTACAAATGAAGGCCATTGGTCATTGATCACCCTTAAAGACGAAAGATTCAGCATTTGTTCCAAGACTGTCATGTTGAAACAAAATTTCTTCTCCATTGCTTCAACAGCAAATGCGTGAATTTCTCCAATTGTCTTGTCCCCCAAATTTGTTAAGTTCCTCATGGTAAGATCAGTGTAATTTGTAAGATCTTCATTCTTCACGGAATAACAAACCGTGCAGTTATATAACTTTTTTGTCTCGAGCATCTGAATTGTGAGATTACCTCGGTCAAGCAGTACGTAAGCGTCTTGAATTATTGTATCAAGAGTAGAGTCCACAATAACATCGAATGGACTTATCCCCTCTCCTACGCTCCTTGGTGTCTGCCAAACATCATAGGTTGTCACTTTATCAAAATATTCTTGGTTAAGACTTTTAAAACCGTTGAAAGTTGGTGCAGGAAAGGAATTTATAGGTGCACTCAATATAGGGACACGAAAGCCCCCAAAGACACTTCCCAAAACACTCAACAACAAAAGTGAAGAGAGCAACATCATTTCTGAAACAATAGTATAAAGAAACATATATAAAGAAACTTATATTAAGAGACATTATTAGGGTTGCAAATTTCGCTGTTTCAGGCGTTTAACCATGCACCTGATTAGGGATTTAGTCAGCTACAGGGTGTTTAAAAAGTATATTCTTTGAAAAAGTACCCCAAAGTGCGATGCGCGCGAAGTGTTCTCAGCATCGCATAGTGATAGCAGACGTGCATAATTTGGTCTTAGAGGCAATTCATTTAGAAACATTAAATGCTGGCTTTTTTATTCATATGATTATTATTTTAAACAGCCTTGCGGAGAGAAATATACGCCTCCCTAACACAATTCGTCGCACAGTTAAAATATGGACTGTGCATGCAAAATATATAGAGACCGTTCTACGCGTGAACCAACACGAGATCCGCTTTAAAACCATAATTTTCTTCCGTTTTAATTCTATTCGAATAAGTTTCCTTCACATCACCAAACATTTAATAATTCCATGTGCAGTTTAAATACACGAATTTAATCCTTGTAATTATGTTCAACATTTAACCTTAATCAACCACAACGCTATAATCTAAGATCTATTAATCTCAAGGATTTATGCATGCATCTATTAAATGCAAATCACAAGTCGTTCTGCATGAAGTGTTATAGCATTTCACGACAACGTAAAAAAAACTACGGAATTTGGTAATTTTCTTTTTAAATTTGGTATAGCAATCCTAAAGACCAATGACATGCACATGTAAACATTCAACTTTGGCAGTGGTAAATAATTTAGGCCTGTTTCAGACGTCGAATTTTTCAAGTGCGGAACCAAATGTTGATTACGTAACAGATGTTTAAGTTTAAAAACCGGTGCACACTAGAGCTATGTGCTTAGCAAAAAGTCATTCGCGGCAATTGGCTTAAGCCAGTTACTCTGATGTGCGGGCGACTTTTCCGGCGACTTTTGGCACGAATGACCAAAGTCGCCGGAAAAGTCGCCCGCACACGACAGCAACTGGCTTAGGCCATGCAATGGCCACGAATGACTTTTTGCTAGGCACATAGCTCTAGTATGCGCTGGCCTTAAGTTTGCATTTGATTTGGCACAGAAAAAGTTCGACGTCTGAAACGGGCCTTACTTTTGCCACTACTGAAATGTTTAATATAATATACACTTACCAGTATTTCAAGATCAGTCCCTAATACGATAATGTTATTTTCATACAACCCAAGGGGAACTAGGCAGAAATCTGCGTAGGAATGACTTTGAATAATTTTCTACTTCATGAGTAAAGACAGCAAAAGAATGCATTGTTTTATTTACTCCTACTGCTTTCAATTCTTTACAGCGTATCCGATGATTGTTCTAGCGTTTTTACTTTCGACTCTATTTTATTATGATTGTGTTTCTATAGACGTTATCGTCTGTAGGCACAATTTTTAATATACCTGCATGCATGATGGCATGTATAGCTTTATATATAGAGCAATATAGACTAATTACAGTTAACTTATGCCATCAATACTTGTAAACTGAGATATTTTTTAGTTACTATTAATAAGGTCACTGCATGAGGCGAACTTACCAGACGGCGACGCCAAGTTGGTAATATACTAATAGGCCTCGTTTTTACTGTGCTCGAGAATTTCTTTGTCACTCGTTATACAAATGTTGATAATACATAAAAACGCAAGAAATTAACAAGACAGAAATATCAATCATCTCATGTTAAAAATAAATGGAAAAGGTGCGTATGAACCAGTTATTTTTACCGTGGACACGAGTCTCACAATAGTCTCTCTTAACTTCACGTTTTAACCACATGTAGACGTGTTATTAAGACTGAGCCAACAAGAGTCATTTAAACGAACCGCTGTTTTCTGACTGCTTTCACAACAGAAGTGTCAAATATAGATGCAAGTATAAAAATGTATTCCGGAGCTTACCAGAACTGTCGTGAGCGATACAACGAAGTTGTAACCATATTGGTCTTGGGTATGTCGAAAATTGAGCTTCGGATTTGCCTCTTAAATTTTCACCATCCTCAGTACTTAAACTCCCAATCGAGCATTGATTGGTTGGTCTTAGACAAAAGGATAGTTAGGATTGGTTTATCTGATCAATTTAGAATTAACTGGTCTCATGAAGCTTCATTTGAAACTCAAGGTCAGGACCGACAGATAAACTATCTGTTTAATGTTTTCTCGCATTCATAAGCTATCTGTTTTCTCGCATTCACAGAAAACACAAACCAGGAATTTTTTTGGCCAGAGTCGTCTGCAAGCACTGATATATAAATAAACAAATGAATCCCCTGTTGTCCGCGTTTATACCTAGCCAACACACAGACGCATTTTAAATAGCTTTTCTTCGGTTGAACACATCGTGGACATTAATTTTTCAACCAACAAGCAAACTATTATATGTGAATATATATTTATATATGGCTTCCTAATGTCTATCTGGAAAAGACCACATGCCAATATTTTTTCCTGAAATGTACGTTTCGGCGGCCTAGTAGGGGCATCATTACATATCTCAAATATGAAACAACCCGATAGAGCGTAGGCTGGCAAAAGAAAGGACAAAGGACAAAACAATGAAACGTGCAGGGACCGCGGAGACGGGGGGGCTGGGGGGGCTTTAGCCCCCGTACATCTTGTTAAGTTTCTCTTAAAGTGCAGGAACACAGTTCTCTGAGCTGTTTTATTTATGATTTAGCCCCCCCACCTTCTGATACGCTCCGCGGGCCCTGACGTGTGCGACACAAGTATCCACAAGTATCCACATGTAGTGCTATAGAGTGCATGTTTTAAAATGATAATGGCAGATATATGGTTCTGCGTTCTTATTATTCCCAATTTGTGAGCATCTGATCAAGTTTATCTTTCAAATCACTGGATCATGACGTCATATAGTCACACTAAGGCAATTCCTCATACAGAGATTCTTTGGCTCCCTCACCGCCAGGCTCCTTACCCACAACTGTTACATAAGCTTCTGCCAAATTATTCGCAGACTTATTGCCCGATGAAGCATATCGTTCCTCATTTTCACCTCCTTCCAGAACAGCATAATCCCCCGTATCACCAGAAGCACCAGGTTTGTCTCTGTGTTTTAAACTTTGGTAATTTGCATCAATGGGAACTCTTTTGGAGCTGTCGAGCTGTGCGTATTCTGTTTCCACTGGTTCTTCATAACCACTCTCAGAATAGGGAACCTTTGGCAGTCTTCTGTTTCGTTGATTTTCGCCCACATACGCAGGATTTTCAATTTTACCACTGTTTTGCTCCTTGTCCTGTGGCGACGTTCTCCGATAGAAAAAGCAAGCAACAATCACGATTACTGTTACCAAGACAACCACTGCTGCTGCAACAGCACCAATAATGACTCCTGTGTTACTCTTTGATGACGAAGATGGATTGGATGAGCCTTGGTCCAGGGCGTAAGAAAAAAAATGGAAAAATCATTTTAATTCTATAAGCATAATATTCCCTGACTGCCAACCGTCACAATTTTCGCTGAATGAATACTGTCGGAGACTAATACGAACTAAGCCCGCTGGGGTGGTCGACCCATGTCAAAAATTCAGAAGAATTCAGAAAGTTAAACAACTCCCAACCCCTTACAAACATGAGCGGTGAATAGTTCTCAATTCTCCTGTGCACATGGTGAACTAGTCCACTCCGTAGAACAAGCAGAGCTCGTGTGTAACTGGTCTTTTGGTCCAACTGGTAATTCTATACTGACCTGTACATTTAGTTTTACCATTTCCTGAAAAACCAGGTTTACAGGAACATTTATAGGAACCAATAGTATTTTGACACGTAGCATCAGAATGACATATTGATTGCACAGCACATTCATCTTTATCTGTGGTAGAAAAATGTATAACATTTGCAACATTTCATCACAATTATAATAGATATTAAAGTGTTAATTGTTGATATTGTTGAGATTACCAGTGCACACTACTCCATTCCCGACATAACCAACTTTACAAGTACATATGTAGGAGCCAATGGAATTTTGACACGTGGCCTTGGAATGACAAGGTGATTGTTCGGAACACTCGTCCACATCAGCATCTAAAATAAAAATATGAAACATCAGAAACCTATTGTAATTCTGACTCAATGAAAGTGAGGAACTTAATGAAATTAGGGGGCGGGGGGTGTTTGCAGGAAAGCTCTAGGTACGAGGTTGGCAGATAACTAGAATAGCAGAATTTATAATTTTAGAAAATAAACCATTTGAACACAAGAACTGGTCTTACCACAATTAACCGTTGGTGCATCTTTCACGGCCGTGACAATCTGTAGTAGGGTAAGGTTTGTAAATGAATAGCATAACTTTTTCTCCGAAACTTCACCCCATGTTATTCCTTCAATGCCCGAGATAATAGATTCACCATACAGACACTCTATTTCAAACAACTGAAATCTGATTTCAGTTCTTATTAAATCGGTCAGTAATACATCATCAAGTTCTTTCAAACTCAACCCTTTCTGCGATAAAATTTCATCTAGGCTTTCTGTCTCGAACTGTATCTTTTTCATCATCGTCTTTGCCAAAGTATTGTTGTAAAATTTGTGGTAGTCTCTGAAGTTACTTGAATTGAAAGAATCTTTTGTTTTTTTAAACAAACAGAAATCAATATGATTTATAGATTTGATACTAAAAGAACTTGTAGTGGTTTTAATTGTCTTGAAGTTGTCTGGCTGTAAAGAAATTGAAACGCTGTCTGGATTAGTTTGAAGGCTGTACGAGAATGCCTTCATGACTTGCTTGAAAGATTGCTGTATTACAGCATCGATAATCTCAGGCCACTTTGTAGAAGGCAAAGCGCGTAAATCTGAATCATTTGGAAAGTATCGAGTGTATCCAATTAAGTACGTTATATTATGAACATTATAACGACTTGCAATAACTTTCAGTAACCATTCATGAACTGTAATAATAGTTGTTTGATCTGTGATTGTTTCTCCGTACGCTTTAGACAATTCTTTTCGTGTAAAACCATATGTCGTTAACATGTCGTTAAACATTGGCGCATAGTTTATGTAAACATACACTGAGGAATCAAGAGAAATATAATTGGTTATTATTTCAGGCACAGATAAATCTAGTATTATGTCATCCTGTCCGAGGCCAAAATTATCCCTGGTAATCTCCTGAAGGTGTGGTGTATCAATTAATATTCCGTCTGTGTAATTTAGTTCCAAAATATCAGCAATTTTAATCCAATCCATTTTAGTAACGCGAGAAAAAATCGTCAATACGCTGAGTTCTAAAGGATTTTCAATGTCATCTGTGTTTGATTGTACATATCCAACAGAACTGGACAGAACTAAGACAACAGGGCAACTAAAATCTTGAAGAATTGATTGGGAGATGTGAAACAAGGTTCTGTTCAACGATATTGCATCATTACAAGAGTTATAGCTCTTTAAATTTATAAACTGTAAAGCAAATAACTGGGTACTGTTCCAATTATACAATATTTGCAAATCTCTGGTGGAAAAGTTTGTCGCAAGCTGCGTGTAGTAGTGTAAAGGGAGACTAGTCCAGTACTCTGATCCATCATCATGATCATAATCATCGTCATCATCATCATCATCATCATCATCATCGTCATCATCATCATTAGCGGTCACATATCTTTTTAATTTATGAGTTTCAAACACTTCTTTATCCAAATCAATTTTTTGATAAGGTAGAATTAACTCTGAATCCAATTGGGCTAAACTGTAATCAAGTAAAGTAGCTTCGTCATTTCTCACAAGTTCAGCCAACTCTGAGCGACTTACGGCCAATAAATCAGCTCTACACTGAATAGCATACCAGGCAATATGGGGAAGAAAACTTTTCCATTCACGCAACGTTACATTAAATGATGAAATGCCGAGCTGTTCTTCTATTGATGACATAGTGATACAAAAATGATCGTTTAATGTTTTTACAACAGCTTCGTGCAAACCTCCCAAAGTAATTGCAGGTCGTGTTCGACCGTTCAGTTCTTGCCTTGTTTTACCACTATGATATTCGATCGAAGATATATTCAACACGTAACAATACGAACCACAATGGTAACCATTTAAATTACTTGTATTGAGAATAGAGTCTTCATATAGAATATTTGCCCTGGAAATGATCCTATGAACACTGCTGTTATGGATTCCAGATACAGAAATATTCGTTGCACGCCAAACATCCCAGGCTGTCACTCGAGAGAAAAATTCATTCCGTTCAGCAGGTTTGTAAAATGACGATGTTTTATCGTTTGGTTGAGGTAACTCTTTCAGTGGTGTGATGAACAAAGGTATTCGCAAACTCAAACAGTACGGCAAAACAGATAGATTAACTATCCAACATAAACAAACAAAATATCGCAACCACATCTTCGAGTGGGAATAAACCAGGCGAAAAGGTAAAAACTCAGTATTGATATTCCCAGTAAAATTCAATCAATGCTGTAGCACAGTGAAACAAAAAATTTGCTAAGTCATTTCAATTTCGGCACATTCATAAGCAAACCGTAGGCGTGAACGACATGGGGTAAAGTGAAATAGCTTTCATTCAGCCGTGACTGCAACAATGCAGAGGACCGACATTTAGATCATTCTACATATTGGCATACATTATTGCTTCAATTATATGCATGTGAGCAGGAATCATTAGAATTTCAAAAATAATTTTGCGATAAAAGTTTACCGCTAAGTATTGCATTCCATCGTATAAGATCTAATTATGTTTCAACGGATATTTCCATGGTTTCCGAGCCTTTGGAGTATATAGGTTCATGCAACCATAAAACCTTTGTTCGTGGCACCACTAAACCCAAGAGGCGTTTTACATTATCGATTGTTTTCTTAAATGCAAACCTTGATCCGTGTTTACACTACAGAGAGAGAGTGAAGAAATGAAGAATCTATAGATACTGCACTTCATGTTCGAACTTGCTGCCATGCAGCTTATAGCCATATAGGCGGTTTTAACTGTTACATTATTTAACCTTCCTTGCAACTTGAAATACAAGCATTTCGAAATACAGGCATACAAGCATTTCTCACTGACATTTCTTAGTATCTGCTAAGGTTTTCTTAGCATTTCGAACATGCACCCTTTACATCCCTCAAAATTTTAATTGCATTGCAAGTTGCAAGGAAAATTGCAGTGTAACACTTGACTAAGAAATTCTAGGCCATAATTGTCTGTCATAAATAGCAAAAGATTATCACTACCATACAACAAAAATGATATATAAGTTTTCATTGGTTTTGTTGCATCGTTTGTATATCAACAATGTCAACTTTATATTGAACGTCGCTCTATTGAAAATAAATTACAGCAGCTTGTGTGTACTTGCTCTCCGTTTCCATTATATTGAAACTTTTATCACCCGCGACCTCGCGACGGTACCTGCTGCTTTTAAACTAAATGCTTAGTCATAATGTGTTTATTAGGTTTAATTCTCCTTTTTTCTGTTGAAATTCTTTCCAGATGTGCTGCAGTAGTTTTTGTTGTTCGATTGAACAAAGGTGATGTTGCATTCAACTACGTCTTTTTCTTCGATCTAGCTGAAGCAACTTTGTTGGATTCGTTTCCATCGTTGCCGTCGAAGTCGCAGACCCGTGGCTAAAAAGGGTTAAGAATTTTAGTTGCTCAACTTCAGGCAGTCAATTTATGCATAACATTATTGTTTTAGGGGAAGTAGAATTGTGCTTGTGCTAAAATAGCTCCTTTTCCATAGAAAAATTTTCAGGTGTCTATTGTGCCTGGACGGTATATCGAAGCCTATACCTATACTAAGGAGTAAGGTTTGCTTGGGCAATGCTCATATCTTGACCAGATACTCACACGATCGTTAAGGTAAAAGACGCACCTGCTTTTTCCAAGTGACATACCCGAAAGAGTATTATAAAGAAACATCGACTTTTTGCGGTGAATTTGTTTAAAATGTGTAGCTTCATTTAATGTCTTCAGACTTTCCTGGAAGAGTACCATCGAAGCAGATTTGCACCTGTATAAATTGAATAGAAAATATTGTCACTAGAACGTTCTTCATGTTCTCAATTCGTGTACTCTTATTCCCTATCTATTCTTTATACAAACGCTGAACTGAAGTTTTATATATTGTACTATTCTTTAAAAAGTAGAATCATGAAATAGAAAAATTCAAAGTAGCATGTTACTCGTTTACTGACTTACTTTCGAGTGTTGTCTGTCTTGTGACATGTAAAAAATTCTACTTCTTAACTCCCTTCTTATTTTCCTCTTCTTCCTGCCTTAACTTGTTTCGGAAAGAGCAAGGCCGCACAAGAGGGAGAAATAATTCCTACCTACGCTGTACAAATGGCGGTTGAACGCCAACTTGTGGATTGCAGTACTCAGCGAGTATAACCGACAGCAATGAGAAGTCTGACAATGGCCGGGTTGAAATAACTCTGCCTAAAATGATTTCACAATCACGTCAATCGCGCCTGCTACTGCACTTTTGTACCTATGGACATGCAATCCAAATCTAACGTGATCGGTACAGGAACATGGTGATATGATTTTAAAAACAGTGCTCAAATATAACGGAAATAAGCGAATTTGATTATTTTTTATAGTGATTGTGAATTGTGTACGAAATCCACTGCCACTGGCGAAGGTGAACGATGACACCAAAAAATAATGAAATTATTTCGAAAATATACGGGCAAGGCAACCAGTGTCTAAACTAAAAAGAAAAACTGCAAAAACGGCTTTACCAGCTATAAAATAAATATCGCGGGGACTGAAAGCTATTCGTTGGGTTGTGTTTATACTGCACATGAAAAGATTGAGACAAGACCGTGAAAAAATATGATAGGCTAGCTCGGAGTCTGAGCAGCGGTGCGACCTAGGGCGCTATTATCATTCAAGGTGAAAGAAGTGCACATTATTAATATTTTATTTCAATAATACATTGCGATTATTCTCAATTACTCATGACATTTCACCAAGACTTCTTGCTATTTAACACTACCTTTATAGTTGGTACAGTTTTTAATCAACGACCTGCCAACTCTTCAGTTAATCGGCTATATATATGGAATGTAGAGGTTCAATATGCATTACATAGAATAACCAAGTCCCTGCGTGAATCTATCTGCCTTTTATTTTGAAAAAGATTGAAGTACTGAACTGAAGTACGAAGTACTAAACTATTTCTCATCAACAGCTTTTTAGAAGGTTCCTACCTATTCTGAGAAAGAATCCAAGACACTTCCGTATCATGCAGTACCAAAAGCTCTAAACTGGTTTAAACCTGATTAAATTTTTATGAAATTTTATTCTAAAAATCATGCTTGCTCTATAAAAGTTGGCAGGTCTATGATTAAAAATTACTCCACTGACTGATAAAATGGATATTACACACAAATTTAATGACTAAGCTATTTAAAACTGACTAAAAATACCAGTCCATCTTTGAGAGTGAATTAACTGCCTTGTGCTTCTTGCAACTATTTTAAGCTGTGTTCTAGTAACTCACTTCCCATTGCTATTTCTGTCCCTCAATCTAAATAAAGTTATACATTAATTAGTACATCTTCACTTCTTTTTTGCCTGGGATCTGCTAACTGTGACTAGGAACTAAAACTTTTAGTTAGATATCGATGCAGAATAGGTAATATTATTGTGATAGGTAATTTAATGGGGCATTGACTATATCAAATCCACAATCCTTTATGATCATTCAAAGTTGGACACATTCTTACCTTTTCAATATGGCTTATAGCCTCGATTTGTGGAGCTTGATGTATTTCTTGATGGACCATAACCAGATGAAGACTGGTCATAAGCACCCATTTGACTGTTACTAGTTCCCCCACCATATGCATTATATAATGCAGCTTGGAAATTTGCTGGATTCATACCTGCAGCACCAAACATAGCACTCATTGCATTGGCATATCCTGACATATCGCCCATGTTACCTGCACCTTGGTCACCATACATAGATGAATTTTGAGATCCGTAGCCAATTACACCATCACTTGATGTTAGATTACCAGTATTAGCTGTTTCATTGGAATAATTTTGTTTATAATCACCACCACCAGTTGATGACCCTCTATATGAGTCACTGCCACGACTTTGTCCACCCATACCATCACTACTGCCTCTTGCATTCATCCCCATATTACCCATTCCACCACCCATGTTACCCATATTTCCCATTTGATTCATAAACATGCTCATCATTCCAGCCAAAGCCATTGGATTCATGTTGAATCCACCACCAAAGCCTCCAGAACCTGTATACAAAAGAAAATATGTGATACTATCAAAAATGAAGGAAAAACGTCTGAAAAAAAGATGGATAGAATATAGAAGGATGGTAAAAATATTGCTTCAATTAAACCTATTCTATACATTATTTGAATGTTTCTATAACTAACCTCCTCTAGAACCTCCACCATTATTTCCAAAGAAAGGCATTCCACTACCACCAGACATTCCCCCTTGCATTGACATTTGACCAGCACTACTGTTGTTGCCTCTCATTCTGCTTGAACCTGAAACAAATATCAATATTGAACAATTATCAAATGAGGTTTAGCATAATATGGAAAATGAGCATGGCTTTAAATATCTGCGGGCGAAAAGCGGAGGTGAGAACCACACAATGAGAACCACCATGCACCTTGTCCACAACTCACAAGTCTTGTCTACCTTGATAATGCTTCATACCGTCAAGACAACAACTTCATTGCTACTACATTTTAATGTAAATGATATTCCTGAATAACTGGTTACTTTAGTTTTTTTTTACCACTTGTGACCTGCCAAAGCGGCAAAGCCTGGTGTAACTCAACTTTTCAAATACTGTTCATATATAAACGAACATGTAATAAAAATTTGAATACCAACCTTGATAACTATCACGCGTATCTCGTCTACGATCTTCAAGTTGTCGTCTTGTATATCCATAATCTTTCTGCTCCTTTTTCATCATTGCCATTCGTGTCTCAGCCCGACGAACTTCGACAGTTTTGGTTCTGATTTCAAAATACTTTACAGAGCAGATTTTATCAACGATTTCTTTATCATCAAACATGACAAAACAAAAACCTCGAAGTCTATCGTTGTTTTCTCGATCTCTCATGATCAAAACTTCTTCTACCTTTCCATGGCCTGCTTCTTCACAGAACTTAGTGAAGCAATTACGAACATCTTCCTCAGTTGTGGCACTGGCAAGGCCACCGACAAATATCTTTAAAGTATTACCCGTTTCCTCGGCTTTAGACGATTGTGCAGTTTCTTCTTTAGCGACTGCACGCTTCGGCTCGACTTCTTTGCCATCGAGGATATGTGGTTTCGCTTCCAAAACCGCATCGACAGATTCAACGCTTTCGTATGTAACAAACCCGAATCCTCGAGACCTTCTTGTATCGGGAAAACGCATAACGACAACATCGACTGTTTCGCCCCAGCGGGAGAAGTAATCTTTAAGACTTTCTTCGGTCGTATCAAGATTTAAACCACCAATAAATAGTTTTCGCAGCTGCTCAGTGTGAAATGGAGGCATTTTTAGAAAACGTTTGTTGCAAATTTATCTTCTATTGTAGTTCCAAATGTTCTAAATTGTGTTTCAAAACACGCCGAATTTTGTTGTAAAGTACGCTGAACACGCTTTTCAGTGACTGCACTCGCAACTTTGATAGTCTGATACATCCTAATTTGGTTTAACTTACCATATAAGGAATGATATCAAGTCTTGTGACCACTTGTGACAAACTCTTACCCAGAGCCCGCGATCCAATGGTCTTGTAAAAAAGCGGATGCGGATGACGGGCAAACGAAATACGTTCTCAGCGAGCAGCTTCGCCTTCGCATCCACAATCTCGTTTCCTGAACCTGCAATCACGAGCACAGGGAAAAAGATTGACTAAGGCAAGACGCTCTTCAAGACTTCAACACACCATAAATTGGGATACATTTATTTACCGAGAGTACGATTATTGAAGGCGACGAGATTACGACACCCCTCGCACGTCACCTCCGTTTTCAGAGTAGTGTTTCAGTGAAAGATTACAGTTTTTGGTCGTTAGCTACCACCTTCCTTTATAATATTCGCCATACAAAATGGCGAATAAGAGGAAAGTCAGAGGTGAAACTGAAGAATTAGTCAACACCCGCAACGATATACAGCAGAATATGGACAACGATTCAGCATCAGGCTACAATCCGGTATTTGTCAATTCACTCACGTATGTTGGAACGTTGGCATTTTTTATTCTCTTCTTAGAATTACCCAGTTTGCCAACACTTCCATACCCACTTAATGGATCCATGCTTGTATCGAACGATGGTGACTTCGCTAAGAATACAAACGTGAAATATCTGTTCATAACCTTGTGGGCAATACATTTTATCCGACGAACACTAGAAGTGTTATTCGTTCATAACTATAAACGGCGTATGCCGTTGGTCGAAAGTGTTGGTGCGCCTATCTATTACTGGTTCTTTGCTATCTGGATTGCTTGGTCAATGCGTTATAAATCAGGTTATGAGCAATCATTTATGATTCTAGTGATACTGGGGAGTGTAATATTTGTTATTGGTGAAATAGGTAACTGTATTTGTCATATCCAGTTACGTGGATTCCGAAATGAAAAGCACCCGAATTATATTTCCAGCTCATCCGGCCATGTACTTCCTCATGGGTTATTGTTTAATTACGTGTCATGTCCGCATTATTTCTTTGAAATCGTCACATGGATAGGATTCTTCTTTGCAACGTGGACATTGGCATCTGTCTTGTTTCTCCTTGCGACTATTCTCACATTAGTCACCTATGCATACAAGAAACATAAAGCTTATGTACACGAATTTCACGGCAACGATGGAGGATATCCTCCAAACAGAAAGGCATTAATTCCCTTTATCTTTTAGTATATTTAAATGTTATATATCTTTATGCTGGCTTGCGTGACATCTGTTAGTTTACAAAGTTTATGTAGAATCTATTATTAGTATACTACCTTAGGTCAAATATGAGCTGACTTAATTAATTGTATGCATGCTTTTAAATCATAGATCGATTTTTGTTTGCCATTTAAAAAGCATTAACTAGGAATTAGGGTAACCCTTGCCCTATGACATAAAAAGAAAGCAGTCTTCGTATATGGGCCGATAACTGGAACGGCAATGGATTTGACAATTAACTGGAAGTCTGGAACTGTTCAAAGACTGTATATTTTTCGAAATTTATTCTCATGTAATGACGTTACATTGTAAAAATTTGATTAAACACCCAGAATTGATGAACGACAATACACATGAAAATGAATTTTAGACATAAGGTAACATTAACAACGACAATTAATACACTTAGTTCTGATCTCATCACTTAGATTAATATTTATAAAGCAGTGACATGCTTATAGTCGAAATATTTCCAAAGAGATTTTATCTACATGGATTTGCCTCAGGTCTTGAAAATTTGCTTCAGGCAGTTTCTTGAATGACATAGTTTTCGTATTCAACTTGATATAAAACAGACGCGGATGCATGCAGCAACCCTCGCTCTTAAAAGATTTGGTGTTCAGGGCTATCCTATAAATATTTTTCCTGGCTGTCTACAAAAAATTTATCTGCTCTTTTAGCTTAGATATTTTTCGACCAAAAGTCAATAATTATTTATGCTCGTCACTAATAAATTCGTAATGAGGTTGTCCAGTCCAATTTGGACGCTAATGGCTAAAACGGATGGACGAGCGGAAGTTTATGATAGGGTAAGGAAGTTTATTAATACGTGAAGATAAATGTCCAATGACCATGGATGTGGTTGTTTGTTGATTTTACGTTATAAAGACCTTCAAAATTTGCACAACGTTTTACACCTCCTGCTAGTCCAACCCTTTTAGCCAGGCCAAATTAAGAACCGAGAAAAGTAAGGGCGACTTTGCGTCCAGCTTATTAGGAAACTGCCGGAAATAGTCTCTTGCATGAGAACACCTCCGTCAGCTGCGACATTCCCTGTGAATTCCCACGTGGAACATTGTCAACACCATAGCTGTCTGTCACGTGAACACTATTGCTCTGTTATCACGTGATAACATCGTTTCTGTCATAACTATCGCTGCCTCCCACTTGCTCTTAACCTGTGAAAAAAATGAAAATAGAACCGTTACGATTTTCAAGTTCTTGAATTTCAGATGTTTATGATTCGCATTCAAAATTAAGTCACTGAATCCTTCAAAATAAAGTTACTACAAGTTTGAGACTGGTGTAATTGAAGAAATTTCAAGTTCATGCATGGCCATCATCTCAATATTGCTGTTTAATAAACGAAAGCAATCGTTGAAGTTTCCTGGATCCTGGTTTGGATCAGTGGCGTTCCAGGGTAATGCGATATCTAATTTGCAATCACATTAATAATATTCTTGTAATTTCTTATTTCTATTAACTGTGATTACCCCTAATCTGCCACTGGTTTGGATGTTCAAAACCTTATAAAATTACCACATTACCTTCTCATAATGTTCAAACTTTAACGTCGTGTATTCTATAAATATTTCACGCAACTCTAGTTCTTTCTGATAGTCGAAATGATACAGCTCATCCGAAAGATTCTTGTACATCATTTCCAAGTGTGCTTTGGCAGCAAGGTAATTAGAGTTCGCCTGGAAATTAAATATAACCGCATTCAACACAACATATTAATTAATTTTAATAACCTATTGACTACTAAAAATCTACTAACGAGGAAAATCGCTTGGCGTTAGACAGAGTATAGTAAGACAGAGAACCTAGACTAATCGCGGAATAACTGCTTGGACATCCACTGTAATAGTAAATTGATATACATAATACAGTGTACAATCACACAAAATATCACTCAAATGATCTAATGAACTTTGATTTGTTACAGCCCCTGAAGAGGAGTAATGCCATTCTTTTAAATTTTTTTAAACTTATCTAACCTCAGCCCATCTCGTCGTGAGATCTGTATTACTTTCTTTACTCATATTTTTCTAGTGAAAAAAAGTTGCAAAACTGGGTTAAAAATTAAACAAAAGTAAAAACTCCTGGTGAACAGTATTTCACTATTCAGCGTTACTACAAGAGGGTGGATATCAATCCCCAGGCCTCTACAGTAGCTAATTTTGATTTCCTAATTATTACCTTCATGTCTTCACAAACCCGAACTTCTTCTTCCCAGTACAAAAAACTGTTCACAGAACTTTCTACTCTTCCTAATAATTTCTATATAATGAAAATATCGGATGTTTGTATAAAAAACTGCAAGTGTCATCGAAATTATAGCATATATCGAAATGAATAGTGATCTTTCTTCACACGCTACACCGTGGTTATAGTGGTATCACTGATATTGGGGGTAGCCTATTCAAACAGGAAAACTGGAGTCTTTCAAGAGTGGCCATCTTGAATGTCAGCGATACTATACCATAACCACAATGTAAAGTGCAGGGATGAACGAGATGCCATAATTGGGGGGAGTGCATGGTAAACCATCATAATATAATCGTTCTGCCTGACAAACGAAAGCAAAACGAATATACGAAAACAGTGTATGCACTCCCCGTCCCAATTACCGCATCTTGTTGCGGCTCTGGTAAAGTCCTACGAATACTTAACAGGGCGATATAAGGATTATAACATACCTGACAGCTATAAATATATTCTAAAACACTTTGAAGATCACCAATAATAAGTTTCTCATCCTCTTTCTAAAATATAAAAATGCATATTTATAGTGCTTTAACACGGTTCGAACCATGAATGTCAAATAATATTTTACCTGCCCTTTCTCTAAGTCATCGCAAACTTTACTCAATGCTTGTGCCGCAGTCTGTGTTGAAAACAAAGAATATTGTTCCAAGTTAAAAAAAACTGAATGCCATCATTATCATCTACTGTGTATATTTACCTTCAAGTACGTATCTTCAGGTTCAGATTCTGCAATAGATTTAAACCATCGACCTTGACCTTCTAAAAAATATAAAATTTAATATAATTTCTCTTTAATATAATTTATCGTGAAATATTCTTCGTTAAGTCTATCAGTCCGGACTGACTGGTATACATGAACTGAACCAGACCTAATTCGTTGGAATACTATGTTGTAGAGTCGTTCCAATATAACCAGGGAGCAGCGTTGCAGCGCCTTATAATACGTCAGGCCCTCAGGTCGAAACGTTGAGAAGTGTTTTTGTCTATTTTAGGCAGTTGTTATACCACATTGATGCTAATTATGTTGTGGAGTGTGAACGAGTAAAAATAACCATGCCAGAAATCGTCATAAAGAAACAATATACTCACTTTTCGAGCTAATTTCCAGACTACTCCGTAAGTGATTAATCAGACCACTTAGACTCTTCACGATGGATTCTAAGTATTTCTGCAGAGAGAATATAATCAGAGATGATCTTAAGGCAGTTCATATTGAACATTAGTGTTTCCACGAGGTTTCATCCAGACACTAAAAAAAGTTATGTATTTTAGTTACCTGACATTTAATCAGTGTTCCTTTATCACTTGTGTCAATCCTGGAGGGTTTATGTTCAACTGGAGTCTGTTTTAACGACTGCCTTTCATTAAACCCTTCTTTGGCAATTTGAATTTCCTTTAAAAAACCAAAAAAGGAAAGCTTTTAATGCCTTGCAAAGCTGATGTCTCGTTCCAACATAAAACAATCGAAACCCCAAGCAGTACCTCATCTGAACCAGTTAGAAATAATTGAAGCAAACTGCTGGTTCGCAGAATCTGATGTTGGCAAAGACGAGAAAGAAATCGCTCCAACTCTCTAGTTTTCCCTATAAAAATAATGAAACCAGACGTTACGCATGCACAGCTATAATTTTTGTAATATAATCTGACTAGCAGTTCTTCTTTAATAGAGTTCTCTAGTATGGAGGAGAACCATATACACATCAGTTTAAAAATCCGAAACAAGGCTAGATGACCTAGCAAACTGCTGGATGAGTTTTTTACAGCTTCACCACCGCGATCTACTGTATTTATACTGTATCCTAGTTATACTTACCATTAAGTGTAGTCTGTTGTAGTAAAGGAGGAACTACACATTCTGTACACAACTCTTGTAAATTTTCTCTTAACCATAAACAATCTGATTCACTTCGATGAACATCATAATGAGTGCTATTGTAATTTTCAAGATTTGTCTATAAAAACAAAACAAACCTTTATTTGTAAATCGTATGTGCAATGTTACGTTACGGTAAAAGCTGCAGTATGCTTAAAAATGTAGTCGTGAAGTGAGATTAACTTATTTTTTTTAACTATTTTAAACTGTTTGCCCATTCTCAGTCTTGCTTACCCTCGTGACAATTTTAAACGAAGCTTTCTCGATATCTGCTTCCGAACAAGTAACATTCACGATCAATGTGTCTGGCTTATGCAATCTACATGAACGTTTTAAAGATTAACAAAATGAAGATAACAAAAGAATGCATGGAGTGTTTTGTAAACGGGAATATTGATTACAGCAAAGGACAGTACATAAATTGTTTGTGTTATCACTTACGCACGATTCTTTGACTGTGATTGCGCAGAGCATATCCTTGAATGACTTGTTATTTCATCAATTCTTAACATCAAGAAAAAATTCATTTTATACAAAGGCAAAACCTAATTGTTGTTCAAATTTTCAATATAACCTCACAAAAGTGTGGGTATAGCTCACCTCATCTTTTCAGAGCAGAGCGTGCATGATAACACAAGATCGTCAGGGTCTAACTCAGCACTTAGTCTGTGACATGCCTGTTGGAGGAACAGGATTATCGGTAAACCTGGGTGTACGATCATTACAAGAAAACTGGTCGACTGTTATCATTCTGTCGCTAATATCATATACTCTAACTGGAATTAGTTATTTGTAATTGTATTGCGAATCCTTCCGATGGAAAAGATATGTCCAAAAAATAACAACGAAGCAATAATTAGATCTGCCAAGTACAACGTTACCAACCAGACGACCACACGTTGGTCAGATGTGGAGTATATTAACCAGATGTGCTGTATACATATTAACGAAGTATGGAACCATACATACATACAAATACTGTAATATGACTTCAATATTTTCAACCCATGACGCAAATTAAGACAAAATGATGCCAGGCATGAAATGCAAAGTAAATTAATTTCTATACCTTCATTTTTTGAGCTATAGGTTTATCTGTCTCTTGAACCACGTGTCCATTGGGGAGAATTTTTGCTTCATTTTCAGAACCAGGAATTCCATCGAATAATTTTATCTGCGAAATGAACAAAAATGACTGTGAGCTTTGGTGATACGAATTCTCTTTAGCTACCAAACTATTGATTACAAAATAACATATGTTGTCGCGAAGTATCATGGCCTTACCAAAGATTCCTGACCAGTTTTACAAATTTCTGACCTTAAACGGTCAATATAACCTTGGAGTTCTTTGATGTTTTCTTGTTCCTAATGGTATAAAGTGTTATAAATAATGTTATACTGTCAATTATATCATTAACTATAAAAACGATATTCAGGTACAAGTATAAGTGTTTTTGACACTGCAATTACCCTCAAGAGGAGTACTTGAGTTGCACCGAGTTCTTCCTTAAATGAAACGGAGTTTTCGCCGACGCTATAGTATCTTTGCAATAAAAAGAAGTAATGAAAAGATTAAATCTGAACGAAAAGATTAATTCAGAAAAGAAAAAAACTTATCGCAATAGTATAACATTTTTGTTAGAAAGCTGGAAGCTTAAGTTAATTGGGGGGGGGGGGGGGGGTGCATATTCATATATTCGTTTTATCATACTGCCTGTTCTATATATTATGGCAGGGGTCACTGTGAGCAGTGAATATGAGACATAGTGGAACTATCGTTGTAAGTAAAAGAAGTATGCATCGCTAGCTTTAGCTAAGTTTCGTTTTACCATTTCCTAAAGGGGTCTGGTTGTAAATGGTCTATGGTTTGTTAGTTTTGATAATCTCACGCCCATGATCAGTAAATAGTGCGGCTTGTTAATGAACACATTTGGCGCAGGTCCGCCGCGCAGCGTTTCTGAAATTCGTCCATAAGCCCTTCACAATTTTAAAGGAGAGAGAAAAAAGGACGAATTCCTTAAACGCAATGTATTAGTGTGTAGATAATATACTTGATCCCTCCCTACCATTCAGTGGAAATTCAAAAAACTCGCGAATATAATTTTTTTATCAAACAGATATACGAAATATTGTTAAAATGAGTACTGTAGCTTAACTAAAATAACACACAGTAAAACAGTAAGCGTATATAGTGAATGCGTTACGATATCAAATTAGCTTACTCTTTCAAAATTTGATGAAGTAATTTGGTAAAATGACCACGCTCTTGAATAAGCCTTAAAGAACAATTGAAATGTTAGGGAGGATCAGGTATTTTCGCTCCATTTACCGTTTACAAAAAATACACCCCACAGAAAATTTATACATTTTCATTATCATGTTTCTTGTGTTGATATCATAGATCAATTATTATTATTATTATTATTACTATTAATGTCCTAGCTTTGCAGAATCTCCCCAAGGGATCATTAATGCAATAGAAAGTTCAACAGCTCAAGCCAAAGATCAGGTAGACTGCATGCATACCCTGCAGCTGTAAGGCTTTTTTCAATATAGTAAGGACATATGAACTTTGAATACTTGTCTGTGAAGATGCTAGTGCGAGTTTAGGTAGTTTTTACAGATACTGCTACCAGCTAAGCTGACATGGAATCACCAAATTTTCTTGGATAAAGAACACTTACTGTACATTACTACACCATATACCTATTTGCTACATAGAAAACAATTGGAGAGCAACCTTGCAATTCTAAATGGATGGTGCTTGGAACAAGTTTTCAGTTTGCACAATATGCAAAATTATTAAATGGCATCCAAAGATGAAGCAAGAGAAGACTAAGTATATTAAACAACCATTCATAGGGGAATTTTGATACCTAGAAATCACCTACCTGTCACTCAGATTTTTATTCTCGATGATATGTTCATCAATTTTCTTCTGAGCCCGACGCAATCTTTGTCTCAGGTCTGCATTCTCTTCTCTTAACTAGCAATGGCATTTAACAACATAACTTACTCTCTGCCAATTCTAATGTCATCAAACATTTACTTCAGAAATAAGAATTGTATTTGTAATAATAAGAATGTATTTGTGATATAACTGCCTAGAGGTCCTAAATAGTGATACTACCATTAACCACTCGAAAAGGTTGAATATTCACTGTTATGAACAGAATTTGGAATGGCAGACAAGTATATACAACTACAGAATGACCATATTCAGAGCTCAGAATAATTAGTGCGAGCAGAAAATGTTTAAAATCTTAAGCCTTTTGATCATCTTCAGAGTCAGAGTTATAAACTCCTCTGTGTAGTTAATATGAAATTGGTAATATGAAAGTTCACCTTGACAGGTATACCCAGAAATATTCAATTCATTAATGGGGAATGTTTTACTGAATTTAGGAAACGTTGTAAAACATTTTTTTCAAATTGTCAAGATTAATTTTCTTTTAAAATAATCCTTATCAACGTTAAGGCATGCAGGGTGAAGTAATACAAAATTTACTCCATATCAATGTTCCATATCTAAAATGATAATGAAATACTCAACAATTACTAGATATGAAATTTATTGATTGTTTCAACTTCCTGTCTTCTTCCTGGGTTTTGTTATTTGTCAAAGATAATCAATACTAATTAGTATTTCTACATCGTAGGTTCCATGTGCTTAGTATCAACATTATTCATATTCAAAAAACGTTCCATTCACTAATGTAGCAAATTAATTAAAGTACGCGTTCGAATTTCGTCTTATAATCTACGAAAATATTTTGGTATTGCATTTGTAATTCTACACTAAAAAATATTTAAGCGCATGAATTTCACAAAGTAATAGATAAAATCATAAAAAGCAAGGATTATTATCTTATAATGAATCGATATTGGGATAGTAATAAGCATAGCATAATATTGTTTCCCAGATTAGGATAATAAAATAGGTTGTCTAGTAAAACCGTCAATATTGACATTAGCTGATATCATGTTCTAACCTGCTGTATCTCACAGGAATAGTCGTCGTCGCTTGTCGACATCAATGGCGTGCTATCCTCGTCCGTTTCAGCATCATGACCACTGTCCATAGCCAGTAACGATCAATCTTATAGCGAAATTTCTGTAGATTATAGTATAAAATATTGCTATTATCACGCGACCACAACTGCGAGACACGCATTACTGTGTGTGATAAACAAGCTAAGTAGTCAGCCAAATCCATTTTACATCAACAAAGCTTATAAACTATTATTCTTGAACCTTGGAAATTAGGCAAACTCTCAAGCAACCTATATACAAATACAGGACTACACCGCCTATCCTGTAACGAAGAAAGAATTTCTTCATATGATTTTCACATATATGTTTAAACAACATGCGACACTCAATTTATTTTGAGGTCTCACAAGACCCACTGTCTCTCGCACATTTACAAATACACAAAAAGAATAGGAAACTTTAAATTCAGAACGACACGGTTCCCTGAGAGCGACAATAATAGATATGCCAATAGAGCAATATAACTACATCACCTTATATGTTAATCTTGTTCCTGCAAAAATTTGTCATCCGTGAATAATGATATTCATATTAGTTTGCTTCGGCGGTCAAGGTTTTGCAATGGAATGCCCCGCAATTGGCCGCAAAGACCAGGCAATATTACCAATACCAGCATGCGTCACGGGCTCCATATAGGGTAACAAAATACGTCCCAAGATTGTGATTTGTCTAAGTTTGTCGGTCCTGCGTCAACACCAAAACGATCGTAGGTACCGTTGCAACGATACACAACATTTTTTTACAAGAAAACAGTGGACCAAGACTTGCAGTAACCAAACCCTTATTGCTCCCATATACACATCCGCCATTTCATTACGGTTGCCTGGTAGGTCACATAGAATAAAATCAACAATTAGTCTCTGCATGGTTGGTGTCTTACTACCTTGCCAACGCCTCGCATCATTGAAGAAAAGTTACTCTTCAGTACAAAATTACACAACTGACAACAAGTTCGAAGCATCCGATATATATTCCACATCTTTCACTCAAGCATATTTACAGAAGTCAATAGTCTGATCATATTTCACTTCACATCTAAAGATACTTTAATATTCATAGCACCGAGTTCAGCAACAAGGTATCGGAAAACATAGGGTAAAGAAAGAACTTTTATATGTTCACTCGTCTCACAACTTTTACAGCTCCATTTTCTTGTGACATTTGATGCAACAGCTGCCATTTCTGATGCAGGTTTATCAAAAATTGGTGATAGCAGACTTCCACACTTTGAACATACATGGCCCTGTTGTTAAGAGAAATTACAGTTGTCAGGAGCAAGACTGTTTCGAGTGAGAATTTAGCCGGTGCAACTTCGGCATGACGTCATCTGCTTAGGCAGAAACTTTAAAGATGGACCCCCCTCCACTCTAAACCTGCTATCAGATACTTTCCACTGCATGGGAAGTTGGAGTAACTACGTTTTCTTACAAAGCTAAAACTCTAAAGTTGAAAATCTAGAAAGCAATAACTCAGTATTCCTTGAGCGCGCTCAGAGTTTATTAAGGTTGTTTTGAAAGGACACCTTTATTTGATTAGCCGCAAAATACATGCACGTGATACCTCAGAACGATCTGAACAGTTCATTAATCTATCTTGCAAAAGAAATGAAGTTCCATGGGCAAGTAAAGCATCGCGCTCCATTTCACCAAAACGAATTCCTCCTTGTCTTTTTCTGCCTTGAACAGGTTGATGAGTAAGAGCATCAATAGGACCAGTCGCACGCACCTGAAGATGAAAACAATAAAATAACTTGAATTAATTATAGCAATTGATCTGACGCACGATGAAGGGGGAATATGAAACTGTTGGGTGACGTTTTCAGGTTCTATGTATGTCTACCATACCATCACAAAATATCAATAACACTTAAGTTAGTAAAATTCAATGTCAGAGTGCTGCTGCAATCACTTTGGAAGGCTGTCACTAATTCATGGTCGGTAAAAACCTCAGCGAAAACCTGCCATCAGATGACACGCAAATAGTATCTCATCATCCATTGACATACCGTTGACTGTGCATGTATTAAACGTAACTAACATCATTTATACTGCTTGAACTAGAAAACCTCATTCCATGCAAGCACAGTAAAATTGAATAAAATTACATACAAAATTAATAAGTACCTGATATTTATCCGAGACCATATGACGTAAACGTTGATAATAAACAATACCAAAGAATATATCTGCTTCAAATTCTTTGCCTGTTATACCGCTATAAAGCCGCTCTGTTCCAAAATAATTGTAGCCAGCTAAACAAATCCAGAAATTTTGAGGTATTAAATAAATATATCATTAACTACATAGTTACTGGTTATAGTAGAGGTTGTTACTTGTTGCACTGTCATTCTGATAAGATATTTATGTGGTTTGTTCCATGACCACAATGCAGTAAATCGGTCAATGAAACGAGATACGACAATATTTATAGTAACAACTAAGCAAACCTACCTTCTATTAACATTTTACCGAAATAATCAATGGCAGAATTATCTTCAGAAAATGTGAATGGTGTAGCGTCATGTACCAAACCATGCATGCTCGCTGACTTGCCAGCCATACTTTCGATCATCATTCCTGGAGTAATAAATCATCATAATCATAAATCATTTAGACTTCTCCAAGGATATGGACAAAATGTGCCTAAAATTTCCTACAGACAATATATTTCTGATTGTCAAAGATATATACACATTCACGAGAACAGTTTTTTAGAAGAATCCAAATCTTACCAATAGTCATACGTGATGGAAAGCCGTGAGGATTAAAAATAATATCCGGCGTCATTCCAGATTCTGAGAAAGGCATGTTTTCTGCTGGCCACTTTTGACTGTATGAGAAATGAAGAAACTATAGATATTATACCACCATGCATGCCTGGATGAAGATATTTGAGGTATGCGGTAGAGAAGAAATAAAAACCGCAGGTGTAAATAGAAACGACGATTTATAAACAATACCTATAACCCAAAACAGTTGAGATATATGAAAGTCTACATGTGTTTAAGAAGTACAATGTATCTTATATCAGCTCACCTACAGATACCTTTCTGCCCATGTCGACTTGAGAACTTGTCACCAATGATTGGATTTCTCTAAATACAATAATTTAAACATGTGATCAGCTTTTACGATCAGCAGAAAGAACCTAATTGTGACTACCTGGAGTTTCGCTGGAACTTTATTTTTTTCAGACTCCTAGCAGTATAGCTAGGTACAACAGAAAACACACCTGTATTCTCCACTTCAAAGATACTCTTTGTAACTCACCATCACCGCTATCATTACCAAGAAATTTCACCTGTAACGAAGTCGCTACTTTAAAGAAATTGCGTTGCCAAGTTGTAGACAAACGTGTGTCGTGCAATATAATGGTCTGAAGTAAATATTATGAAAATGTACTTACGGATTCCAAGTATGCCGCTTCCATGTAATGGTAATATTTTACTTTTGCATCACCAGTTGTCAGGTCGATATAACTAAAAAGTGTGCGTATAGTAGTACTACCAGTATTGATAGCAAAATCATGTCAGGTGTATATACTAAAACATACTCACCAATAACAAGGATCACCATTCTCTAGCTTTGTCCCAATTGGTGGAAAACCATCTTTATCCAGTTTTCCTGAAACTCTGCTATCATCTGGTAAACAACCTAAACGATCAATCGAAGAATTTTTCTGTACTGCAGAATAAAATTGTCCTATGGTATCCACTATATAGTTCCTGTACAATGATGTCTCTGTAAAATCTACGAATTTCATCGATTTCAAAGAAAATGACTTATTTCTTCCCTTTTGGTATATTTAATGCACACGTACCAAACCTAAGATTGACATTTCGAGGATCACTCGCATATTTCGCCAGATCAACGACCTGTAGTGAGAATAAAATGTTAATAAAGTTTCAAGAAGACTCTCGATCATAACAGGATGGTGCATGCTTGATTACCTGCATTTATACACCATGTTGAATTAGAACCATGTTGAGATACATGCATGCATCTATCTACATACCTTTAAATACGATATATACCTCGGTTTTGTAAACTGTGCCATGAGCAAAGCCACGCTCGAACGAAGATTTGTTTAATATCATGGCATCTTCCATATCATAACCCTAGAATAAAAAATACAAAATACGATAACGCAGGGACAAATAATTTTGCGACAAACCAACTAATATCATAACGATATATCACTTGAACGAACTAAAATCAGAAGCGTATAGTTCTATAAATACTTCGAATTAACAAGTGATTCTGATAGGTAAGTAATGTTCTTGAAAAGAATAAGAAAGTCCAAAGTAAAAAAATATAGATAGTGAAAATTTCAAATGCACTCTTGCATCCAAATAGGCAAGGTAATCATAACCAAAACATATTATTTTGCATGAGTTTACCGTGTAAGATATAACAGCGACAATTGCATTTGTTCCCACAGGATAATTATCAACGTTAAACTCATCGTGAGCTTTTGGGCGAACTAATGGCGACTGGGGAGTCTAGAAAAATGGATAAAAACTATTATTCATTACTTCTGACAAGTTTCTTTGATTATGTACGAACGCTCGTATATATGTGCAAGGCCGGAATACGTTCTAGCTAGACATGCCAAATAAAACGTGGAATTCAAAATTAAATGACAAAATAAACTTCATTCAGTCTTACTGACCTGTATCCGATAAAGTTTATTATCGCTACGAAACGGAAACGCGTGACATGGTGTTCCCATTGTTTGTTTTCCCATCTATATATAGTAGATTAAGGCTATTATAATAGTTGGCAAATCAATTCAGACCTGTACAGACGACTCACCAAAGGGAGTAATAGCAGGTATCTACGCCTGGGCGATGGAAAGAATGAACATCACTTCCATGTCAAACTGTCTTCCTTTAGTTTGAGGGACAAATGCAGAAATAACCCCATGCAAAATAACTCACAATCACCTGCTTTGGATTCATGGACAAATTCAAAGCATTGCTAACCTGACATTGATACATATTCCTGGGACTTTGGTTAAAATCTGAATATGGTGTTAAACTTGCGACAGTGCTGAGGAATCCAGTCTGTTTTATCTCCATGTGTGTCGTGATCTACAAGTGAAAAATACATGAAACCAGCTCAAAATTTCACACATAATTACATAAAGAATTATTGAGCTCTTGCATACATGGAGCTCCGCGGTCAACAGCTAGGTCAGTGCACAGTATATAGATAGTGAAATGATGAACAGAATCTCTTCTTTTGACCTTACCCCTTCATGAACCTCATCTGGAACTATTGCAACGTCAAGATATACCTGAAAGCATCGTAATTTCAAATTATACTACAGTTATGTAGACGAGACATGTAGCATTGTTAGCAAAATAATAATATGTTCACGATGGTGAAGACATAAAAGCTTCTTAGCAAGTTTCTTTGGAGCAATATATCACTCAATTTCGCAATAACTTTCGAGTGTTGTCGTAGAAGCACGTTACGATGATATGCCTTTCTTTTAGTTTTCTTTCATGTCTGGACGGTTGTTATTTACCTGTTCGAATGTTCCAATCATTTCAGGTTTTCCAGCAGCGATATTTAATAACGGCCTCGTCATTCGCGCAGGAGTGGTGAATAAAAATAGACCAGGATACTGACTTGCTGTTTTAGTGAAAGGAACTAAACAAACTTCCAAATGTTTGGGAACCTAAAAAAGTTGAAATAGTTTACAATAATTGTTTTTAATGTAACAATACAACTTCATACAATTTAATCGTAACTTGGTGAGAATGGTCTAAAGTGTATAGTGATTTAGCGTATTTATATTACAGATCTAGACATTGACGAGGCTAAAGTACAGAATTTTGATCGAAAGTTTCTACTTGGAAGAGTTGTTCAATTTGTTCTCACTAAACACTGTGGGGGAGGAGGGTGGTGGGGGTGTGAGGAAGTGGTGCATTCTAGTTAACGTTTACACCCAAAGAGGAGTTGAAGAGAGCTTGAAATGTATATCCGATATTTAACATGATTTACTAGCCTGTTCCAGTTGTTCAACTTTCATTATTCTTAGTCTCTTTACCAAATCATTGGCCAATTGTTCTTCCACATAACCTAATACCCTACCATCTAATAAGACTGGGTAACACGACGGCACAGGCGCTGAAGTCGGACAGTCCAGGGGGGTCATACCAAGTGAACATAACAGCCGGGGGAGATGCGAGGTTTGAGGTGATACATTCACCACCTGGAAGATTAAATTCATTAGATCGACCAAGTTTAGCCTAACATTTCATTACCTGATCTCACCATCTCACCTCGCACATAGCCGCTAAATGATTCAATAGCCCACAGGGGGCTCCGTCTGGGGTGTGAACTGGACACAGAAATCCTGAAAACATAAGAACATGTGCAGGCTGAATATTGGCAAAAACTCCCTTGGTTTGATAAAAATAGGAAATAATAAGTGTGATAAAAATTTGCTCACCCCAGGCTTCGGGAAGAAGTTTTCTCACAGATGTTGTTCTCATCTGAGCAAAGAAAGCTCCACGGTGAACACAACGAAAATGGGAGAGATATCTGTAATAATTGAGTTTATCTGCCACTACCGAATAACCAGCAATCTATGAAATATGAATGAAACTGTTACTACCTGACGCTAAAGTAAGCAGTTCTGTATTACTGATTTTTCTGTACAATGCTAGTAAACCTTGCTTAATTATAATAACTTGTAGGTACACCACGTAAGTATTAAATACTGCAATATTTAATACTTACGTGGTGTACCTACAAGTTATTATAATTACTAAAGTCGCCATGCAATCATACAAGAAAATTATAAACCTTGCTTAGTTGGTAACACTACACCGACAGTTCTCAATTGATCTACTGATTGTTAGACTTGAAGCCGATAATGATAAAAATACACCTGCATTAATCCCAGTCCGGATTTACTTCTTAGAGTGCCAGTGGCTAATAAATATTCCATTTGGTTGGTCAAGTTAAAACAATGAGCCATATTTTTCAGTAAAGAAGCTATATAGAAAAAATAAAGAGACTACTTTTATTCTTGTTCCACAGGAACCACTAAGAGGTTAAACATTATTGTAAAAGCACTCGAAACATTTGTGAATGTAATTTGAGGCACCATTGCAAAGTTTACCATTGTACATGCATCACATTAAAACTCTTGAAATCATATCGAATACGAATGAGCCCGACAATTGAAAAAGTTGTCCATACTTGAATTTAAGGTAAATTTGCTTGGGTTCTTCTTGATATCTTTCTCCAAAGCAAATTTTAAGGAAGTCAACCAAACTTCCAATTTCTCCTGAAGATAAAGAATAATAAAGGTCGACAATGCATGTATATATATACCGTTTTATAACGGAGAATATAGTTACGAAATAAATATAGCGAAAATCTACCTTTAACACCATCAGATAAAAATGCCCCCCAAGAAGTATTTCTTGATTCATTGGATTATCAGCTGATTCCACCGCACATTTCTCAAGTGCAAAAGCGTAAAGTTTCTTTACCATAAACCTAACATTTTAGGAAAGTGAAATGAAGCAATCTTGGCAACGACTTAGTGTCGATAGACCTTTCTCATGATGACGTCAAGCGTGTAAGTCTGATGCTACCTACACAAAGTTTGATCAACTCGTTAGTTTTGCTCATTTGCTGAGCCAATAAAACTGCGTGTAACATTAGACTTTCTGCGTTCGACGTCGTTGTGACTTGTGAGCAAGGTTTATTGGTTGCATAGTCTGTTAAAAGCTGAGAAAGAACACTAGCCATGCGGGGTTACCATTCATTCATTATTTCCATTATTTGACTCACACAATAAGGTTAAATTTGTCAAGATAAGAATCCAAGTGAATACAGATACATTTCCTGAAAAAAAAATATGAATTTTTGAATACTTTTTTGATAGGAAAGTGAGAGAAATTCCACCGAAATAGAATGTATCAATGACAAATATTAAATATTATAAATCTCTGTAATTACCGAATTAGAAATTTAGCAGCTGAAACATTATTATACCATTGAGGAAGACCTAATTTCACTCGAAATCGCTCACCTAAATTAATAATTATAAACAATCAAGATCAGTTAATTGAGTTTCCATGCAAAGACACACACGTTCATTACCTATATAATTCAATATCTTCGTCTGGGTTGTTATATCCTGATCTTGTGTCTGTCTCAGCATCGTTGCAATGCAACTGAATCAAAGCAGAAAGCAGTGAACTTCACACTTAGATAGTATGCACAATTTCTTTCATTATATGTTGAATACATGGACAATACGATCATAATAAAAATCAAACACCTACTCTTTTAAAAACGTGTTCGATTCTTGACCCTTAGTAAGTTCCTTGTAGATTTGTTGATCTGTTGTTTCATACAGAGCCTTGAAAAATCATAAAAATCCTCAATAGCTGTCGTACGCACATGATGCATGCAGTACAATACTAGTATTTCTAAAAACATCGCAGTTTTCAGTTCAGTTATAAGCGGTGCAAGTATTTACTACTGTTTGCATGAACAGTCGTAAAACGCTCTTGCTATAAACTGACTTGTTAATAAATACTTTTCTTTTTATCTTGCAAAGGACTAAGTTTAATTCCCATTTCTGAACGTTAGGCATCAATGTATTTCGCGTAAACTTATTTAGGATTTCAAGCGCTTGATTTATTAAAGTGTTTCCTATTTCATACCTTTAACATGAACATAACCGGCATGAAAAATTGCTCTTTGTTATATGTAAAGGAGAGAGAACATGTCCCATCAGTAAGATAGTGAAGTACCATTGTCTAGAAACAAATATATTCACGTTACAATTACAATTTTCAGAAGTATTAAAATACAATTGTTCATGTACCATGTATGCAATGTCCTGAAATAACGAATACCAGGTTTATAGAAAAGATCTTTCGTTTTTGAATGTTAGAACGCACATAGTAAATATACACAAGCCCGTTGGAGACATTAAGAACAGCGTTTTATTTAAAAAAGTAGTACATGCAGTAATAACTTACATTGCCTGTTTGGTCTTTCTGTACGCAACGAATTTGAATGCCATATTCGGTATACAGAGGTCCGCGTTTCCGCCATGATGATCGAGTAATTGCAAGAGGCTGTAATTCAAAATTACAAAAAAATTTAAAACAAAAAGCACCATAGCTGTCAATAAAAGCGGATTGAATACATACATAGTTCCTTCTGGGCATCACTAACATTCGAATAACCTTTTCAATACCATTAATAATGAAATAGCCACCACCTTCCTAAAATAAAGCGTGAAAGATTAAGATTAGAAATGTACGGTTACGGAAATGGATTATATTTTCATTGAAATAAATATTTCTCATGCAGGAAAACGTGTCAAAAAAGATTTCATTGTATTAATGGTGAAATATGGGAAAATGAGAAAGGATAGTAACCTGGAAGTAAAAGACTACTAAGTTTGTTGGAGAAACACGTGCAAAACAGCTGATTCAGAGGAAGATATCAGTTCACTAACCTCAGCTTCTTCATGATTAGCAACCAGATCTTTTGGACCCAAACCAAACAATGAGCAACACTTGGACTAAAACAGAGAAGAATGTGGAAATAAACATCGTTGATATACATTTTATACAAGGAATGAAAGGCTGCATCTAGATACTCTTTACTAACATTGTAATAATGTAATAATAATATGGACTGAATTAAGGCATGGACCACTAACAGAGGGTTACAGTTGGTGATAGTGAGTGACGGTGGGTGATAGTCGGTGACAGTGGGAGAATGTGGGTGACAGTCAGTGACAGTTGGTGACAGTGGGTAACAGTCAGTGATGGTGGGTAACAGTGGGTGACAGTGGATGACAGTTGATGACAGTGGATGACAGTGGGTGGACACCACTGTGGGGCAGTGGGGGACAGTGACAGTAACACACTTAACTATTGGAAATGTAATTTCAGATATTTTGCAAAAGTAATATATAAAGTTGCTGTTATCTGTAATCTGACATCCTAGACATAATTATGAGATGCTATTACGTACTTTACCACGGTCATGTGTTTCAAGAAACCTTAAGTTAGCTAACTGAAAAAACATATTTTTATCATTACCTTCACCATTACTGGCAACATTGCTATGACTTTGGCCACATTTCCACAGATCTGATTATTTACTTTCCACTGGAGAGATACCTGTAGTTTAGCATTGTATGTTGTACTTCTTTGTCTACACTATAAAAAACACAAAATATATGGTGAATATACAAGAAAGACCTGGAATTCATAATTGAAACCATTGTTATACTGATACACAATCTTTCATTAATCTATTCATATAAGATGGATTCGAAATGGCCAAATGGCGGAAGTATGAAATAATAGTTCTAACAATTCACACCAGATTATTTCTCATTTTATTCAACTTGTACCAATCAAGATAGTATCCTTTTTCAAATTAATTTCTATTGAATCTATACCTCTGCAGGAAAAACTCTCAATGATTTTGAGTGAATATTTCCTTCTGGTACCATTGGTGTTCCAATACTTGCTCCCTGGAGGAGGGTAAAAAGCTATCATTAATCACAAAGTAAAAAATGTGATATATAAAGTAAATGATTTGAACAATAAATTGCTGAATTGTTTAGGACATTACATTGTTTTAGCTAAAGAAATTATTTTTTCTACTCATTTTTATCATCTATTAAAACAATGTTGTTGGTATTGCTAACAATAATTCATTTTATCAACTTGCAGCATTAATGACACTAAAAGCAAAGCAAAAATAAAAGCTTAAAGGTATAGCATGCATACAATATACATACAGTAAAGTAAACTGATGCTTTCTGTCCATTTGGAAGCTCAAATTCCTGAGGAAAGATATCCTGAAAGAAAATTTTATTGTTTCTCTTTTACAGTTATTTATAAGATATTTATATATGATATGGTACTGTAGGATGATACCATATGTGTATATATATGGCATAATATGATATAAATTATATCACCGGCACCACCTGTCCCTCACAATCAAGTAACATATAAGGCATTATTGGTTGACCAGCTATTATTACTTGCAAGTGTTAACCAGCCCCTCCAAGCACTTCAGCTGGCGGAGTATTTTGCCACTCCTGCAACCTTCTCTTGCCAGCCTCGTCACAGCTCATCAGGCCATTTGCTTGTGTTATGTTAGGGAAAGTGTATACCAGATGTTACCTGCATAGCAGATGACTCTCTCTACTCAGTCACTGTACAGTAAACACCAGGATATCCTTACTGTTGATAGTTCAGATGTTCCGGGTTTTCCTTTTATCATATAAAATATACCTGCACAGCTAAGCCCAATCCTTCATCCACAAGAAAATTGAATGATTCGATATGCGGTAAATACAAATCTTGGACGGTCTATGTAGGAATATAAAATCTGAATATGTATTGAATTGGAAATGTCCTTAAATTTATAATGTACAATACGTTTCATCATTTTACCTTGTACTGTTCATTGCTGAGCTTGCTGTACTCAGGTGAAGTGAGATTTTTTAGCGAAGGCAAACTTTTTTCTTTTGATACATCAGAATTATCAGCTAAATCCTGGATTCTCATATTGGCAGCCATATTGGATTTGACGGCGCAGAGACCTGGAACGAAGTTGAGTTTACTCCACTATCATGGTCACCATCTGCTACAGGCTACAGCAACTTTTAAATTTCAATAACTCGCTATTGGCAATTAAAAGCTGTCCAAAATCAATAGGAAATGCGTTTTATTAATTATATTTTTGCATTTTTCAACTGTAAAATTGGCGGAAAATGCGGTCAAATAACTCGCTAATGACGATCTATCAAAACCATAAGCATTAAATACTTTGGAAGAACAGTCTGTATAGTTTTACAGCAAACAAAATTTTCAATTGAAGCAATATAGTTTCATGACTTGACAGACAGAGCGCCATATCTTCCATGCAAATAATTTTGAACTGTAATTGTAACTGAATAAACCTGGATCGGGTCTTTAAATTCATACTCACGTTAAAAAATGCAGTTTTCTCGCAATACTTTGCTCCAATACACAAATGTTTTTTTCTCTATGACATAACGACTCTCCAGATTTAATAGGTTAGTTAAATATCGGTAATTTGTCCGTGACTTGACTGATACGAATTTTCGCGGCCACAGCAGTCATTTGTTACATGTTAGCACGCACTAGCCGGACTGTGCCTATTTCTGTTTTCGGAAAGATTTCTAAAACAACATTTTAATACAATTTTTATTTACTTTTCTATACAAAACCAACTTGTTTTAAATATGGTAGCTATATATAGTCATATTGTACTGTACATGGCTTTTAAAGTTACTGTATGTACTCTTACGTATGTATATAAAATAAAACCTACACAGTCTTGTTATATAATTTTACATATTAACATTTACATTACCCGACTAACGTTGTGAATATATAGAAAACAACATTATAAAATATATATAGCCGGTAACTGAATCCGATATATCATGCAGTACAATAAAAACGCAAAACGTTCAATATTCTGTAGTCATTATTTCATGCAACTATGGACTATAATCAAGCGATTGATGTGTAGAAAATAGCAGTAAAAGTAGGAGTTGAATGATTAATGAATCACAGGATGAAACTAAGTCGAACGTTTCGCGGTTACATACACAAAATATTTTTTTAATAGCCAAAGAACTTTCCCATGTATGCTGTACCTGATGCAATATAGGAATCATCTTGCCCCTGGGCCTGGCCCTGTTGTTCTTGTTTGCTAAAATCAACCTGAATTTCTGATGTATCAATAACTTCGTAACTTTCCACATCATCTGAACTGCTCTTTCTCAAACTAGGCGGCCGAACTTCGGATCGAGATTGTTCCTCTAATATTTGCCTCCTCTCTGGCTCGCATTCCGGTTGCAGAGGATTGCAATTTTCAACATTGGTTTGTGAATGATCGTTTTGATTTGTTCCGTTATTTTGTGAATAAGATGTTGTATCGTGAAGTGAGTCCATTGAACTATGATGTGAACCAAACCCTGGTGTTATACCACTGAAGTTTAAACCTTGAACAAAATCATCTGAATTGAAAGATTCCACACTATCTCTTCTCATCGAAGGAAATTCAAGACCGTCAATGAATGTAAGTGAGCTGTTTACGCTGTCTGGAGGACCTGCAAAGTTATTAACATCAGGTATTATAACATCAGGTTTTCCGCGTTTAACGTCATTATGTAAAAGGTCTATTAAACTGATTGTCCTTTTGAAACTCTAAATCTTGAGCACTTTTAGCGCGCAAGTAAGAAACTAAACTTTACATTTGCATTAATCCAGGTACAGGGTAACGTGACGTTTACTGTAGTTTCAACCAGTGGCGTAACTAGAACGATAATTGGGGGGGGGTGAATATTCATATATTTAGTTCTGCCCTACGGATTTCTTTAGTAATTGCAATAGCTTACAATAGAAATCCGTCGGGCAGAACTGAATATATGAATATTCACCCCCCCCCCAATTATCGTTCTAGTTACGCCCCTGGTTTCAACCATTATATAAGATGGCTTAAACTAACCAAACTAACCATTAGGTTAATTTTGTAATGATGCTTATTACCTGCAGGTTGTGCTTGACTAGTTCTTTCCTCTGGGGAGAGATGTGACCTATGGATTCCCTCAGTTTCTGCTGAATTTAAGATAAAGTCCTCCTCATCATCACTGACATCTGAGAATTTTTGATGATCTAAATGAATAAAAAAAATGAATAAAAAAAATAAAAAATGAAAAACAAGGAACCCTAAATTGGCTTAATAAGTTCCGAAATAAATTAAATTACAGTTTTAAGTTATAGCATTGGGGCAAACCTTTAAGGTGGGTATCCCTCTTCCGTTTTGTCCTACTACTTTGCCACTGTGTAAAAAATGGTGTGAACAATTTTATAAATTTCCCAAGCACTTTGTCCTTGATGCCATAAAATACAACAGCAGGCCACAAGTAAAGAAACATCACTAAAAAAGTAAAAATACAGAATAAATGAACTTTATATTTGAATTTTAGCAATAGGGACCAGTTCCCAAGGGTAGTTAAGTGTGGAAATACAAATGCCCAGCTTTCTCTTTTAACTGAGGACACATTGATTTAATTGGATGGTTGTAAAGGGTGTATTAAAAAGTACTCTAACTCCAGCTGCATGTAACCACAAAAATTCATTCCATACATTGATTATGATATAAAATATATATAATAAATTACTATCATGATCATTACCAATGATGTATAGAATATTTGCAATTGGAAAGCGGGCATATATCACAGAAAAAGCAACAACCAGCAAAGAGACTACCAGATAAAACTAAAAGAAAAACAAGTGTAATTATATTAAACTAGCTATAACAACACAAATTAGTTTCAGATCAATTAATAAATTTATAATTATTAGAAAATTTTAAGTGTAGTTACTTGTTTTGCATTTTTCTCTTTTAAAGCTTTCAACTTTATCCAATATGTGATTAAAAAGCTCCAAACCACAGCCACACCATGGCAAAAGTCATAATAAGATGTGATGTTCTTTTCACTGATTAAAATTGTATAATAGATTTGTTTGCAATATTGTACCTCAATGCATACAGTGTTAATTATGCCTAAAGAGACAATTTTAGGGGAATGTAAGGATGTTAGTTGATACTAGAATGAGGAGTTGGGTTTCCTAATTCTTGCTACCAGGTATATCTACAACTTCCCTGGTGTATTCATGAAGTCAGTAGGCTTTCTTTTATCTTACATATAACACCTCTGTTGCTTTATATTATAACACAATGCTTACAAAAAACCTTTAACTTTAAATCCCTTTAATCTATGCCTATCACATCAATACAAACACACCATTTCACACCACTCCAAATATAAGCCTCCTTTCTGAAAGCCTAATATTTATGGAAGGTAATTTAATTTACATTAGTAGATAAAAACATATTCGGTAATAGGATGTATTATGTATAAAAACACATACATTCTGGAATATACTTCAATGTTCATCCTGACTGAGTGTTTTGACGTCAAATCCTTTGTAGGTGCATTTTGAGTTTTTGTATTTATAAGTACTTCTTATATTTATATGTTTAATTAGCTGGCCAGCTAGGACCCCTCATAATATATGTAAGTCCTGGTTATAAGCCTGAGAACACTTAGGAATTTATATAATCCAAGAGCTTATAATTGGAGGTTAAAGGTATTACAAAATGTAGAACCAAGTTTTTGCATTACTAATTTTTTGTATCATATAGTCTAGCCATGGAATTGCATATGTATGATTACCTCCTGACTTGAGCTCCTTCAGAGAGTACTTCACCCGAATCATCACTGTCAACACATTTCTCAGCAACGCCTTTAATAATTATGAATCAATATAAAACGATGAAGCCCCCTTTAAACGTAATAAATGTCAACAGAATTTTATAATACTAAGCATATAAAGGATCATACTTGATAACTGGTTTTGGGACCGAATGTTGGACAATATCCAATGTCTAATAGGCGGTGTCAACCATAACAACGAAAGAAAAATAGCCAAAGTAACAAGTAGCTGTAATCGCGGGGTCAAGAAAATCCTAAATACAAACCATTGTGGTATAAGAAAAACTTCATAAACTAGCTCTCTTGAAACTTATTCCCCGCCATAACATTTGGCAAAGGTATACAATGGTCGACATGAAAAGGTGCTCACCAAAACACAACATTGAGAATGTTGAATACAATGACGGATATTTCTAGTTTTCTCCATATCAGAACCTCCTGAATGAAAGGCCATTGGTCACGTAATGGAGAGAAAAATTCACAAATATACTCCACCGTTTCATTTGTTTGTTTGCAATCGTTACTTCTTTCATTTGATGCAATTCCTGATGATTTTACTTCCATCATTGCCAGCGATTGTTATTGATATGTTGATATCATCAATGTCGCAAAATATTTACAGACGTCATACACACGTGATTTAAGGAAAAAAATTATTATAAATGGACCATGGACAAACTGTCCATTTGATTTTTGGCTAATTACTTTGGGTGAATCTAATAATTATTTTTCCTTTCTAAACACAGGTCCAGTTTTTCAACAGTCGGTTAAATGATTTCAACCGGGTATTTTTTGTTACTATGTAAATGTAAAATGTTGAAAAATGTTATTAATGACCAATGCTTCTTCTCTGAAAGCGAAAGGCCGGAGAATCCTTTTTTAACTTTTTTGAGCTTCCAAAACATAGCGAAATTTTTCAGGCTAATTTTTTCTTGCATTGCAGGAGTCGAAACATGAAAGTGATTGATTTCCACTATTGTACTATAGACCTAACTTGCAAATATAAATACTGTTGATTGTAGAATATTGTCGTGGTGAAGCCAGTCCTATTACAAAGATGTCAGTTTCTTTTTTGAATCGACTATTAGAGAGCGTATCACACATACATACATATTTTGACTTATTACAAAATACAAACTATTTTTCCTCATGGGCCATGGATTGAGTATACAACTGTAACTTTGTTTCCATAATTTGCTCGCAGATTTCGGACAAACATGCATAAAAACACAACGTGCTTCCTTTAAAATTTCAGCATTTGCGTCCAATGCTGCGATGAGGATCACGTATCATGGGGTATCCAAGACGAACTGAGTCAGGTTTATAATTTCTTTTGCGATCGAGGAGCAGCAATGGATGTGGAACAAAGATGAGGAAGTTCTGTATTGGTCTTGCAATGGCTAGCTGTACCACATTCTTTTACTCAACGAGTAGGGAAAGATTGAAATTTTGAATCCCTGCATGAGGATGAAAGCAAATTACAACGAAATTAATTCATTCATTCTTTTGTTAGGGGTCTGTTCCAAACATCTTGTTTCTTAGCGGAACGCATAAAAGACAATGGATAATCATTATACCCGAGATTATTAGGCCATATATTAAATCAAAATAATGCATGGTCCACACCAGGCCCCCCGGCATTATGCTTATTGGTTTGATAGATTTATCATACCATTTGAATTTCAAAAAATAAGTCTCAGTTTGACTTTCTATAATAGCATTCTTAGTCTTATACTCAATGTTTTAGTTAAATATTTTATTTCTGATTTTAATTATTTCATTTTACTATATTTCACATGTTATATTTAATTTGTCAACTTAGATTATATCATCACTTGCTCACTTGAGGTTTTCCTTTTATGGTAACCAACCGTTATTACTGATATGAGACACACACTGTTATTTTATATGTACATAAATAAATTTACTATCATGTTTATCTTTGCATGGCGCGTACCGAGGATTCGAGGGTCCCTTTACTCTTTTCGTGATTCTTGTCCTTGTTTTGGATACCGTAAAAATTCGAACCTGCTCCGTTCTTGTCCAATCACCTGCGGAAGCGGCATCTGAGAATCGAGAACTTCATTTCTGAGATTAAGTCGATCATCCTGTCTAGATTCGCTACCTCTTTCTTGATTGAAATGTGAGTTTGCCTGCCCGCCTTCAAGAAGACTTGAAACGGCCGCCATGTCTTTTCTTTTCGCGTTATCCACTGCATATTCTCTTCCCCACAACCCATTTCTCCATGACTGACGTTTTGTTCGTTCACCACACGCGGAGACGATGATCAAAACAAGGCACAAGAATATTTTCATTGCTAAATGAATTTCAATATTTACAACATTATCTCTCATTCATGCATGTCGGTAGACAAAATCTGTCGGCTAACTAACGGAAGATATTTTTTTAAAGGCTAAGTGTTCTCTTGTGTTGGACAAATTAATTCTGGTGACCTTAAGTCCTTTTCTTACAATCCTTAAGAATTTTATGCTTATGGATATGAAGTTTGCATTAAAAACCGATGTTTGTAATGAAAAGGGATATTTCTCGGCCAATCAGAAACATGCTCTGTCCGCAAACTACGTTACTACACATACTTTTTATGAAGGTCTATAAATTATGGATTATATACTAAAGAAAACAAAATCTGAAACTAAGAAACTCAAGAAATTTAAATTATTAATTCCGGGGGAACATTTTAATCTTTTCAAAAACCGATTCTCAATAAATGTTAAAAGCTATTGGGTTTGTAACAAAATGCATGTAAAGCTGTATAATACTAATCCCACTATACATCCCAGCACCATTGTAACGAGAGTATAACAAGGTACAAAAATCCTGTGTTCTTTCCCTGCCTGTTTTAGAAGAGTGTAAATCATTGTATCCTCATTCTGCCGAAGATGCAACTGCATCATCTTTTTTGCAATCGTTCACGGCATGGGGATTGTATGTTTTTCTGCACAATGTTCGTGCCGTGAAATCGTCAAGAATTTTTGAAGACTACTAAACCAAAATACAGAAAACTCATGCGTGAATGCTACAATAATTCGATATGCCTAATTTCTAAATATGACGGCTAAATCATTTCATCATAGTTACCTTTCTTTGGGTTATCTTCCAAGTACGACGAAACTGTAACTTCTCCAACAAGGATATAAGGATACTTTTAGCCTGAAAATCCTGATCATTTATACAGTTTCAAACATATATCATGCTGGGACAGGCAGTTAAAGATCTCATCATCCTAGTGTAGGGGGTCATTACATTTTAATTTACACCTGTGTGAATTTGCGGAAGGACAAAACATTCTAAAACGATAACAAAATAGACGCAACGAAGAAATTGGGCTAACCTTAATTAAGAATTGACAAAACTGCATGTGTTTATCTTTAGCTAGCATATGTATAGTAAACACGCATACCGAGTCATGACAAATAAACAAGTCTAAACAAAATATCTCGATGTTTTCTAACCCAAAGAAGTATACGATCGACTGTCGGACAAGTCATAAACTATAAAGTAATAAACTTGTCAGCATGCAGCTGACAACTCAATTCGAATAGTCAGGAAATGAAAATAATTAGAACATTGCAAAAACAAAAAGAATGATTCCTCTGTATCTGCAGAATATCTGGTAAAATTAAGCTGACCAAGACAAACACCAAGTTGTTGGACCTTTTAGGTCGAAAAATCTTTTCAAATCGTGATGCGAAGCTCTCAATGACAAGAAATATATAGTCTACACAATTATCATTTGCGTGCTTGTTTTAAATTTGTACCTTGAAACTGAAAGTTTTATTTATAAAAATAATTAAACATCAAAGAAGTAGTAGCTTGTTTATTGTTAGCATAAAAAATATATATTTTAGTGTGAACCTGTTAACCGTATGGAAAACGGATGATTATATGAATGAAGATAAATAAAAGTTTGTATAAACTACAACAGTGGTTTAGACGCTGTTCAAAATGATCAGTATGATTTAATTGTAGCTGCTGTTCAACATAACCTCCTTGTTTTAATGTCACTTCATTTTGAAATCATGCAGTAAATTGGAGTGCGTCACATGCAGTCCTGCATGCATTTTAGCTTGATTTCAGTCGATGATTCCTCCGTGTTTTAGGTAGCTAAGTTTGTTTTGTTTGTTGCCTAATGGGCGATGGTTATATAAAACCCAGCGGTCTAATAATTGGAGTTAAAAAAGCGGCTGCTTCTTAATCACCTCCTGTCATGATATAATAGTGAGTGTTTTATTAAAATAATATGGCCTACCCATGCAGTCAGGAGGTTTTCCATCATCTCGTGGCCCACGTACTGTATGTAGATGAAATAAAATGAAAGTATTTCGGATTAAGAATAATGTAAAATGAGTACAATATGTATAGTGAGTATAATGGTACAATATGCATGCATGCAAGAAAACTAATTTATTGAGAAATTCTGCGAAAATGCAGCATCCCTGATATTGAAATTGTTGTACTTAAATTTTTTTTGAAAAAAAGTCTTGATAATAACACATCGGACTCATGAATATACCGTTTAATATAATTTAATTTTCTAAAAAAAAGTTTTGAACAAAGAAAGCCGATGTTTTTTTATCGATATCATTTTAAAGTTTCACTGCTTTGTTTCAAGCTGTAATTTCCTTAATTTTTTTTTCTTTAATTTCTATATAATTTGTTTTCACTTTACTCCCTATATAAATGAATAATCTGCATGCTTATGACAGCTTATATATGACTTATGTATACCACGGGCCCTTGACAAACAACAAATTACGTAGTTAGAAAATAGGCAAAGTACATTCAGTTCGATATATTGAGTAGAATCATGAAGCATATTCCCGGCGTTTGAGTTTAAAATCATCCCAAATTTGGCACGTAGCTATGTCTCCGATGGCGCTACGCTAGCGAAAAAATGGCAAATGATCTTTAGCGAGATATAAGATAGCTGGTTTTAGGCTAATGTAGTAATGATACTTAAGACAATATACAAAGACTTTTAATAACTTCGGCGCTTGTGCCATGAAATTACATTCCCACAAATACGAGGGACTTTGTTGCGATACGGTCTAAAGGCCGCCCTCACTTTTTCCTCCCCCCCCCCCCCCCCCCACCCCCTCTCCGTTCCTGACCGGTTGACCCGTCACATATATATGACAATGTTCTTCAACTGGGTTTTCTATGTTGTAATTTTTCAAAAATATGTAATTATATAATCATTGGAATCCGGGTTGATTATCATGTCCTTATACATCGATTGGTATTTATCCGAGACAGCCATGCAGTGAGAAATTTATGCATGTCATTGTATAGACACTAATATATGCAGACGAAAATAATTACATTGAATGAGGCCTTCCTGACAAATAAAAATAGCACATTTTGATCAAAAACACAGCTACAATATAGACTTAACATATAGACTAAGCATTTAAAGAGTTTCAGCATGAAGTGCTTCTTTCGTGAACTTCTTGAACGGTAAAATTGCAATCTTGCATGAGCATTGTGAAAATTGATTTTCCGAACTAGCCTCGCACCACTGCATCACCTTTTTGGTGCAATTTTAAGCATTGATTGGTTGGTCATACAAAAGAGGGTGGCTATAATTGGCTCACATCGGCTCAATATGTACATATGAATACGAAAGAAAGCAACCATTAGGAGAATAACAGGATTATATAACATGCATCTATCATGCATGCAGGCGTTTAAATCTATATTACTTATAGCTACAGCGGACTAAAAGGTTATTCCGTCGGTTTTTTTAAAAATATGATTCAAGACGCAAAGGCTGAACAAAATACTTCAACAGGAAACCCTGAGGGGAATGGTAAACCTCTGCAGGATATGAAGAAGCACCAGAGAGCTAAACAGCTACGGAGTGCAACATCTAGATCTAGAAATAAGTCGGAATCAACATGGCAGAATACAATACAATCAGAAATACAAGGGATTCATGTTAAAGTTATGTACACCAAAGATTTTGGTAGAAATCCATCGACACAAAATACGGAAGTGATGAAAGATGAAAATATACTTGAGAAACATGCTGTTCAAGCCTCAAATAGCCCAGAGAAGGCAAATGAAGAGACAATACAACATCACTGTAGTACGAATACAAACGATTTCACTTTGCACCAGACCAGTGACCATGAAGTTGCATTAGATGCAAATCTTGAAAAAAATTTTTCAACAGCAGAAGACTCCAGTTTAAAAGAACATATAGAAGAAGACCGACACACCCCGAGTAAAAATATTTCGCTTGACATGTATATAAATGAAAGGTCTATTATAATGAAAAGCAAAATAAGTTACTTAAGTTACAGTAAAAAACTGACAAACAGAGGTTCGACAAATGATACACAAGCCAATCAAACTACGATGACTAGGAAAGAAAAATCGGCTGAACATGTTTCAAAAAAAGAAGACGATATTAGTGAAGGAAACACATCAACAAAGATCAAACGTAGGGTCATACGTGATGAGAGAACAACAAATCAATATAAGTCTGCCGCGGTATACCATCCTTCAAATAATATGAACTCGGAGAGGGTCGTAAAAAATAGCACGCCATGCCGAACTCATGTTACAAGTATCACTAGCAGTGATGAAATTTATGTAAAACACAACTTATCTCATGAAGATAAAGTGAATTATGCTCCAAACACTTTTCCTCAGTCAAGTCAGGTTTTGCATAAAGATATTACAGATTATGAACTAAAGCAATATCTGGAGGACGAATTACAAGAAAGTATAACGAAAGATATTGTCAGTTCCTGTAATCAGGAGAATCAGGTGCAAGAAATCAATCCTGATGATTTTGTTGAAATATCTTTGGAGGTAAATCTGATTTTCTTATCAATCTCAATAACTTTTTTACGCTATCCTTTTTTTATCTCCTGTATGCTTCATAACATGTTAGATGATAGCTGAAGAGAAAAACACATGTTTACATCCCAATTATAATTACCCAGCATAATGACTATTATTGAGCATATATATAACTAACAATGAAGAATGGGGTAGATATACATCGTTATCAGCACATAACAAATTGTGAAATTTCATATTTCCACGCATTGCTTACACAGTTTTCTGACTTTTCTCCTATACTGTCTTAGGAAAAAGGACCCTGTGAAGATTCTACAATAAAAGCGACACATGGTAATCCTATATAGCAATAGTTTGACTGCAGTGATAATCTTTGTAATACTCTATATTGCAAATCATGAATAGACTGAAATTCAAAAGATACAGACAAAGGGTTACACATGTCCAGAGACTGAGGATGATTGGCGTGTTTACAATCAGGTATTTGACAAAGATTCACGTCGTATCAACATTAAGAATTGTTTCCAATTGATCTTTCAGAAACATCAAGTATTTCTAAGCCTCATGGTAAACTATGCTGTCTCACCAAGTGTTTGAAAAGATTTCGTTGCTCCTCTTCTACAAGAAGTTGATGACATATGCATGCGTCTTTTAAAAGCATCATTTAACAACTTTGGATAATTCTATTGATTTTCACATAATAGTGATAGCTATACGTAGATACACTGACGAAGAAGATAGGCAATCTATATTATCAACGATTCTATTTATAAATAAAAAGTTGTTTTACTTTAGATCAATTTCTGTCACTGGTTCCTTCAGTTCGATGAAAAGATAGGAAACAAACCCTGGCAATCTAAGTTGTTCCAAAAATGGCTAGCTTGCATGCATACTTTGTGTTTTAAATATAAGTTTGGGTGAAAAAACATGGCTGAAAGCGTTCAGAGCCATGCAGATGCTTGATGCGAGAACTATAAAAGATTAGGCGGTTGAACACTTGGCATTGAAACATGAATACGGCATGTTAAAGATATTTTGAATTATATATCATTGAAATAATAGATTTGCATGATTTCCACGTCATAGAACCGCGCTGCGAGCAATATAATGGACGAAATCACTTTTCGTGAAGTAGCCTATATTCTTAGGCTATTCATAAAGCCAAAGGCGTTTCTTTATTAATCATTAAATAGTAACAGCGACTTGGTTATTCAACCGTTCAACTACAACTCAACAATATATTTAAAATTCAGAATCAAAGTCCTGGCCAATCAACTGTTGTCGTCGATTATTCTCAACGGCAGTTGTAACCATACTTCGACATTTGATATGACTGAAACTCATCTCATCATAATGCTATTTAAAATAAATGAAAAGAGAGTCATTTGTGACCGCATGACCGACTAAAAACACACTAAAGGCATAATGAAGATGAAGGTACTCTCTTATGGCAAAGCATCGCCAAAGTCTACAGTGCAACAACTACATGTGTACACACACTTACAGACAACAACAGTTGTACTTTATGCACCAACAGAACCGCAACAGCCACACCAAGAAAGTGAAGATCCCGGATTGATGAACCTGAAAAATTGCAATTTCAAACTTTTGCACTAAACTTTTGATTATACGCCCCATTAAGTGACCTTTTGAGCAAAGCTTGACAGAGCAAAAAAAAATTTAAGACACCAGTACCTGTTACATGTCTCCACAGATATTTTAACTGCGAAAGAAACCATCTGTGCCAAGATGACCAAGTACTATTGAGGATACTCGAGCAACAACACGACAATATGTGTAGGGCTGTTGACACTACGAAATACAGAAGAAATTGCAAAAAAGCCACTCCAAAAGTACCCCCAAAAAACATGTGGAGGTATGCACACATTCACTGGAACTGTGGCGCACCTCCTGTGGGAATACACCCACCCCTACCCCCAAGAGTCATGCACCTTCCTCTGTGAAAAGCCAAATTGAGGGTTGAAAAAATAATCACTAATGTTATTCCCATCAATTTTCCATTTTTAGCGTCGTTAACACATCAAGGTATAATGATGTATTGAAATAAAGTATGATGATCAGAATTGACTTTAGACTTAACATGGAAAAGTTCCGCGTATCAAACACGTTTTGTACCGTTCTATCAAGATTTCTTTTTAAAAAAATTCAAATATCAACGTACACTTTTGCACAAAAATTCCTGGTGTGGACCTGATCACATAGCGAATACCACGTTGAACAGACAGCAAAAACTTCCTAATTGATGATGGTTCATGTTTTTCAATAAGTCCAGCCATAGTACCAGCCAACCTAATAAAAGAAAGATAAGAGGTAAGGAGGGATAATGGAGGATCCCATGCATGCATGCGGATCATTTTCTAGGAGCCCCTTGTTCAAAGCTAGGTTCGCGTCAATCCTGGGTTATATTTTATTCTTTTGTTTTGGTTTGTGTGCTTCGGCACTGATGTTCCTACTCAATTACATATAAACAATTCAAGCGAATAAAAAAATCAATGGAAAAATTGCGTTAAATCAGGCTAAGGGTTGAACAACTGACCTAGAAAGTTAGCTATCATTTCATTGACTTGTCACAATAATGCTGGACTAAAATGGATAATACGACATGCGCGGGGATACAAAAGTTTGCGTATCCACTGCGTTACAGAAGTGCATTGAAATATTGGCACAAACCTTCCTGCAAAATCCACTGCCAGGCGTTGATCATGACTGTTGTTAAACCCTTGCACAAGGAGGCGAGCGAAAACACGACCTTGCCTATTAAAAAATTAGATATTTCAGGTCAGATGATTTCTTTCTGTCTAGTATATGGAGGCGGTTTTGCCGCAAAATATTACCAGATCCGTATGGGACAGATCCTCCGTATCCCGAGCTATAGTTATGTTGGATCGTTCTTAGGCATCAGGATTGTAGTCCTGATGACCAGAATGCATTACCAACAATACGTTAACTCAATCAATCATGGCTGCCATGTGATGCTATGCAAACATTTGCATTTGCGTCATGTGGTAAACCCAATTAAACTGGCACAATCAACTGGCGTTAAACAATTTTTTAGAATTAAGAAAAAATATCCTGTACCTAAAAATAAATTAAAAAGTTATTACAGTAAACGTTTTGTGAGGGAGACACACATTGTAGTCTTCCTGGTTGAAATATTTTATAAGTACGAGCTCTTGAAGTCGGTAGCGGGGAATATACAATCAAAACATGCTATAGATATATACAGTAGTGTCCAATTACATACGCACACTCACAGGCAAGGGAGTTTAGATTATGATTGACAGTTCCTCCCACATCTAAGATAACGAGCTAACATAATATATTCTTGATCGAAAATCTGTTTCGTTTATCGTGCTTGCTGCATGCCCTGAAGCAACGAAACATATGCTTCTTTATATTTTACCCCTATTTAACATCAAACAATATTTTTATGGTATTATCTTTCTTCCACAGGACTCGTTTTTGGTCGACGTCTTGGAAAATTTTAGGATATTCGTTCGCAATTGGTTTTAATTCATTTTTTTCTTGTTTGTCTTCGTTACAGTGAGTGTTAGATAGACTTGTTTTTCACAAGTATTTGTGCAGTGCTGACTTCATGTTGTGATAAGAGGTATAGAAAAAAAAATCTGACAGTATATTTATGCAGGTTTACAATAAACATCTCAAGATAACAACTAAAAATGAAACTCTTGTTCTAGAAAAAGATAATGCGAGCACTGCATGTGGGCCTTTATAATGAGTTTTTCTCAGATTCTGATGTTTCAATCCACAACATTACTCATACAACCTAATCAATGGCTGAATCTCCTGAAATTAAACACCTTAGTTTAAAGCATACTGATAAAGATTTCTTGAATAAATCCCTCACAATGCAGTAGAGAGCATTCAGTCAGCACAACACAAAATGCTTTTTGTACAGTGCAGTAATGATTCTATGACAAATGCTACCATCAGAAAATGAGGACATGCAACTAACATAATAATTATGACTAGAAACACCAAAATGTTTCCAAGAGAAATAAAAAAACCTAAGGAACTGGACAAGATGCCTTTTAATAAATGCCTAATAATACATGGGGAGGGAGAAGCCAAGCTATTCTATGATCTATCACATTATTCGATGATAGAATCAAAACAAGCCCCTCTATGGACTAGAAGAAGTACTCTGCTCAAAGATAGCAGATCAAGACCATTGCCTGAAGATCAAACTGATCAATGCAATCTATTACTAGACTATCAGATTAATGGCCAGTGTTGCTAGTGGAGATAAATTGAAACATTAATGTAAAAAGGGTTCAAACTTTGCTGAAAATACTTGGATTAAAACCATTAAATTGACTTTTAGTTGGAACAACAATCCAAGCAAGTATCATATTAACTCATAATCTTAGACATAAGCCGGAATGTCAATCAATCATTAAATCTTTCAATGTGCTATGTTTGTCAATCCTATGAACTGACAATATGCAGATCAATTTACTGGTTTCAAAAAATATTCACTAGTGTTGTGATTTAACAAATTTGTAAGTTGCACAGACTAATATTGACTACTCTCCCTGTATGAGCAATATTATTGGCCTAGGGTATTATGATCATGTTATAATAACTGTTTTTTCATATTTTTAGTATTGATGACTCTATTCTTCAGCATAAAGCAAGCTAGAATACATGTCTTTTTTGCTTGGCATAATCATTGGGGACTAACTTTTTTGGACCATATGCTCATATTATCATTTTTCTTAGTGTGGTGTCAAGTAACGTGAAAATTACAACACCTCTCCAAATCCCATATACCCTTTGCCTTCTTGTTTTTTATTTTGGTAACAGGCTAAATACCTAGGAGAGTATGCATTATTGTTCTTAATCCATTTTTACCAGAAAAATCACAAAAGGCAAGGGGTCTGTAATATACTTTATCTTGATCGCCTTTATTTTTGGAATTTTAAATTAATCATTAAAAAATCTAAAAATTGGTCCAGTAGCCCAAAACTTGATATAAACCGTGTATAAGAACATGGAGTCACACATGTACCTAGCTTTCATTAAACTTACATAAATTTGGAATATAACAATAAAATTCTGTTCTAATAATTGTTGTGTGTGATGCATATTAATGACAATATTAAATTCATTGATCACTCAGTAAAAGAGTTTCCCTGTATCATTCATTAACAGATCTTTTGTATTGTATTAAAAACAGGCCAATTGGAAAAGTTTTTAATACAATTTCAATTATACTTACACAAATATATAATGTATATGCCTCGCTTGTCGTCTTGAATGCTGTGTTTCTCCAGATGCAGGCTTTGCAACAGGATCCCATCTATAAGCTCTATAATTCCCTCCTGCTTGTGGAGAGACGTTTGTTGCATCAAAGTAATGGTCTAACGGCAGTGCTTGAGAATCGTCCAGTCTACCTGTCCAATAATTTGTAAAATATCCCACAGCTGCCGATGAATTTTCAAACAGTTTGTATAAGGTATCGATACGGCTAACATATCTATCGCCTTCGCCATGATCGGCTGTGCTTTGCCACACTGCACGTCCACATTGTACCCCACCAAATCGTCGGAAATTGTCATCGTTTAACGCGCAATGTTTATCACATTCGAACTTCGATTTTGTCCAACGACGGCTACGTAACTGCAGACCTTGTCCCAGGGGAAAATACTTTGGCGATAAAAAGATATCGGCGAGAGATGGGGAAGCAACATCGACAAAAATGATCAACGCCGACATTGTTAAAGCAACAGCAAGTGAAACGCACACAATTACCAACTGAATACTAGGAACTGGAAGAAAATTGCTTTTGACCTGAGTCACAGGAACGCTGGTTTTCTTTGCATTCATCGCTCAAACTGAAGCTGTCTGTTTGAAGACACAATACCAACTATATAGGTATATATAGTTTTATCCGAGCCGTGAGTTACACGTATTACTACGAACTGGCAGTACAAAAGCGCAGGGCTTCGACCAGTGTTTATGACAAATGTACAACACTCTCGACGATCGATCCTCTACAATATGATGAAATTTTTCTGCCTTTGTTTCAAAGAAACTATAAGCCAGCACACACCAGGCTTTGATGAGTTGAAAGGTTAAAATCGGAGTCAGACATACATTAAAGTAATAATGTATATGGCGTTCTTGCATAAATAATAATCTCTAAATATGTCTATTGTTGTCCAAATCAAACGAGCGTTCTTATTGGTGGAGAAATGCGGCAGTGCAATTAAATAGGAAGGAATATAAGAGGGAATAAATAGTTCGTCATATACACACACAGCTGTTTGCCCTTATAGGAAATTTTCAGAGACAACGATGACATTAGATGCTTTAATCTTGGAACTTTTAATCATAAACCAAATTTCCGAAGGCACGAAAAATCTAGAGCTAAGTTAAAGTGAACCCCATGCTGAGGCTTTTTTATATCATTGTAGTTTGTATGAAAGAAGAAGTTTTTTTAATAAATGACAAGTTGACAACCAAATATATATTGGGCTTGCACTTTCTTAATTTATCATAAAACATAAATATTCATATATACTTCATATTAATACAATATATGACAAGACGTACACACCTGCACACTTTGTGTTTTCGGCCATTCTCATTGGTAACTTTTGTCTCAATTTTCACTAATTACTTAATCACCAAGTGATAGTAATAATATACGCCCCGAAACTTCCTTTGATGTACAGGTTTGAATAGTAATAACTCTTAATTACATTGAAAATTTCTTTATAGCCAGGCACAAAAATCAGTCTCAGGGTTTAGCGGAAACCGTTGTACAAGGCGTCTTGTGCAACAGTGCCAGCTTTCGCGACTGAGTTTTTGGAGGTGTTTTTAGAGAGCGGTCTGGGAAGCTGCAGCCACCCCTCCCGAAAATAACCAATAACCATTCACGACTGGAAGTCCTATCCTCCCTATTTACAGACGAAGAAACTAAACGAAGTTCCCTTTCATCGAATTATCAAGCAGTGACATCTCATGCATGAGAGTTCTTGGTGCTTAAATGCTACTGTGATCAAAGCATAGAGACCATGTGTCCATTCTGTGTTTCACTGCCAGATCTTCACTGCCAGTTCTGCACTGCCACTGAAGACCATCCAGTAAAGGATCAAGGTCGTGGAATAAAAAGACGACTCACTTTAAGATGGTAACGCATCCATATGGCCATGCTACTGAAAAGGAAAAACTTTTATGTTGTATTGCACAATAGCAACAACAACAACAACAAGACAACTAGTAATAAGGACATCAAGCATAAAATCATAAATCTTTAAAGTTATTCCTAACACTGACAATGAAAATACAGCCACATTTGCCTGCAAACGCGAATGTCGTTGGCAAAAGAATTACGTATACGTGTCCAATAATTGGGAAAAGGTGATGAAGTTGAAAAACATTGAGTTTCTGAAACGTCCTGACAAATTGCTCAATTTTCCACGAGACCAGTGTGCTTTACTAGCTCAGTACATGCATGATCTTTCTTAATTGTACTTCGAACGCATACTCCAGGTATTCCGTCTCCGGTCTCCTTATACAGTCTTTGCATAAAATTTTTACAATTACAATTTTACCTGGGAAGATATTGGGAGCATCCAATCTTTAGCTGTGAGTCGTTTGGCATACAATCGAAAACGCTCAGTGCGGTGAGCCAACCCAAAAGAACCACGCTTTTTGTCTGTGACCCAACCTCAGTGACGCAACCCAAAGAACCAAACTTTTTGTCTGTTTTTTCTGCCCGGATTTACGGGTTAGCCCTTCTTCGCTGAACACGACTCTCGAGAAAAATAATGTCATTATACATAGGTCACAATGAACATGAATCATTTGACCATCAAATGTTACATGTGAGATTAATGAATTTGGATACCAAGTATCGCCACCGTGGGAAAAAATTATTTTGGTATTGCTTAACTAAGTAAGCTTTTCTGTCATTAATAAGTCAAACTATCAAGTCTTGCATTTGGCGAGACTTTGGAAGGACAATAATGCATTAGGACCAAATTGTAAGTCCTTTGTCAGATGCATTGGAGGATATTACCCCGTTTGTTAAGAACCTAGCTTGCACCACATTTTGAATATTTCAAGTTCACAGCAAATTAAGAAAAATCCATCATCTGTTTTTGAAGGACAACTCTAGTCGAATCACTGAAATGAGTAGTAGTGGAAACATGAAATGAATGCAACTCTATGTGGAGAATATAACGAGATATATATATGATTGTATTCGGAGCAATAATATAGAGACAGAAATTATTTATCTTCGATATGAATGAAGAAGATAAATTAGTTTTTCTTTTGCATAAACTGAATTGAATTGTTTCATATATTAGCAAAACAAGTTAATCCCAGAGCGTGATTGTTGTTGAGGCGTTTTGAATGCTATAAATTCCTCAAAATTTAACGACATGAATTTTTAATAAAATATTTCCAAATCAAGCTCTCTTTATTAACTGGTTTTGAACATGGATAATGTACAGACAGAGCAGAAGAGTTGACAATGTGGTGAGTTTTGGAGGCATGCACGCAAGAAAATAAAATATTCCCAATGATTTATTTATTCAAAGCAAATCACTAAGCTCTTGACGTCACGCAGGTTGAAAACACACGAGCCAAACTTTGAACACTCAGAGGCCGGCAAGGTAAACTGGAGAAACCGGTAGCCACTCTGATCATGCGACCTTAATGCAACCCCACCAACTTGATAGAAAGTGATCAGTACGTATCACAGTCTAGACCTGGCATGAACAGGCGAAAATAGTGAAGACGTGGACTATTTTGAATGAAAGAAAATGCTGTAAAGTTATGGAGTCGCCAAAGTTTATCATTTGTCCCGAATGCAATGAAAGATACAACGACACAAGCAAAAGAAGGTTAATCGATACATGTGGTCATCCAAGATGTTATTCGTGTCTTTTTAAGGACAATCCTTGTCCTGTCTGTACAAGTAAGTCTCTTAAAATATGGTATCAGTGTCCTTACCAACTTGCCCCGTTTTAAAACCTTAGCCAAATCACTGGGAATCATCGTCTCCTAAATGAAGCCGTCTTTATCGGCGATTCCAATTTTGAAGAAATATTCTGACAAACTGTAAAAGATTTTTAAAACCTTTTTTAGACCCATTTTCTAGTAACCTAAGTATAAGGACAATTAATATTATTTCTTTGTTATTAATATGCGTCTGACCGAAATTGTAATTGTCTTTGTAGTTATATGCATGGCGCCAAAACAATGTATCCATCTTTGACTTTGTCCAGTGATGAATTTGCCCTTGCTGTATAAGTTGCTATAGGAATGCCGGATCGGATACTGCATGGGTATAGGGACGAGTCAGGAAACCCATAGCTATTTGGCGTTGACCAAAAATAGAAAAGCTTGAATTAGCTTCCACTATATATGTATATCATATCTGTGTTTGGGAAATGGCATTGAATTATTATGCATGCCAATTGTAATATTACAAATTTCATGCAGTTAGAGGTTAGGCATATACTGCAGAACTTTGGGTTGATCCTTTTTTGTGTTCGTCTGCATATTTCTATAATATACGGAGATAGAAAAAATTACTTCATTTGTAAAGCTGTTAACAACGGTTTAAAATATACTATTTCAGTTTATCGAAGACCGTCCCATATATGTATAATCCTGGGTAGAATTTCAAAAATAACACTCGTATAACTAAACTGAGTTTGAATCCGCAACTAAAGGTTGTAGATTTGGACAATCAAATCACACATATATACAGTACATATATCGACCTATAAATATGTTGCATTCGCTATGTCAGGAACAATGTCTTTATCAATGGCGGTCAGTTTTACCTGGCCCGTTTGTGCTAGCTGCACAACTAGATCAAATATTCGGTTGATGATCTGTATCAAAGGCAGCGCTTACACAGGCAGCGCTCGAGACGAAACGAAACTGCAAGAAGATAATTGACTAAACTTGTTCAACATGCGCGCCTACAAGTGTAGAGTTTTTGAAACATAACATGCCTTTTGCCAGTCTTAATTCCTTGATTAAGAAATTTAAATTCTGTGCAGAATCAATCAATCATGATCATGGACATGAGGGCATGCGAGCTTGGTTGAAAGAATTCCTCTCCATTCCATTGGGATCATAAGAAGATTTCATTCTTTTATTCAACGATAGATTAGATTCATGAAGACTTAGGATAGGTAAATATCGTGCAATGGGAACAATATAGAGGATTTTGAAAGGATTAAAACCAGGGAGGGAAAATTACCGGATATTATATTTGCCAAATTATTGAAAAATCAAACATGTTTCTTTAGCTACATATTTTGCATACAATATACATTAATATTCACACGAAAAACAATGTCATGATTTGTCATATAAGTTGCAAGATCATTGCATTCGATTATATTTTCCTGTTTAAAATGCTTCCATCCTATGTTCCTATGTTTTTACCGCTTTTATATTAATCCAATGAGACCCTACATCAGTGCCGTGGATGACGCCATGATTGACGTAACGAATTGAGATGGTATTTTGTGGTTTGGAATCAACACCTTTGCAATAAACACCACAAAGTATTTGCGAGATTGCCCTAAACTCGTCCTTTTATTCCTACTTCCGGCTATCAAAATAAAAATATCGCTATTTCGCAAGGCCTGATCTTGTGATGATGGTCACGCATGCGGCATATCGGGCACTGGCAGCCACTTTTGTCATGTGCCCCGCAACGTAATTCATCCGAGTTGTTTTTAGGCCAAATAAAAATTCTGGACAAACCGGAAAAATTTAAGTAGGAGACAAGACAAGTGATAGAATGGTCCATCACATGCACTATAGTTTGGAAAATAAAATAAACAATTTACACGCATTCCACTCGACGTTTGATATTTTAAATATAATGCAAATATTTACTCATAAATTACCTGATATACCTGCATGATATAATCTTCCTGAAGGCTGGCAATGTTTTGATCTACGATAAAGATAGTTACTTCATGATATCAAGAATATGCTCAAGATATTTATGACAATCTTTAAAACGAGACACATGCATTTCGACTTTTTTTCTTCAGTGTTAATTAATGGGGCTCATTACTGGCCGAACTGCACCCAGCCAGATGAATATTCGCCTATATAAAGTTTATCAATAATTTCTTTCAAAATAGCTCAGTCGAAATTCGAGCACAATAAATAATCTATGAATTGGCAATTTTGATTGTAGCATATTGCTGCATCTGTTACCAAATTCCTTTTAAAATTTGTTTAGAACTTCCTCAGCGACGGGAACGAGCTAGGACAATGAGTCATGAAAAATTACTTGAAGTTGGAGAGACTGGTTTTGCTCGTTATCAGCGACTTCTGTCGGACACCGCGGCAACAACCTTCACTGGCATGTTTAGGAAAGGTAAAATAAAGAAAAATACTGTTGCATTTGCTGTGTAAAAGAACTCCCAGGTCTTGTTCAAACTCGTACAGGTTGTTTATGTATATTATATACAATACGACAAAAACAAACTGTTTTTCACTATATATAACCAAATGTTCATAAAAATAAGTAACTTATACTTATATGCTGAATTCTAACTCTCTCTTCTTCCAATAGATAGTTACTTAAAAACTTTATACAGTTACGACCCCAGTTCAAAAGGTAGGTTTTTATTTATAAGTGTATTTTAGTTTTGATTTCATATCAATTATGCATTTTAGCTTCCGTCCACGCTGTCGGGGTTTTAACGGGATTAATCCAAGCATTTTATCATTGTTTGCAGGTTATAACATGGAAGAAACGATACGAAAATATCGCTCATTGGAAATATTGAATGACAGAACAAGAACTGGAAGCATATGTTCAGGTAAGATAGCAAAGATCAAAGAAGACGGTTTACATAACTGCATGCTAAAATTTGTAATTAATGTAGAGTAAAAGACGGAATAGGTTCCACAAATTGTACATAAATTTAAATTTTCAGGTTATCCTGGGTTACTACACAGGGTTACTACACAGGCTTATTACACTGTATATGACGACCAGTTTCATAACCTATTGCCCACATATGTCCATTCGGCAAATCACCCAAAACCAAACTTTTTTCTAGATGTTTCTAGCGAGACTTTCATGTCAGCTTTGCACGATAGTACTCCAGAACAGAGATCCTTGAGTAGTTCCATTGATGATCTCGATCACGACAGTCCAAAATCTTCACCAGATCCTTCACAAGATTGTGAGAAACAAAAGGAATGCTGCCCTAAAGCATGGCCATCGTGTCCTGATCTCTCTAGTCAAGGACATGTCTGGCAAATGAGACCACCAGCAATCGAGAGAAGAAAACGCCCCAGTTCCTTGTACCAAATAAAGTACTCCACAAATTCACCAAGAAGTTCCCTTTATTCTCCGCGAAGTTCGGGATACTGGTCTGAATTGGAGCAACTCAGTGAGTCAGAAACATTTAGTCCAACACAAAAGCAGCCAACTGAAACTACAAGCCTGCAAAATCAAGACCAGAGCAAAACAATGGAAAAAACCAAAAACGCTGGAGGAGCCTCTGTAGAAGAACCAAAGACAACGAAATCGGAGCCTGACGACCGACAAAACAAGTTAATAGGGGCACGGCAAATGACACGTGATGTTTTTCAACAACCACGATTTAAGGTGGTTCGTACAAGATCTTCAGAATGTCTTCCTCGAGTCTCCGACTGTGTTCGTGGAAAAACTATCCAACGTTTTAATTCAATGCCAATCGAACGCCATACTAAGAAAATCTCAGAAAATAACAGACAAAGGAAAGCTTTCATGACCGATGTTTAGGAAATATTACCGACGTTTACGTTGATTATTCATTGAAATGTTGATCGCAATAGACATTGCATAATTGACAAAACAAAATTATAAATGTGGTGCATGACTTCTAATTCGAAATCTGATCTATTAGCATTAAAACTCCAGTCCTCGCACGGTCTATAGTAGCTAGTAACTTACATATACACATCTCACCTAACGGCAGATGGAATAGAAACAGATTTTTATCAAACTGATTTTCTTTATGGTTATTATATATAATGAAAAACTCTGCAAATGTAAAGATATAGTATTTCTAAGTTTCTTGGAAATACATTTGATTCACAATTAGATTCCTATGTTACATTATTTAACATGTTTACATTTTTTAAAAATTGTTACAATTTCATGCCAGTAATCAGATAACTTGCACGAGGAGCACATTTCAAGAAAAGAAATGAAATGCTCAACCTGCGGTACTTAATTAAGACGCTAGCTTTCCACGCGCCAAGTCCATTAAATATTTAGAGAAAACTATAACCGTTTTTGCTCGTCATTTCCTTAGGATCATGTGAAATACCTGCATGGATCAACCTTTTTAGCACTAAGGGAAAGCAGGTTGATGTATTGAAGTCAATTTGGGGCGCTCCATCAAAGTAAACCGGCATGATTATATGCACCACAATAGTTTACTGTAATAGGTATAAAGGTTTGCATGTATATATAGTGTCTAGATTACCTATATGGCTATGTCTGAGTGTGCTTTATATTTACCTCTTTTAAGGGCCTGCTAAAGGCTTTTAATAATTTACTAAAAAAGGAATACCAAATGGTTTTCCGTGCAGGATTACGTTATCCATGCACGAGGGATGTTGGCTTCCGAAAGTCTCTCGCTTTCCAGAATTTTTGAAACATCCCAAGTGCATATGATCACGCTGGAGTACCATGTACTGTACGGTGTTTCTAGGTTCAAAATTATATATACTATACTTAAATCCATGCATATATAAGAACAAATGTCAATAGCCGAAACTGTGATTAGTTAAAGGCTTTCAGTTCAAATTATCGTATATACGAACATCAATGTCGTACGTTTATCAAAGTTAATCCCAATACACCCTTCCGAACTACAAAGTTTTGGACATCAGTTTTTGGAGCTCAACGTCCCAATCACGAAGAGAAACCCTTTAAAGGAACAGATTCTGAGATTCTCCTTCTCGCGGTTTTGAAATAGAAATGGTAAAAATGTTGGGCTACATAGAAAATTTGTTGAGTCTTTGAGCGTAGAAATATTGGGATACATAGAAAATATGCTCATCAATAACAATTATGTTGATTTGATCAATAAGAAATAGGTTGATAAGTTTTTTTAAAAACTTTGTGGTATTTACCGGACCTGTATGTCTCTATAAACGAGTTACCAAAATTCTAAGTTACCATAACGGTAATAATTAGTTTAACTGCAATACAGCTCTCATGTTATAACGTTTCCTGTACTAAAATATCTAGAAATAACACTCTTAAGAGTAGTGTTTGGAATAAGGTTGGAATGTTTCATTGGCGTGTTTGTCATAGGACTCGTTAACTTTCCTGATAACATCCATGACTGAATAGCTTCACGTTCGTAAGAATGACCGTCTAAAGGAAACATTCGTTCTTATATATTTGAATTATTTCCAAAAAATAATTTAGCTAAATTATAGTGTATGTTGTTGTAGTGGGTAGTAAACAATTTGAACAAGTGCTCGAGCTGGGAAAGGGGTATGCATGGTTTGTCAAAAATTATGCAGAAGATTGTGCGAGTGCATATATTGTAATATTGTATACGAAGGTACCTGCAGCAATAACTGGGTCAGTCATCAACTCTCTAGTTATTGGACACAAAAATTCATCTGGAATACTATCTTCAATTTCTTTCTTTTTAACTTCTTTTACACTTCTCAAAATTTTGTTCCGATGGCCAACAGGTCCTAGAAATGTCATTGTAAGGTCTTAACATTCTTCACAGAAGGAAAAAAACATCAACTGAATGCCTTCACAAAACTAGTCACAGTATTGAACAAAGTGATGTGGATATAAAACATACCAATACACAAGTCATTCGCTAAAACCTCCGCATTTATATTAAACAATTCTGTTCCATCAATTGCATTTTCACGAAAGCTTTGACAATATTGGTCAAGATTAAGATTACTCAGCCAGTTACACACTTCATCCAATGTCCATGACGTCATTTTTTTCAAAGCAACCTTAAAAATCAACGTGAAGACTCGTTTACATCAGACTCAGTTTTCGATGGCTTGGAACATAACTTTAATTGTCTGCAAATTTAGATTTGGTAATGGACCAAAATTTTAATTAGGTGGCTTTTGTTAACTAGTACCTTTTGTTCTGAAGATTGTGGTAAAAGAATATCATTCTTCGCAGTTGGATTCTGTAACATGTTTCCACCATCAATAAGCCCAGCTTAAATTTAGCAACAAAATTAACTATATATATATATATATATTAATATATATATATTTATATATATATATATATATATATATATATATACACACACTATTGGTTTCAATATTTTGCGATGAGCAATGAAGCAAACCAACTAGGGAGGTAAAACTGAAATGTAGACTCTCCGAAAAGTCATTTGTTCTACCCTATCGAAAAAATTATATTCTAAACTGGAAATGACTGGATACTTTTTACATATTTTAAGCTAGTCAGCAAACGTCAGGAGATGTTGTAACTTACTTGAAGTATTTGATAGTTTAAGAGTCCAGACTTTGACAGTTCTATCATTTGAACCACTGGCTAAATATTTACCATCTGGCGAGAAGGCACAGCATGTCACATATCTAAAACAGTAAATATGCATGTGTATATATATATATATATATATATATATATATATATATATATATATATATATATATATATATACAGGGCTGGTGTTCCGTTCTTTCTGTTGAACTTTTTAGGGTAATAAACAAGTTTTTTAGTTATTTTCAATTACCTTGAATGTGCAAAAAGTCTATGTAATGCTGTCCCTTTAATCTAAAAAGCAAAACAAAAAGTTGAAATAAAAGTAAAAAATACAGAATTTGCTTGTACCACAAGGAAGAGAAATCATGCAGAATAACTTCACACTTACTGGATCCCAAATTATAACAGTCTTATCCCCTGAGCTAAAATGTAATATCAAAATAATTTAGTGGTTATTATTGCTGGTACAGTATCTTCAAAATGTATTTACAACATAAAATGATTAAATCACATTACCATGAGGCCAGCAGTTTGCCATTGCTAGAGAAATTACATTGCCAAACTGGAGCTTCATGTGCAGCCAAAGTTGACCTGTATCCAATATGGCATTTATCTGAATATGCTGTCAGGATGAAAATATAATTTCAGTTACTTTACAGTAAACTTTAACATGAATTGTTTTGATCTTCTTATATGTACTGTACAAGTGAAGAAAGGCAAGTACTGTATGCAAAGAAACGTAAAAATTAATTAAATGCATTTTTCCACTATAGGTACAATTAAGGCTGCATGATAATAAAGATTGTAACAATGATGTTTTATCACATTGTTCAGTACTTTAAGTCTTGATCAATCATTAAACAAGGTTGTTACAACTAGTTAATACATTTTTCCATAGGTATACTAGCTAGCAGTATATTTACAATCAAGCAATGTAAATCAATTAGGTCTTGACTATAACCTGAGGCAGTGAAGATGTTCCATAGTTTAACCAAATTATCTCCTCCACCAGTAACAAGTAAGAAGTGTGGCGAACTACCACTGGTATCTGTGTTGCACGGAACTTAAAAAAGACCAATACAGTTGGTTTCATCAATCACTAATCAACTAATAGTGCCATAGAAGCAATGAATTGGAAAACAATCATTCAAGATATTAGGGGCTCAGTTGGAGAGGAGACAAACATGAAGGCACCATGAGAAAGTCAAATATCTCTTTTGACAATTAACTTGGACAAGACTTTTTCCCACTAGTTGCATTGAATTCAACTTTCATAGGTCTTCAATATAAATATTTAATTACCTGCAGAACCAAATGTTGGAGAGAAACAACACGTATTCACACCCATATCATTGGCTTCTTTATTGAAAGCTTTACAGATACCACTTTGTATATCCCATAAACTTATTTCAGCATTACTGACCCCAGCAAGAATATACAAATTATCTGGTGTGAAACAACACGCCATAACATTGCTTTCAAAGCCTTCGATACGTCGAACAAGGTTCTTGGTTTTTGTACTCCATAAACAAATAGTTTCATCAGCAGAGCCCGAAGCGAGGAGCAAGGAATCTGGAGAAAACACACATGCCCTTACAGCGCCACGATGTCCTTCAAATGTTGTGATTTTCTGATATGTCTTCGTATCCCACAACCATACTGTGCAGTCAGTCGAAGCAGTGGCTAAGAGAGTGCCAAAAGGAGAGAATGCACAAGCACAAACGTGATAACTATGTCCTTGCAGCGGTGAATCGTCTAACTCTTTACCTTCTGTACAAATGTCCCATAATCTCACAGTCTTATCGCTAGATCCTGATACCAAGATCCGGCTGTTGGGAGAAAATGCACAACAGTTTACATCTTTAGTATGTTGTGAAAGAGTCAAAGTTAGTTCGGCCATATTTTCATTAAAAATTTAATTTATTTTTTCGACGACGGTCTGGGAATGACGTAATATTAAATTCGTAATACAAGAATTAGAACACCACAGAGAGCGCTACTAGTATTTACACAACTGGTGAACACCAGTTCAATGGTGAACACCTAGTCACCAGAAGCAATTTTTCAGTGGAAATTCTCTCAAAAAAGTCATTTGAACAAGCCGAACCATTTGAACAACAATTAATGAGGCTCTCAAATGATAATTTGTTTTTTATTCTCGGTGGTTTAGACGTTCTCCAATAGGGAGATTTAGCACGAGGACGTGAACGTCAAATACGACGTGAAAATGGCGAGTAAATGGCGTGGCATGTCCATATTTGGGCACATCACGCCATTTATTCGCCATTTTCACGTCGTCTTTGACGTTCACGTCCTCGTGCTAAATCTCCCTAATCAGTGGCGATACGCGACCGGAAAGGCCAGGCTTCTAAAACTCGCGCTACCAGCCTACCCCCTCTTAATTTGACACACTGAACTCCCCCCCCGTCACGCCACCGACAGTAGGCCATTGTGAATCGTGTTTTATAAAAAATTATTAAACTTCTGTCTGCCTCTGCAGTCTTTAACAGGCAAGTGGTAATGTTAAGTGGCAGTGTCGATAGCTGCCTATAGCTATACATTGATACACTGTAAAAACAGTAAACGATTTAAAATTAATTACCTCTTAATTCTAATTGGTTAAAACAACTAAAAACTTTGTTAAAACAATTTTTTGTTCTTTTTAGTCTTTTTACCGAATAAAATTAATCAACACTTTCACAGCGGTCTAACTTAGGCTAGTTAGCTATGAAAGCATCATCAGTCCATGAATAAACACCCTTTTGATCTGTAAGATATATATCTCCGTGAGGATCCCCGAAGATGCTATGAGTCTATGTATATCTTCTCATTTGTACCATCCTTTTAAGCCGAAATCTAATGCATTTTTGTACCAAATAATCCTTTATTTCACATGAAATCTCTAAAATTGGCATCTACAAACAGTTCCCTGTAAAAGATTAGCGCCTGTCAAAAATTATACATAATCTATCATAGAAGTTACGTAAATCTAAAGGCTGTTTTCCACTTACGCGTTTTTTATACGCACGTACACGTACGGAAAATTTTAAATGCTTTTAAATTTTTATCATTTAACATCTAGGTCAACTAATGCATACTAAAATATGCAGAAAACTGAGTTCCTTTGATTTATTCACTTACTTTTTCAAAAATAAGATGTATAAGGATTTAGAATTTTACGTACGTGTACGTAGCCGTAGCTTTGAAAAACGCGTAAGGGTGGATTTCCACTTACGCGTTTTTCATACGCACGTACACGCACGTAAAAGTCTAAATCCTTATACATGTTACCTTTGAAAAAACTAAGTGAATAAATGGAAGGAACTTAGTTTTCTGCGCATTTTAGTATGCATTAGTTGACCTAGATGTTAAATGATAAAAATTTAAAAGCATTTAAAATTTTTCGTACGTGTGCGTGCGTATAAAAAACGCGTAAGTGGAAAGCAGCCTTTAGTAGAAAACAGCCCTAACTGAAAACCAAATCATCTAAATCACGGCATGCTGGAGAGCAATCCGAACATGTTTATACGTGATTTTACCGAGGATTTTATTGTATACCCTTGGTCAACTAAAAAGGTCAAAGTGGAAAGCAGGCAAGCAGTGATCTCATTATTTCATACTTGGTTACTTGGAAACAGCGTAACCAAAAATGATCGCTTCCTGTCAGAAACATGCAGAGTATGTTATTATTTCCAGTACAGTACAGATACCGACCTGTATTGCTCACAAGTCACATCCAACATTGATTAGCTTCAACAACATCTTATTGAAAGAAGATTTGAAGTATTGAGCACGACTGAAAACGACGAGAACGCTTGTTACACTATAGTTCATTAGATTTCTGCTAAAGTGAGTTACAAGGTTTGTATCGTTCTACTCTGTTGTTCACTGTTCATTCATGCATCAATTGCAATTTGGATTATTCATTACTAACATCTCCGTGTAAAGATCACGAGCCTATAGTGTACTAAAATATTAGGTAATGTGTTATTGTGGCTTCACTGTAAATCCCGCCTGAAGCAAAGCTAAACTGAGGAACAACTACTTCCTTGTTCCAAAACAAACTCGCCGTAGGTTAGAGCATTCTGTTCAAGCCGAGGCGCGAAGATATTCGCGACGTAATTATATCAGCACGTACAAACAGCTCGTAATATAGCTATCAGTATCAAGACAAATTAACAACATAAAGTGTTCAAGAATGTGTGGCTTTCTGTGTGGGTCACAGGACTAGATAGTTATTCAGCAGCGAGTCCAAATACAGTGCAAAATAGCTAGTTATTTTCTATATTTTGAAGAAGCCGGAATCTAGGTTTTTTCCGGTTTCTTTTTCACTACGAAACTAACACACAGACCATCGTTCTCCTATATCGAAAACACCACATATATTAATCCAGTGATTAAACTGATATTTTTATACTTATATAGGCTCTTCTTATTTTTGCAGTTATATGGCGGACAATTCAAGCATTTGCGAACTGCCATATTCTCATTCAGTCGGTATAGCCACAGTAAATGCTATATTCTGTATTTTGGGTGTGGTTGGTAACAGCCTGGTGCTGGTAGCAGTGTTCAGAACCGTGGAATTACGTACACTAAGTAATTTTTATTTGGTCGCGCTAGGCATTGCTGATTTTCTCACGAGCGCCATAGTTCAGCCGTTGTTAATTGTCATGGTAATTAAAGAAAGCCGAGGGGAGTGTGACAAAACATTGGAAACAGTTTTTCGTGGTTTAGGAAATTTCTCGGCTGCCGCTTCTTTTCTTGTTTTATTGTTTATTACAACCGAACGTTTCCTTGCAGTGATGAAACCGATTGTGTATAAAAATTTTCACCCCAGACGCAGGTTCGCAATTTTTATTAGCATCAGCGTGATAGTTCCATTGGTCTACACTATCCTTCGTCTTGCAGTCAGCAAAAAAGCAACATCATATTTCTCTGCCGCATTATTCGTGCTTGGTTATATCTATATCGTAGCATGCTACCTCATAATTTTACTGAAGTTGAAACGTCAAAGCAGGAAAATGGAAACGTCAACAAGTACAACCCATGAAAATAAAAGTTCAACACGCCATGCTGAAAAGGTGGTTACTTCGACTATGGCACTAGTGGTTGGACTCTTCACCATCATGTGGATACCGTTCTTCTATTTTCGCATATCGCAACCTTCGACTAACAGTGGTCTGGGTTATAACTGGGTTCGAACAACAGCAATCAGTAATTCGGCTTTAAATTTCATCGTGTATGCTTTTCGAATGAAGAGATTCCGAAATGCATTCAAGGCTACAATCAGTGATGGTTTTCATACGATGTTTCAATCGCGATCAATCGCAAGCACAGCCGTGAATGCTTAACAGTTTAACTTTTGTAAATTATATATACGGTATATGATTCAGGATTATTCAGTTGGGGACTTAGCCAGGGGCCGGTTTTATCAAGCCCGTTTAGCTCAAAATAGAAAGCAACTCTATCGTTTTATTCAAGAACCGAACTAAATGTTTTTAACCTTAATACAAGTATACTTTTTACAACTACATATTCAGTGCATAATATTCAAACTGACTCATTCAAGAGAGATGTAAGAGTGTTATTTAGTTTTGACTTATCTACCGAACCGAACTAAATGTTTTTAACCTTAATATAAGTATACTTTTTACAACTACATATTCAGTGCATAATATTCAAATTGACTCATTCAAGAGAGATGTAAGAGTGTTATTTAGTTTTGAACTTTCTACCGTTTAAGCTAAACGGGCTTGATACAACCGGCCCCAGAATTAGGAAACGAGAGCTTAAAATCTAGAGCACTCTAGCAAGACTGCCAAATGTAATTAACTGTAATCAGTTTATATAGTGAATGAAAACTAAATGATTTCTTATGTATCACTCCCAACCTGTACACAGGTTTCAGCTAATCTAAATGAGTTAAAGGGCGATGGTCTATACCTTTCGCCTTTGGCTGTTCTAATAATGCGTATTGGCAAGATACAATTGAAACATGCTTTCTATAATGCACCACTTTCATCTTCAATAAAGAAATAAATAAAGAAACGCTTGCGTAATATCCCCATTAAAATTTTCGTATTCTTATTTCCGTCCTCTTGGCAAATCTAGGTCGTGTAATATTAGGTTGTGTAAGATGAATTTTATCAAGACAGGCGATTCCAAAAAATAACTGAATATGCAGTTTCTCAGTCTGTAAATCGAATTTCCAAAGAAACGATTTTTCTCGTATAGAATAGGCATAATGTTAGTTAGGTAAAGATACCCCAGTTCCAGTATACGGGCAAGCGTAGCTTATTTTGTTCAAATAATTTACCATCGATGTTTGTCTTATTTCGACAATTCTGGCCTCTCAAATAAAGAAAGATTTATGCTGTATATGCATGAATAATTATACATCTACAATATACCTCCTGCATGCGCAGGCTGCGACCTGTCAAGTGAAGGAAGTACCTCGGGTTTTTCTATACACGTGCCTATGCATCTTGTTCTCATGATGAGGCAGCTCATGCAGAAGGGAGAACCAGGCTAAAAGCCTAAATATCTCAAAAATGAGATTGCGACACCTCTGCCCTGCATATGCAATTCAAACAATAGATAATGAAATGATAAGGAAATTTATGCACATTTACGGCATTGTATTTTCTGTATAACTGATGCAGCATTCATCCAATAGCGATGAATATGCTCGATAAGGAGCCGCTTCAATCACCTGATCGTGATATATGTTTCCTTTGAATTTACCTCCATAAATGGAATACCGTTGTCTTTTTACAACGAGTTAATTTTTGCCGAAAGACAACGGTGTTGCTGATCTTTTTCTAGCCTCTATTATCTATGTTGCAACGGAATCCACTAAGTGGAAAAGTGAATATTTGTTTTTAACCACAATTCCTCTAGAAAGAATATTAGTAGAGAATTATTACCTCCTTGAGGCGATACTGAAGCGATGGAATATTAAACTGACAGGATCAAGAGCCTATCCGCCAAATTAATTACAAAATCAAATATACCACAGATGTGAAAGATTCTTAGCACATGGCAACAATCAAACGGCTTCAACTCCTTATTCCTTCATGTGGACTTCGCAATAAAAATTTAAATGTGCTTTTTGAATTGCAATTATTGCACACACGCACGAAACTCGTTCGAGACCCCATGCTGTGTGCATGCAGTTAACGAATTATAGTGGTCGTAAAATACACGAAAACGCATTTTTACCAAAAGGCAAAGTGAATTATTTTATATCTGTTATGAAGAACCATATAAAAAATTTCGAATTATCATGCTTTCATTAAAATTATAAAGTCTAACACGATAATGACAGCGTGTGATGACGGAGGCCAAATACAAAACTTTCGTTTTTTCAAAAGCAGAGGAAAACACAGCACAGATCACACCGAATGTGACATAGGACATGACGGGTCAAATGGAGTTAATGGACACCCCTTGAAAACTATGCATTCAAAATCATCGTTTCCTGTCAGTATGTTTCATTTTCAGAATGGACACCGGTATTGTTCACGAGTCAAATGCATCAGCATTTAGTTTTCACTAGCATATTCATGAAAGAAGGTTGAAAGTATTGACAGGAAACCACAAGCAATAAACACACCAGTTTCCCGGTTCATTAGATTCCTGATACCCAGCATCAAGTCACTACTGAAGGTGAGTATCGCTGGACTCCCTCGATTGCCTATGGCTATGCATAAATTGTAAAACTGTTATACTAACAACTCTGATTATTGAAACTATTCGTGTAGTTGTCTGCATGAAGCCCATACACTCAACCCAGCCCCGGGGTTCATTCTTCTCAAATATAGCTGAAAGAAATAGCCACTTCAGAGTTTGAAAGCAAACTCAGGCTGTATAGGTCTCCGGGTGTTGAGGCCAAGACAAGGACAGACTATTCAGTCGCAACTTAATTATATCAGCCCGTATAAACAGAGTTTATAATATAACTGTCAACACAAATTATCGACATAAAGTGTTGGAACAACGTGCGAGTATCTGTGGTTGGGTTTCAGGACATTATTCAGTATAAAGTATGTAAAATAAAATTATTTAGTAACGATTTCCTACATATGTTTTAAAGCAACTAGCATTTAGAGTTTCGTTTTCTTTTTTAACCAAGGAACTAGCACCCTAATCCGGCATTATTTTCATTTATCGAAAACACTAAATATTAGTTCACTAATAAAACTGATATTTTTATATTAACGTTTTATATCTTTTCAGCATGACGGACAATTCAAGCATTTGCGAAATGCCACATTCTCATACAGTCGGTATAGCCACAGTGAATGCTATATTCTGTGTTTTGGGTGTGGTTGGTAACAGCCTGGTGTTGGTAGCGGTGTTCAGAACCGTGGAATTACGTACACTAAGTAATTTTTATTTGGTTGTACTGGCCATTGCTGATTTTCTCACGAGCGCCATAGTTCAGCCGATGTTAATTGTCATGGTAATTGACGAAAGCCGAGGGAAATGTGACAAAACTTTCATAACGGCGTTTCGTGGTTTAGGAAACTTCTCGGCTTCTACTTCTTTCCTCCTTTTGTTGTTCATCACAACAGAACGTTTCCTTGCAGTGATGAAACCGATTGTGTATAAAAATTATCATCCCAGACGCAGGTTCGCAATTTTTATTAGCATCAGCGTGATAGCTCCATTGATCTACACTATCCTTCGTCTTGCAGTCAGCAAAAAAGCAACATCATATTTCTCTGTAGTGTTATTTGTGCTTGGTTATTTCTATATCGTGGCATGCTACCTCATAATTTTACTACAGTTGAAACGTCAAAGCAGGAAAATGGAAATGTCAAATAGCACCCCCCATGAAAATAAAAGTTCAACACGCCATGCTGAAAAGGTGGTTACTTCGACTATGGCACTAGTGATTGGACTCTTCACAATCATGTGGATACCGTTCTTCTATTTTCGCATATCGCAACCTTCGACTAACACTGGTGCGGGTTATAACTGGGTCCGAACAACAGCAATCAGTAATTCGGCTTTAAATTTCATCGTGTATGCTTTTCGAATGAAGAGATTCCGAAATGCATTCAAGGCTACAATCAGCGATGGTTTTCATACGATGTTTCAATCACGAACAACTAGCACTGTTACGAGTGCTTAATATTCAACTTTCGCAATTGAGTGGAATGGGATGGTCACCGCTCTCCTTTGGCTGTGTCGACGCGGATATTGTCGAGATGTAAGCATGCAAGACAATGCTTCAGCAGAGCGCGCTATAATGCACCGCTTTCATTTCCATGAGGGCCTAATATAACAAACATTTCCGTAATATCCTCCACACTTCATACGGCCTTGTATTTTTTGCTTCAAGGCAAACCTATGTTAATTGACTTTACGAGGACATATTAGAATTAAAATTGATTATAAATGTCCACCGAAATGTTAACGGCCTTTTCTTCATGTATATACTACAGACATAAGTTTCTTTCCAATTTAAATGGTTAATAAGCTTTGCTTTGATTTAGTTTTATAGAAACATAACAGTAATTTGTTATAGTTTGTTAAAATAGTTACATGTATAGATATATAGGTTAGTTTAGTTAAAAATACTCGTAGTTTAACTTTTTATGACGTTTTGGGGACATATGGGAATACCTTAATATGTAGCAGGCTAAAGACTTTAGTTTTGAGACGAGATCTACAGTCTATATAATACTCGTTTGAATAATTGTAACCATTAATTAATTTTTGTACATGTATTTTTATAGCTTATAGCTGCATGTAGCTTGATAATAGTAAACGGGGAGGATTTAATTGGTCGGTTTGGTTAATTAATGTCATGCAGTAGCTATATACACCAGGCATTTTTCAGCAGTTGCAAATGTCAGTTCGTCACCAATAATTATAATCACTTCTCTCTCTTGCACTGAATAACCTTTCTCCCAAGAAACCCAAGAAATAAGCCCAAAATATTTTACATTCAATGCATTTACAACAAGCTTATTCATATATAAATATATATACAACTATATACATGCCATGAAAATGAACATATAAACGCCAAAAAATCTTCCTTTTCATTTCTTAGAAGTATGAAAAAAATGTGTCATAGGAGTGATTATTTCATAGCAACAAGGAAATTGCAAGAAATATATTTGCACGAATGCGTGCATATATCAACCGCTGAGCTCACAGTCAGACTGGCTCATTTGTTTTATCAACACATACATCTGCAGGCCCATCACATGCATCTTTCACTTTAAAGTTTCTTTACTTTTCAAAAGCTGTGACTGTAACTCAGAACTTTTGCCAGTAGATATATCGCTCGTGATATCCACCAAACGACCACAAAACGTCTAAAAAAGGAATCAGACATACAGCATATGCAGTTGGTTGGCGTCTTGTGAGTGCATGATCTGCTTACATCAATATATGCAAGACTGGCAGGTAAGTCAAATAAATAGGTTGTGTTGCAGTGATTCACACTTACTGTTGTCGTGATATTAGATTGAAGCGTTGTTAGGACTTCGTCCCTATATACAAACAGTTAATCGCAGTGAAAATTATGCATGCATGAAGACACTGTGGCGCACCTGGCCACAGCTGCATAGCTCTGTATTCTGGTATAGCGCCTAAATGTATCTTCAGAACGATCACATAAACCACTAGCATATAGGGTGAGGTATGTATGTATTAAAAAAACCATCCGTTTTTTTCACTTGTTCTGTATAGTTCACCCTGCAAGGCTTCGAGAAGTAAGACGCCTTCTATATCTTCTTCCTTATATATCTTCAAACTATAGACTACTACTTACTCTTCTTCCTCAGTCGTAGTATAAAGACGAGATGATTCAATGTCTGTCAGTTGTTTCTCTTTACTTGCCTATGATGAAAATCGCCGGTTAATTTCGTTTTCATGTTATTCAAAGAAATCGATACCGTTGTATGGCTGACAGGACATGAAGAATCTGAGAACTAACAGTTATATGGGTCCAATAGGTAACTTAAAGATAAAGCAAGAAACATTAAAGCGACGTCGGTAAGGTTATGTACAACAAAACATTTCACTGAAATACCTAACATGCATTCAGTACCATGCAGTAAACTCTATAAAAAATACTATACGGGTATTTTTACAGTCCATTGTCAAGTGCAGAATATAAGAAGTACCTTAAGAACGCTGTAATCAGATGTTCTGTTCACGTAATCATAAAAGTCGTCGAAAGCTTTCTCTCGCTGTTTGTGATTTTCAATAATCTGTGGGAAATACGTTCATATATAATACGTGCATATGGGACTGGTTTTTAAGTATTTGTTAAGATCATACACATGAAAAATGATATTTCATCTAAATAAATAGCAAATCCGTATCGATTCATTTAATTTTAATTCCAGTGATTCCGGTAAAACGGGGGGATAACTATCGTTGTATGTATACAGCCGAGTGGTTTCTGAAATATTTACCTTGGCATAACATGCTTGCTCCTCTGTAAGATCTTGCTGTGTCTGGTTCTGAATGAGTTCTCTTTGAGATGAAACAATACTCGCCGTTCTTTCCTCAAACATTCTCTCTATCTCAGTCAGACAATCAAGATCAGGTGAAACGGGCCGGACATTTTCACGTGCTAATTCAACTGAAACTTCTTGCCAGACTTCAAACATCTAAGAATGGAAACCGCAATGCAATGCTAAAAAAAGGCGATGAAATATACAGGCACGGGAGCAAGCAGCCCACCATATCACGCCAACACCCATAAATAAAAATGATCACAAAATAAATCCTAGACACTAACTTTGAATTCCAGAAAGTTTTCAATAACGGATAATGTCACGTAGTCCATTGTTGACAACCCAGCAATGTCGTTAAAACCTGAAAACAAAGTTGATTCGAAGGGTCAATCCTGTTTTAAAGTTGTTTTTTAACATAAAAGGGTACATGTACATGCATGAGCTTACTCACCGAGCTTAGAAAAAATTGTGTATATTTTTGCACGAATATTTTCAGACACTTCTACCACAGCTGGTGAAGCGACATCAGCAGGCAGTGGAACACAACTCGCACTGTCCATTTGAACCTTTCCCATTAATGGTTTATGCATATCTTAAGAAAACAATAAATAGAGTAAAATAAATAACTGCCAGTCTTCTTAGGTACCACAATCCAGATCCAACTTTAGTCTGATGTTTTCACAAAGAAAAGCGTATAACATTGTGTATACAAAAATGAAGGATCATTAACAACAGCGCCGATAGCTTACTAAGCACATTAAAACACAATAAAGCATTGTAGGACAACAATGTTCCCTTGGTCACAATTCCTCCTACCTTTTATAAGCCACTGTGAAGTTCTTTCTACACCTAGTGACATTTCATCTTTCCGCCACAGATTAATGAGCAGTTTACCAACTGTTATATTAGACTTGCCCCGCCAAGAGTAGACATGCGATAGTGCTTTCGGATTTTCGCAGAGATCCACAAGGCACCCTAGCACAACTCCTTGGATTGTCGGTGGACTGCCCTAAAATAAAACAACGTGTTTAACTCGTGTTCATACTAAACGGGTGTGACTAATTGCACCGCAGAAAGTCGTGGGGAATATTTGCTGTAGAGTGTAGCACAACATAACTTTCCGTCTAATTAATGGTTGTTGCCATGCATTCCAGTATTCGTTATACCTCCAAGAGATCTAATAAGAGAAATATCCCTTCTTCTTCCAAAAATTGCTGTTCTGAAATGTAACAACCCAGAACTGATGACCTGCGGGAAAATAAAATATAATACTCAGCCCTTCTTGTATTGTCAGTTACTACAATTTTAACTTCCTAGTGTAAAGAATGGATCATTTCATACCAGATACAATCAACAGCAGCAAGAAACAACGCGTGATCTCCTAATGGACTGTGAACTTTAGCTGGATCTTTCTTCAAGTATTCAATTACAACACCAACACCACCTGAAGCAAACAGTTCCTAAATAACAAAAACGACAAGTGAGCTAGAACCTACTTACCATCACATAAACCTTATTTTTTGTATATATTTCCTACATATACTGCTGATGTCCTGTATTTATTATACCAGTTCATCTTCTATTAACCAATATACTAATATTCAAAGGTCAGTCAGAAAGCATACTCTTTCAGCATGGAGTTCAGCATGCATGGAACTTCCCAGTATCATTACAAACCTTTCTATGTGAATCACCTTCACATAAACATGAAACGATCAACAACATATCACATTGCATTTCAATGTCAATGATATCATTCTCGTCATGACTGGTGCTGGCGTTCCATAAAATACCTGTCAAGGTCGTCAGAATTTAACACAAATCCATCATCAATATTTAAAATTTGTTTTTATGACGGAATTTTGAATTCACAACAAGTATGCTCATGAATAACTAATCCTATCCATAATGTTTCACAAAAAACAGCCATAGTTCGAAATAGGATTTCTCCTTTTCCAAAGCCCTATCCTTTCAAAACATTCACTCTTCTCTGTTAAACAGCGTTTTCCAGACAGAAATTCAATCTCATTTTTTTTCTAATATACCCATATTTCCCGAGTCATCCCTTCGTTATCCCACCCCTTCTTGTCTTATTTAAAAGAGCACATGCGCCACACCCATAAAAACGAAGTTTACGAAATGAGAATTATTCGACGCACCAGTAATTTGACTTATTGCTCCTTGATCACATAAATCTTGAAGTACCGCCTCGTCTTCGGTCGAACACATCCTTCTTAATAATCGCAGACAATGTCTCATTTGCGCTCTCTTGTTGCCACGACCACCATCTGCGTGATAACTGTTGCCATGGCCACCATAATCACCTAAAATAACGAAAATAATAATCAGATCATTTCCAGTGATCACCTGTTGCTGTTGGCCAGGGTTTTGTCAGTCCAATCCGACGAGATGGTTCTTATAAACAGTAAGCTGTCTGAAGTGTTGAATCCACTTACTATAGTAATTTTAGAATGTATTTCTTATATTCAACCAAGGCTTTGGTGCCAGTAAACTAAATATTAGAAGTGACTAACCCTGACCAACACACCAGTCCAGCAACAGCAGCAATCTGTTGTTCCCCTGACATGTCATATAATCATTAATACACAATGGGGCGATGGTACACATTGCTGATAATGATTGCAATTGAAGTTCTTCAAATTGAGATGGAGTCCAGAGATCTGGCAACAATGTATCGTTTGCTTTCACGTAAGTGAACAAAGACAAAAGGAGACGACCCGATGACATCAACTATTTAAAACAAAATAGTAAAAAAGGTGATGCCATGCAAATTATGAAGTAATTATAAACACAACATTCTTTGGATTTCTGTTTTTTATTCCATTAAAATTTCACCTGAACTGCGGTGGGATCTTTTGACATGGCCACCATCGCACTTATTAACAACTTCTTAAATTCGAAATCTTCATGAATCTGTAGCAGACAGAATAACAACGCTTTAGAAACACAACAAGACAAGCATGACAAAGGTAACACAAATACTAAAGAGAATCGTTTTCTCTCCACGGTGAGCAGGGGATACTAGTCCAAAATTTCTTGCATACACGGGCTAAACTGTATAAAAATACGGCATTTTCAAATTTAGATTTGCACCAGAAAGTAAGCACCCATGCAACCAGGAAATTTCATCCAGGAAATTGCCTGAACTCAAATCTAGACTGCAATGGCTGCTATAAAACGAAGGGATGATAACTTACTTGTTCAAATTTTATATGTTGCGCAAGATGATGACGTGACTTCACTAGACAAAATATAAGGCATCATATAATTATACTGATTAGGATGCAAAGTGATGCGTTGGTAGATATGTGAACTGGACGAAAGTAAAAACAGAAATGTACGTTTACACACGTGCGTCAGAGTGGAACGGGGATTTTCATCCCACATTTTTGCACACATAAAGGGTTGATATTTCTATCCATACACATGCTTAAGACGCTTGTATTTCAGTAGTAAATGCCGATACCTTCTGTTAACGTGGCGCATAATACCACAAGATCAGTGAATCCAGTTTCCTTAAAATGATGTATAAATTTTAAATTTTAAGTATGCAGACATCGTAGAATGGCATTCATTGAACGAAAACTTTCCTTACCACAAATGGTGCAGTTGGCCGGCATGGTGCAATCAATATTGTTATGACTAAAATATCATTTCTAAAAAATATTGTAAGAAATCACTGAAATATTACAAAAAAGACGGGTGATGCACTGGAATTTATGAAGGTTCATCAATGATTCGTTGGGCAGAGGATGCCCATACGAACGATAGTTAATTACAACTTATATATACCTTAACTGTTTATCAGCTTGACTATACCCTTTCGTTACCAGGAACTTGAATGCATTGTTGAGAGCTCTAAAAAAGCATTAAAAGAGTATAATTTGCATAATATAATTAGCACAATATGAATATAACAGTACAACCGACAACTGCGAACTGGGTAATGAGTGACATTCACCCTGGTCTTTGGCTCTATGGAATCTGGTAGTTTATAGAAGCTTATAAATTCTGCATTTTTACATTTTTTTCAATTCAAACGTTTGGAACAAGTAAAGCTAGAAATTCCTAGAAGAGGCTTACCTGATGCAATCATGACAATCCAATTGTTCTGCAATCTATAATTCACAAGAAACAACCGGTATTAAAACTACTATGCCTATCGAATGTCGATACGATGAAAGTGAATGGATCAAGATTTTACCAAACATGTTTATTTTCTTACATTTTCTTTTGTTCCATTATTGAGCATATTCCAGAGAATATCGACGGACAAAAACATTCCCCTTCAATGGTGAAAGATGACATAAAACAAATTTTACATTTATGAAATAATTAGTCTGGTCTAATGACACTCCTGGACGTTTAATTTTACTGGATTGAGATACACTACATCTGATTTGTATACTCATTTTATACCTTCCTGTAGCTTGGTTTGAATCAGCTAAACCACTGCAAACAATACGAGCAGCTCCGGCAGCCAGCATATCATCACAATTTATGGCTAATTTAGTATAAAACAACAAAAGTGAACGTTTATAACCATCATGCACTCTTTCTTATGTTAACAATACTGATGCCCAGAAGCATTATGATTCAGTACGTGGCAAATGCTTCCTGGTTGGACAAATTTGGAATATTAATTTTTTCCCTCTTTCATTAATCATAGAGTTTTAATATCTACAAAATTTAATAGCAATTTGGTATAGCATAATCGGGGCCCAGGGTAAAAGAAAATGATTATGGAATGATTTTCGTCAGATGATAATTAAGGTCGATTAACAGCTTCAGCTTCATAGGAAGTAATAGGAAGAGAAAACGTTAAATTGATAATAAACACCACTACAGTATGTTTCTAGTTGCTTGATAATATTTCATATGCTACCTACCTGAATGGGAAAAATATTGAAGCGCTGTCATTAGTTCCATTTTAACATCAAAGCTGCGACATCTCTCTAAGCACTAGTTGTGGGTCAAAATAATGTAATGTATTCAAACATATTATGACCAAGTTGAGGAAATAAAAATCAAACTTTCGTTTTTTAAATCCTCGTAAAAAATGCAAGCTGTATGTACATACCTTTACAATCGCTTGGACGACAGTGCTTTTTTCAACAACAGACTTATTAAAGTGCGGACTGGTAGGCTCCACTCCTATTGAAAAAATTACACTTTCTTAAATGTCTTTCTTTTGCACATGATTTAGAATATTTATATAATATTGAAGATAGGAAGTAATATCTCAAAAACTAAATAAACCTACCAATATAAATAGTTTGGCTTTCTTTTGAAGAATAGAATTTTGTTAAAGACCTTGCAACTTGAACCTGGATGGCAGCATTTTCCAGGTACATTAAATTTCCTAGCAAAATTCATGATAGTTATATGTACTTGAAGAGTAATATTGCTGTACTTAAATCCGGTATAAGCTATAAGCTAAATTCTGTGGATTTAAGCTAAATTCTGTATAAACTAGTTACCCCCTTCCAAAAGAGGGAAAAGGATGCTGCTTCTGAAGAAGTACGGTTTTAATAATTTTGACACAATTGAAGTGATATTAATTCTTCAATGGTCTGGAAGGTTTAATTATGGGTACACGATGATCATCTCTTACTGTACCACCGGTAATATGAAAAATCCTTTCATATAAGGATTTAATTTACCTAGTTCTGTAATGAACTCAGTGACAGTACTGGAAAAATTTGATTCATCTGAGGTCCTTTCTTTTAAAAGTGGATTTCTGAAAAAGTAGAAAATGGAAAACCTGGTCATTTTCTGTGCACTTTATTGTGAAAGAGATGTAAATATTATAGAAATTACATGTACCTGCAAACTTTCAAAATATCACATAATGGTTTCTCATAAGCTAAATCATTTTCCACTCTCATTGCACATGTTGCAATTAAATGACCAACTGCCCAAATATCTTTTAGTAGCTATATCAACCAGTTGTCAAGAAAGATGAACTTTTAAATATTCAGAACCCTGTGTAAACAGAGCTTGTATAATATGTAATTCATAAACCCTAACAATTGAGGCTCCAGTGGAAGTGGTTATTTTTATTCCAAGAACCTGGCAACTCACAGCTATACAATTTTTGTTCAGTACAAAAAACCACACACTGTGCAACAAAGAACAGTTTATTGCAAAAAAAGATACAAATCCTTTTTTAAATTGTTGTATTAACCTCTTGATGGAACGAATATGGCGATCAACTAGCTTTTCCTGAAATAATTAAGTTTGAAAAAATTTTCCTAGCGTACATAGAGATGACTGAAACAAACAAAATATTTGGTTACAGCTATTTTATTGAGCACTGTGTCCAAACCCTACCGAGTGACGATCAGTGAGCAGTTTCAAAGTTCCTTCCACAGTTACTGTGCTACTTGTTTCCTGCAGGTTGATAATATTTTAAGCAATTGCACTATACCATCAATGTATTAATTAATATTTACCAGTTCAGGCTACACTAAAATTCATTCATGACCATTATTAATTGTAACACAATAAAGGTATTTGCATACAAACAAGACAACGCTGGTGGAACTAAATCAAAATATTGAATCAAGGCCTGGCTGGTAGCCCAGGCTGGACGCCAATGGGCTTGCGTTGAAAATTGTGCCTTCAAAATCTTCACAAAGCACTTCAAAAACTTTATGATTTTATCATTCTAATAATAAACAAATATTCATGTAATGTTACTCGTACAATAAGGAATTAATAGCACTCTGGAAGTTTAAAAATTTCGCTAAAATGTACGCATGTCCAATTTTGCATATTTGAAACATCACGAGTTGTATTATTCGCAAATTGTACGAGAAACATCCCATGGTTACTTATACATATGGTGCGCGAAATAAGGCGCATACGTACCTTCGAATTTAACGTGTTTAAAGAACTTTCAGGTATGATATTATTAACCAAAGGAATTGTTTTTCGTGTTGTCACCTCCGCCATTTTCGATCTTTACAAAATGTGCAAAACTCTTGTTACTATGGTTACTAGGCAACCTAGTGAGTCCAGGAATTATTATATAGCTCAGTGCTCCTGATTATTAGAAAAACCACCGCAGAAAAAACTTTAGTTTTTTTTAAACAAGAAAGAAAAAACTCAAAAAAGGTGCGATTGTTAACAAAATTTTTGTATGGTATTTGGTAAAGTGTTCTTTAAATTGCCGGTTTAAATTAGAGTTTACTATACTCGCTTTTAGGGGGGAACTCCACCCTTTGATACTCTGGATTGTTAACATGGATGAACTATGCGCAAAAATATTAGATAAATAAATAAATATGCGCAATATGTTCGATAAAATCAAATTCGAGAGAGAATGCCAGTCTTGGATAATGAATATAACAATGCTAATTGGCTATGTCTGCAGCAGCTCTTGCCGAACCAGGTTCTAGGTTGGCTTATTTATTTCTTGATATTGTATTGGATATTGGTTCATAATGTATAACAAAAATATGAGATTATATTTTAATAAAAAAACAAATGAAATCAAACTAGTGCTGCAGGCATTTACAACTCTGTGCTTATATTTTATGATGAAAGTAATCAGATCAATATTTCTATTTATTAATTAACTGAGCCTAGTGTTTTGTTGATTGTACAATGCCTAGTGTATATACTCATATAAGATATAACTCCAAATTTACATAATTATGAAATGCAAACCATAAATTAATCACTGGCATAAAGACCAGTCGATGTTACAGTCTGTCTTAGATGAACAACTGCATAACTGTTCCCATTCAATCGGAGCAGAAAACACTTCTCTCTCAAGCCATTTTTCATAGGCATTCTTGAAATCATCAGACAGGTCAACTGGGGAATCTAGGACACTGTGGATGTTTACATCACATTCACTCATCATTTCATCGCCATTGGTGTGAGCTCCATAATGGGTGTTGTTGAAATGATCAATACAAGACTTTAAGGAACCTTCTTCTGCTTGCAGATCAAATGGCCTGGGATCCATGTCATTTCCAAATGCCCAATCATCATTGAGACGATGACGAACTTTCTGATAAACAGCCGACATGGTCTTCATATTTGATTTCCTCCAGTTGCGACCAAGGTACTTAGTCTGAGCTTTCAACAATTTGAGGACATACAACTCCATCATTTCATGTTTAACTTTGAGAGATCGTTTAAGGATAGGTGCTGACTTGAAAACAATTAACATCATTGTCCTGGAGTGCTTCCACTTTGTTAATTTCTGAAGAATGCGCAAGAGATTGATACAAGAAAACATGTTTCTCCAACAGCACATTTCCGAACCATTATTCTCTAGACTTTCTGCTGTCACCTCAGCTTTCTCATTCAGAGCACAAGCAGGAAAATCAAGTTGTGGGATGAAATTCTTGGTGGATATGTAGGAGGAAATATTCTGGTTGAGAAACTTCAAGATCAATGGAATGCAATTTCCACATACTAGATTCTGGCTAATAAATTCAAATTGATAAATATGATTATTTTTGAAATGCTTGAGAAGAAGCAAGATCAAGCCAGAAATAGCCTTGACAATTATCTCCTTGTGTCGATTCACATCAATACCAAGGCGCATGGAATCAAGGACAGTAGTTGGCATTTCTTCAGGCAGAACATCAACTAAAACATTAATGGAATCAGTCTTCGCTTTGGCAGTTGGTGAAGAGGCTAGTAAGATTTTCAATAATGATATCATATACTGAGGCATGTTTGGTAATAATGATTTGTATAATGATTCACAAACTTCATTCTTGGATTGAAATTTCTTTGCAGTGAAAGGTCGTTCTAAAGCATCTTCCTCAGCTTTGAGCTGGTATTCTCCAAGTGATGTATAAATGTGCTTTTTCATCACATGCAGTCCTTCATGTATTGGATGTGGTAGACCAGCCAAAGTGCTATCATCACCAGTTATTTGATAACCAACAAACTTTGATCTGGTCGCATCCAGAAAGAGGTCAATATCTTTTTGGCGAACTTTGGGGCGAGGTCTTGGCTTACGGGTTGCTTTGAATTCATTATCATCTAGATCATCAATTTCATCATTCGCATTTTCTGAACTTGTCATATTGGAATGTGAAGTCTCACCATTTTTATCAGTTATTCCTTCATCAAATGCTTCAGGCAACCCAGCATCTAGTCTCGATTGTCTCTTCACTCTGTCAATGTCATTTGTTCCACCCAATGTAACCAGGATTGTTTTCCACAAAAGCAAAAGAATTTTCTTAATTGGAAAATATGGACAGTTACCTGCACAAAACCTGACAACCATTTCAAATAATACAATATGAAGGCATTCATCATGAACTGGTTGACTCAGTTCAAAGATAAATGTTTCTCGTTGTTCCATCATAAGTTCGGAGTCAGTAGGATCATCATATCTCATTGTTTCAACCATGATATACAGAATATTAAGATATAACCTCAATTGATCACTATCAGCAATAGAAATTGATGGCTTTTGCATTATAATGATTGCTGAATTTGGATTTTCTGATTCCAAATTTAACAACTGAATGATATGATGCAAGATTCCACAAGAATAAAGAAGAAATACATTTTCTCTTGATTGCTTTAGAAGTGCATCCTCACTCATTCCAGCTTCAAATGCACCCTGTGCTAGATAAAGTAATGATAATACAGCTGGTACCCGAACAGAATCATCAATGCTGTCAATCTTATCGATCAATTGATTGAGACACGATTTCTTTTCATTTTCAGACAGTTCATTCCATCTTTTCACACTGGGGAACTCGCAATGAAACGCTTCTTTATTTCTTTTGAATTCTTCTTCTTCTGTATAACTGTATAATTCTGCGATTTCATCCTGAATAGATTGGGCATCAGAGTAAGTAAATTCAACATCAGGTACTCCATCAAGCGCATTGTCCGCTTCTCCTTTCTGTCGCTTCAAAAGTTCACGAAGCTTAGGAATTCCACGAATATTTTTCTTGTCAGCGCTCATACTTCCTTCTCCTACTAAACGAACCTCCATTATTCACTGGATAACCTTGCTAAAAGTACAAATTCTGTGTAAAACTAATAAAAATAGACTCAACATATAGTTTAATCCAAGTTTATAGTTAGGCGCGGGCGGCAAGACGGGCGGTTGCGGGTGATCCAGCTACACTTTGATGTTTAGAATGTAATTTAGGTCTTGGGAAAGAATGGATATTGTAGGGTGCTAATTACATATCTAACATCAAGGTTGACGCAATTTTAAAATAGAAAAATGTGGGTGATTGTTAGCCTGGGAATACAGATGCCTTGGCTAGGTGATTGTAGCACTATGCTAGGATTCCATCAACATATAAACTAACATTTATTCATAACTGAATCCACACAGGCCTCGTCATTCACCAACCACAACCTATATACAATATTTTGGACCAGCAGAATTTTAGGACTTGTAGGAAAAATTTCTCTATTCCATCTACGAAGTACAAACAGCCTGTATTTTGTAGAATAGGATACCTGCCCCTCCCCACGACAATATTTATAAACACAACAATGATCTAGTTTCTCAGATTTTATTAACAAGTTCATTTAAGTTTCCTTTATTTCACGAAGACGACGTACAGCACTTCTCACTGTAGCGGCAGCAGTGGTACTACAAAAGATATAGTAATTCTTAATTGCAGATAATTCTGAGAGATATCAGATTTGTCAAAGGACTAGGGGTCAACTATCCATCTTTCATCATCAACCATCAACAATTTTGCATTCCAAAAAAAATGGATACTTATGACCAAAATTTCAACCAGAAGTATTCATGAATAAGCCAATATCCAATGAATATTTATGTTTCCGAAAACTACAAAACATAGAATTATAAACATATCAAAACATTGGATATAATATACCTGACAACCCAAGCTCCACCTGCCATAGTCTTATTACAGCCTTTACAGTGCCATATACCAACACATCTTCTTTTTAGTGTGTCCTTAAAAATTTTAACATTTTGTTATCCGATGCACACTAGCATGCACAAAGCTATTATCTAGGGGAAAAAAGCATTGGTATCTGAAATAATAGTGAAATATGAAAAAGATATTATACTAGGGTGAGTAGGGGAGAGTTGTATAAAAAGATAGTTAACTTTTATTTGTGATAGAATTGTCAAATCAGAATTGTGTAATTTGGAATTAACTGGGATTCATCTATGAAGTTAAACCATAAAGGTTTAAAATCTAAGATTAGGTGAGTTAGTTTGGAATCTCAGATACAGATGAACTGCCGCCTGCCAACTGAATTTCATTCATGTTTTCTTAGAATCATAATATAAGAAACAAAATATAAGTCAGACATAAGTCAAACTTTTATTAAAAACACACTCACTTTTCCACAAAATGTGCATGTGTATCTCGCGTGTTGGGAAACCTCGATTTTTTTAATCATTTTTCTCAACGAAGCACCATATCTTGTTCCATATTTTCCAACAACCCCCACCTTTTTTGTACGTTTAGCCTATCCAAAATAAATATCTAAACTATTAAAAAATTACATTTTCGTAAAAATACAATATTTAAAATTTTGTATACTAGTATTATACTGGTTTAAAAGGAAGGATGGGCACAGAAATAATGGATTTTTGCTATGACTTTACCATTTCTGTTTACTTCGTTGAGACAGGACGAAAGAAGAGAATTTTTTAGGAAAAACCGCTGACTATAATCGACCGAAGGCACACGAGCATCCCTACAACTGAGCTATTTAAAATTCTGGAATTTAATATATAGCTCAGTGATCCCTACCCTCATACCCCCCCCCCCCAATTCATGGCGCCAAAAGTTTTGGAAGGCGGGCGGGTAATTTTAAAATGTGGATTGTAGATCGTATTTATGGCCGAGTCCCGCCGAGATGGGAACTTTTTTCCAAAATACAAAATATGTGCTCAGTTGCTCTTGCTGTTAATTAGTAGTACCACTTTTTTATTTTAAAGAAATAATGAGTAAAAAGAAAGACGAAGCTGAAGGTATATGTTATTGCATTCCATTTCAACTATTCTATTATAATATTATCTCGCAACACTGTCAGACAAAGCGTAGGCGGTTTACTAGTAATTGTTAACTGTGATTTTGAATAGGCAGAAATATTTATTTGTTAAATATAGCTGCCACCTCAATTCTGGAGTATCTGAATAAACAGAATAGACCATACAGTGCAGGTTAGTGTTGTTTCTATGGTCATTTTGCCACACAAAGTGGTGTGTCTGTTCTGTGGTCTGTTTTATGGTTATATTATTGATTATTATAAACTAGGTGCATGCTATATTTTGATGATCTTGTTATGTAGATGATCTTATGATGGCATATCAGCTATGTTAACATTCAAAACAAACTTCATATATTTAGGTGATATTTTCTCCAATTTGCATGGAAAGTTTGGAAAAACAGTAAGTCCATATCTATATAGACAGGTTAATTGATTACAGGTTAATAGATGTAAATAATTTATTGAAAATGAAAAAGTCTATCTCATTCATCCCATTTGTAATCAGTGAACTAATTATATAATTTAGGCTGTAGTAAAAGCATGTGAGAGTTTAGCAGCACTTGGAAAAATTAATGAGAAGATTTATGGAAAACAAAAAGTTTATGCACCCAAGCAGGTATTAATTAAGCATTTTATACCAATGATTTTATAGAAAATTATTTATTCTATATACGCATATTTGTGATGTGCTGCAGAGCCTGGTAAAGATAGAGATAAACTGGCAATTGTTTATTTAATCAAAAACCTGATTGTGCGCTTCCTATGATCTAGGAACAATTTGGTGACTATAGTGAAAACGACCTAAAACAAATCACTGAAGAAATAAGCAAGTATGAGAGAGATTGGAAGGACCTCCAAGGCTCTTGTAAAACCTTGGAAGAAGGTACATTAAAAATGTAATTTGTGTAAAAGATTACTTTGTCAATATATGCATGTGGCCTGATATCTTTTGAGTCTTGTGTTGGAGATGAAACTGAATTAAAAATAAAACGGAAAGCAAGCTTCAACCCAGGCTGACTTTCAGACAGAATGCAAATCCATGGTTGTTTATTTTATTGATGTAATAAACAATATTTTACATTTTAGGCTAGTTAACATTCTCAATATAATATTTGATAATTATTTCTCACATGGGATTTGTCTAAAAGAATTTAGAGCACTGAAGAGCAGCTTAACAACACAAGATGCAGCAACAAGGCTTAAAGAGCTCAATGAAAATGTAAAATATATCTTTCTTTTTTGCATATATCCTTTCTTCCCTCTAATTATGCATCATTTTACTATTTTTTTTTTGTCTTTTTTCAAATGGCAATACAGCTAATTTTGTTTCTTGTTTCCTTGTTTTGTGGGAATGTCATGTTTTATCTGTCAATATCTCCTTTTCATACAGTGCCGAAAATACCAAGAACATTTGAAACGTATTAAATCAGGTAATATAATATACAGTATTTATATGTATCATTAATACCCTTTTTGAGAATGACGAGAATGAGAATTAAAGTACAGTGATGCCTTGCCTTTTAGCTTCAAATCATATTTCACCAGTGGAAAAGGAGAAAGTGAGTAAATACTAAATAGTGTGTACATCATGTTCCATGACTGTATGTCTATATTAGTATATATATTGGAAATTTATTTCAATTTATCATCTCGTCTTTGTGCCACAGATAGTTAAGAAGCGAAAAACTGTTGTTCAGGTGTGGAAGAAAAGAAAGCGCATAGTACGTAAACCAATAATGGCTATATGCATCCAGGTTTTTAGTCTGACTATGTTTGAGGTATTCTGTCCTCATCAACAAACATGCAATGCCAATGTTTCAATTTTATATTAGAGTATTCTGGTGAATCACTTAAATAACGCGCGCTCGGCGTTATTGAATTTTTCACATTTTGATTTCTTACTAAAGGCATCAGATATGATGGATACTATCCTTGAAAGTTATCCAAAAACTAAGAAACAATTTATTGTGAGTAAACCTTCCGCAACAGTTTGCTTTTTAGATAGAGGTCTTGTTTTTCATTTAATTCATAGATCGGCTCGACACTGAATTCGTTTTTGCTGAATTGAGAAAACTATTGAAAATCTAGCAAAGACATCGTGTATAAATTTCTGTCGAGCTATAAAGATCAGGGGTTTAACAGCCACGTCTAGCTATATAGGCCTATAGCTATAATTTTAACGTTTTCAAGTTAGACAAACAATTGTTGGTCTGTATATTTTGTTATTTTTCAGGAAGATGTTGGTATTGAGACTGATGAAGAATACAACGTTACCGTACCACAGGGATGCTAAAATCGAACTTAACTTGTTAATAGCCTTAATAGCGCTATAGGCTTACCTATTTTATCTATCATCCTTGTAACTAATTTCTGTGTGCGTATATTATGTTGATTTTTAAAATATACATACCTATTCAAAAACTGAATAGAATTACTGACTAGTTAGTAGAGTGCAACGGTAAACAGAAGTTTTTGTACTGATTAGAGTACGAGGGTTCTTCACTTTTTATTCTCTTTTATTCTTTGGGTAAAGTCAAAGTAAGGTTTTACCGTATACAATAAATACTAGGCATGGTCGGTTTCGAATATTCAATTTTAAGACTAAAGTATAAAAACGTAGCAAACATTTATTTTCGTCCACCTCGGGAAATAATGCATAACGCATATTCAATGCTATTGATATTCTGTTATCACGCGTACGCCAACTATTTTATTGTTTTGTCATGCATCTAATCGCAGACACAGAATCGATAATCATGTTTATAAATGATTAAAAACATCGTTCAGTATTGTTTCTCGATTTGATTAGAATATTCATATATTGGACTGCAATTTTTTATTTTCTAAATGGATCCCCGAATCCGCCAGTTCCGTAGTCCTCTGTGTCGGATGAGCGACCTGGCAAGAAGTGTCATCACCGTTAAAGGCGCGAAAATTATTCGCACTGATTGGATTAGGATAGGGAGCACTTTGCTGTAAGCTGATTGGCTGATATATACGCGCTCATAGCGATCGTCATATCAGCACGCGGCTAACAACTCGCTAGCAATATATCAAATTTAGAATAAGTTCCGACATACCGGTTTTACCTCAGTGCGTAAATTATTGATAGAGATTTATCGATTTAATCATTCCATTTATAAGCCTTTCTCTCCCCTCTCCCTGAGTGTTTCACCTGTCATTACATCGCATATTCATGCATTAACTTGACCTTCATTATAATCAGAAATTTAGTCTGCCACAGAGATTTAACCACAGTCGCATTTATAATCCTTTTACATGTGTCGACTGAATGATTATATACAAACTGTACAAAAAAAAACGCAAAATGGGACATTTTAACCAAGAGGTCAGTATTTGCCCAATTTCCTGAAGTATCATTGATCAAGTCTCATTCAGCGTCTTTCAGTCTAAAACGTCAGATCTTGCGAAAATATTCACCACTTTTTGAAAAATGTCATGCCACAAGTTTTTTATTTGTTTAAATCTGCAACTTTAATACTAAATGTATTCACCATTCATAATAAAAAAATTATGCAAATAGATGCGCGTTGTTGACAGTGGTGTCATCAATATATAGGACGCTCTTAGTTTAACTCAGTGTCAGATATCGTAACCGGACACGACTCGTGAGAAGTTGACCGAAACATGGAAGTCCCAAAACACTTAGCTAATTTGATGTTGTTAATCCTTGGTTTTATCGTGGAAACTAATGCTATTCCTTACAAGACAGGTAGCACGACACTTGGATTTGGATCAGCTAAGAATGTTTTAATCTTCGGTAAGAATGGCTAACTTAATCTTACGCGTTTGTTCTTGTCTGTCCTTATCTAGCAAATGAAGATGACGCAACTAAACATATGCACGATTGAGATGCACCAGTGAAACATTATAATTAAACATATTCCTATACATTTTCCTTAAATCTGGTTTCATGGCATCTCTCAGTAGAATCATGATTGACTTCTTCAATCAACGACTCCTATTCTGACTTAGGTAAACAAAGATAGTCTGAAAAATCAATAGTGGCTACTCTTCGTAAACAATCAGTTAACTACTGTATTCCTGGCAATTCCCTTCGGTGATCTTGAATAAAAGTTATTCAGCGACTTCAATTCAAGCACTGTTTCACAACATTATTTTTATCCCTTTTCTAACGGTTTATCATTGAGTTGAGTAGTAATAAGTTGACGAGTGCGACCTTCAATTATATTTATATATATATATTAAGTCAGGCAACAAGTTCTAAGTTTTGCGTATGATAACTTTTGTTTGCTATACATGCATGAACCGGACCTCCACTGAATTACTGATTTAAGTAAGAGCAAAATTGTTATGCGTTTAAAAACAGATTAACGTAAAATAGTGTTGAGTGCATGTTATGTAAGTTAGGTATAACATTGTCATATGCCCGATGTGAAAAACCTGTACGTATTATTGAAAGAGAAAAGCCAGAAATTTTATATTTCTGCCAAATACGAGTGATTTTAAAAGTTCCAATGACTTTACTCAGTAACAAAGACTGTACAATAACTATACAGTTGCACTTGCCACTTGAAAGTTGGGAATTTATTGAAACAAGTTCATCGTTGATGTCACCCTGTCACATGAACCTATATATATATGGCCCTTTTTTACAAACATATGTTTGATATTTTGCGGTGTAGATCAGTGCAAACAGGGTCAAATTTGGTAACTTCTAGATTCGTGTCACATTAATCGTTGAATTAGAGTATTCAATTCAGCATATAAAAAGTTGTTTTAGCTGATGTTTTCATGGTTGGATTTCTTATGCGCTGTTTCATTTCATCGTTTTTATTTTCCTCATTGATGTTAACAAACTCAACAACGCCAAATTAAACAATTTAATTTCACGCAGGGTGAGCCAAGAAAAGACCCAGGAGTGCGGGGTTGGTTTAGATCAGTATTGTTTATACTCACTGGGAAATTTTATAATCATTTTTTGCACGGCGTCGGCATCTGAAGATCGCTTCATTTAGCCTTTACTAGGCTTCAGGGCTGCATTTTGTCATACCCTTTACCAATCAAATTATACTTGACGAAATCATATGTTAAATGGACTCTTCCTTTCTCCAGTTTTCCCTTCTTTCAGTCATTAAGAGCTGCATGCAATACGCGTCTTCCAAACAGAATCAGCGAATGAGTCAAACATGCATTATATAAGGAAGACTTGGGTCACATGCAAATGCTGTCTTTTTAATGTATGATGAAAACATGTCTCTAAATACAGGCTGTAGCTGTAGCTATAGCTTTATTTCAGAACATACCTACGTCTAACTGTTCACAGCTTGTGACAAAGTAAATATCTTAGTGAAGGAAGATATAGAATAAAATCGCTAATCATATAATTAATTATGATCAAGCTCTCATGCAGAGTATAAACACAACTTGCAATGATTCTTAATAATAACATGCTGTTTGATCCTATCAGTATTTCCGAAAGATAATTGGCTTTGGCTCCACTGTCTAGGGAACCGAATGTTAGTCTTATTTGCTCTTTTTACCTTTTTGTTTAACCGATGGCGATGGCAATGCGTCGCCTGATTGCTGAGTCCGAGTACTGACTACAAGTCTGCATGCACCGAATTTTCAACTGACTTGCACAGATGATCAACGAAAATGTTCAGCATGAGACAATAAAATGTTCAATAAACGCTTTCAAGTTCAGTTATTGTCTGGCATTGTCATGTGTTTGCATTAGCGGTACTGGAGACAAAAAGGCTATAAAATCGCCAAGTCTTTGTTAAAGATTTCATGCATCCTTACGTCCCGTGTATTAAACTTTTACAATAATATCACACGATATAAATGAAGTGTTCTACAGCAGGTTGCTTGCAGAGGTGCTAATTGAAGAAAGGCAATTCTCAGAACATTCCTCACTTTGACTTATATACGTAACGTTTTTGGCATTACAAGAAGTCTTTTTAAACTATATATATGTTGCTCTCGTACTGATAATGAAATTTTATATTTACACGCGCAATTATACCATTGGCCCATGCACGGATAATTGACAAGTCATGTGAGGGTTATGGGGGTGAAGATGGCGTTGTAACTCTAACTTCCAACATGCTGAATTAAGTAGTGACATGTGTAATGGTGTTATCACACTGTGATTAAACTACGTGCATTCTTCTGTCAATACTGAGTACAATATGTTTTCAATGGAACTTCGCATGCAACTTTTACAAAAACCTTTTGAACCGTAAGCTACGGAACGCTGCGAAAAAGAGCATATATATACCTAACCATGCAAAAGAATGGTAAAAAATATTTATCACACACAAGTGACACAACGGATCCGTACACATCTTATATACCTCATTTTTTTGTTCTTCGGTTCAAAAAGACTCCCACGACAAAACAACGCGCAGAAAAAAGCGGCGGTTTAATAATTTAGTATATGCAAAATAACAATCATCATCATCATAATCATAATAATAATAATAATAATAGTAATAATACAAACATAGGATAAGCGTTCCCCAATTAATACTGACAGGAAAACAGACGCGTGAAAGTCAATATCAATGACAATTTTTCAAAACATTGCATGGTTCAGTGGTTGTAAAAACATGTAATTCTATATCCACATATAGCTACGTTAGTATATGCTCTTTCTTGGTGGTTTTTCACTGAGTATCTTAATCCATGGCGTCACCTGTCTAATCCTATGCCGTGATTACTATATAGTGCGAGAACTGCATGATGTAGATAATATCAAATACATCCGATCTTTGAGCAGATCAAAATGATAATGCATGGATGATAAGACTGTCCCCTATTTTCTTGGCGTTATTCGCCTTATTCATGTTTCTCGTTTACAATTCGATCAGGACACCTTAAGTTTGCGACAAATTTGAGAGTTATACTTATGATTATTCTTTTTTATTACTGTATATATGCATTGATGCAAAATTGACTAATTTTTAAGTAACTGACTAACTGTATTCTTTATTCCACTTCTCTAGCTTAATTTTCATACAACCGTCCTCATGCAGCAGTTAGAGATATATAAACACATTGAGTCAAAGCTGAGATGCCTATTTTCTGATGGCGAAATCTCACTTTTATCAGTTTTATACATCTAAAACTTTTAAAATAAATGTATCTTGTCCGTTCAAAAAAAAAACAATTCAGCAAATGATGTTTGGCCTAACGTATAGCTGTCTCTGTCCAGTTCCCATATGTCTTTGATGGATACCGTCAAATCACCCCATCACTGCCATGCACTGGTTTTTGAAACAGGCGATTTTAAGTATCTGTGATACTGTTATTTTCTTTAACTATAGGTATTGATGGCCTTGGTGGAGTTCATTTAAAAAACGTAACATCCAAATACCCAGGGCTTCGTTCATTCTTTGAGAAAGGAAGTTTTACAACTAAAGCAAGATGTGAAACGCCAACAGTAAGAATGAACCAGCTAGCAATAGGCTAAACTAAATCTATAGCATTCAGCATTGGATAAAAAGAGCACTGTGCAAAGTTATAACATGCTATTTGGCGTGTGTGCATATCTGTATATTTATAAACTTCGAGGCCAAGATTACGGGGCGTTTCTAACACTTCCGCCTTACATTTTCACATTTTCCTGCCCGAATACTAAACCAATTTTATAACATTTAGCTGTAATTTGTTCCTTTTGTGATCATTAAAACGTCATTTAGGTCCGACCCATTTGGGTGGGAAAACCCAGCGGTAGGAACGAGATTACACAGCCAGAAACGCCACGGGCTTGTGGCATGAGTGCATACTTCTATTAATCTTCTTAGACCTCCGTAAAAAAAATGCAGCTGAGCTGGCAGTTAATTAAATTACAGTAGAAGGTTTTAGCCAGCAGCGCTTCGGATCCCTTAATCATTGCTTTTAAAAGATTCCATTTCCTTTTTCTGTTACAAGATCTCGTATATTCTTCTTTCAGGTAAGTGCGTCAAACTGGGGCACACTAATTACTGGTATGACACCAGCTGAAGCTGGTATTCAAGCTAATTACTGGACACCAAAATATGCTCGACCTAAAAACATCACTCAACGAAGTCATTTTGCACCAATCTCTGGAGAGGGAGTGCCTGAGAGTATCTTTGATGTTATACGCAAACAGAAAGATTTAAAGGTAAAGTTTCCTTTCTTACATGGGCAATCCAACCACAGGACCACTCTTATAAACAAAAAACGCACTTTCTTCAAAAACAAATAGTATAACCTTTTGCATGCATTCACCCCTAGCCCACCATAAGGTTTATAAAAGCGGTAATTTTAATTTCGTCTGGATCTACTTTTAGGTCTACATGGGTTATACTTGGGATTGGTTTCATCATTTCACAACAAACGAGACCGTTGATCGCATGTTCCGAGGAGCACAAGAACCTTACTTTAATGGCACTAGTGATTGGTTGAAATGTGCATTCAGTTTTGGATGTATCAAACATTCTGATGATGCTGTTTATCAGGCGACTGTCAAGGCGATCAAGGAGATGCAACCAAATGTTATGTTCCTACATTTTTGTAAGCAATAGAACTGACCAATTCAACACGTACAATATACAATAACCCACAATATACACACCCTGCAGGCAGCTAAATTAAACGTATAATATACACACCTTGCAGGCAGCTAAATCAAACGTACAATATACACACCTTGCAGGCAGCTAAATACTATAAGGCTATATATCATAAGCTAAATAGTTCATCATAAGCTAAATCATTTTTCAACAATGTTGTCGAAACCCGACCATCAGAAAATTGATTGACTCTTAATTGTGAATGTATATGCTGCATTTAGTGGAAATTTAAGGATGCTCCAGGCTATATCCGATCCAGCTTTGTGATATTGTATGTTGTCTGAAAAGCCCCCTTCCCTTGGATGCAGATATGAATTCTTAGCTTTAAAACATTGTTGTTGAAGGCTGAAGCCATTTTTTTAAACATATTCTAGCTCGCGTTGATAAAGCTGGTCATGAACATTGCTGGGGATGCAAAGAATACTACGATGAGTTGGAAGTTATTGATGGTTACATTCAAGGAATTATTAATGTATTGAATGAAACAAAAACATCTGAAGGTAGCTGGCTTTCATTTTTCACATTGTGACACCTGTATTGTATCGCGTAGGTCGTAGGTACTGTTACCCTAGGCAATGACGACGTACAAATCCAGACTATGCCATATAACTTGTTTATACACAGATGCCTGCCGATTCAAAATACTTGAATGCCAAAATGCCCAATAGAAATGTCGATGGTTAATTGACGCACTGGAGACAGAAGTTAATAAGAAAACAAACCTTTTCATTAATTGTGAACCTTTGTCATAAAGCGCTTCTGGCAATATTAATGTGTTTCTACGGATAATTTTTAACAGTTTGTATGTTTTAGGCAAGAGCATGTTAGATGAAACATTAATGATGGTCGTCAGTGATCATGGTGGATATAGAAAAACACACGGAACATGTAATGGTCCTAATAAGGAATGTTTAAGTTTTACTATGACTGCTACAATGAATGTACCATTGCTTCTCCAAGGTAATCTTTAGTTGAACATAACATTAAACTGTAGAGTCAGAAAAAACAAACTAAATTCATATCTAAAGGACTCTCTGTCGTGGTTCTCAAATGTCGTTGAGTAAATTATGACCACTGGTACTTCTATGTACCTCAAAGGTTAAAAACATCTGGAAAGGATGACGTGACCAGTAACCCCTAATCCTAAAGTCCGCAGTGCGCTGTTTATTTTCTTCAGTCAGTGCATGACTATCTATAGAATAACTATTTCATTTGTTTTGCATTATGTTTTCGTTAGGTCCAGGAATAAGGATGAAGTATAACATGAGTGCCCGCAAGACTTATGTCGCAAACAGAGATGTCGTCCAAACTGCGCTCCATGCGTTAGGGTTGGAGAAAGGTGAATACATGACTGGTAGAGTGTTACATGAAGTATTCACGGAGTCAAAGATGGCAGCTGTGAATAAAGCCAGACGTTTTGTCAGTGGATTTCATATACTCGTCATAGCCGTTCTGTCGTGTACTCTCTACCTTCTTTAGAATTTTACCGAAATTTTATTGTGCCTCAATCAATCTCCTATTGTGATAGTGGTTGTCCATTTTGGGGTTTCCTAGGGTGGAATCCACAGAACCTCTTGGACTCTAATGCCAATTTATTTAGTAATTTAAATTATAGAAAAACGTTGTAGGGAGCGCCTCACCATGCACATCAACGCTTCGTTCTATTGACTTGCTCAGATCGTATATAATCATCATTTAGACGCTGTAATTCATGCCTTAGTATAGATTTGTGATTAAAAGCATTGTTGAATTATTTTTTGTCATTTTGTCAATGAAATGTTTCAACATTGGGAAGTAAAACTGCAGCATACGTACATGACTTATCAAGAAATATTGTGTTTGTTTCGACTGGGCCATTGTTAATTGAATTGCACGAACGAAGTAATTTCCATATTTTAACATTTTCCAAAATTTAATAAACAATTTGTCATAATTACATAAAACTATTCCTATATCATATGTGCAATTAATAAAACAATTCCGTTAGGACCATTTGAATTTCCATACTATTTACCAACTCTAATATGACATTTTCCTTGTGTTTTGCCCGAGAATACTTCTTTTAAATCGTATTTGACCGTGATTGTAATCATTGTATTTGACCGTTCAACACCACTTTACTCAGTTACCCAAACATAATTGAGAACTTTCATGACTTGTTCGTATATCGTGAAGACAAAGGCAACGTCGAAACACACTCGACCCAGACGTGGTACGGTGCCCTTATAAAAACTGTCGAAAAATAAATTCTAATTAGATTATATATTATTATAACCAAGTATAAATGCAATTTCAAAAACAAAGGTGTATTTTGAGCTCATGCAAGATACAGCGATGAGGCCGAAAAAATTTATCCGGAGGAAATTTTAATAGCTTTTGCAAATTGCAACCCTGGTCCTATAAACCTGGGTACAAGGTTGATGCGATGGTTGATGCCTTGAGCCTGGAAGGGGCAGTTTATGAGCAGCAACGATTATCTACAGTAGTTGTTACGTATTAAAAGCTGCCACGCTGCAACTTAATTTTCTCAGCCTAACATAGTTCATCAGTATTTACAAATACAATAAACTTTAATTTTACAGATACGTACGCTCTAGGTCCTTCATGTTTTGCTATTTGTACAACACAATCCCAAGAGCTTTTATATTTATGAGCGTCCAAACCCTATAAATAAATAAACAAATAAATAAATAAAGTGAGTCTTTATTGGTGAGTTTGCTGCACTTGTTCGCTGGATGTATTAATACCATTAAATCAGAAATCATTGCTGGAGTGCATGGTTCAAGGTGTGAGGACAATGTCAATGATAAACAACGTAGAATGTCTGTCAGATGGAACTGAAGATGTACATAACAAAGGAATTTTCCTCGTCCACATTCTTGCAATACTTGAAACATAAATCCGTTGCTTCACACAATTTAGCTACATACCTGCATTCTGGTTTTGACGACATCAACGGGCGTATTCCCAAAAACACTTGCTGCCCCAGCTATACCACCAATGAGGAATGTACGAGCAGCACCAATATCTTTAGTGTTATCCCCTTCTTGAAACCAGGATTTCAAATTTGAATACACAAAAAATCTTATCATTTGATTAGTTCCTTGTTTCACCATTGTTGGTAGAAGACCCTGGTAAACTCCAATAAGACCTTAGAAATTATAAAGTCAAAAATGTGATTCATTCTTTGCTTACTTCTGGCATATTACCATTCCTTGCACTTATATAGTCATTCTGCGAACATCAACTTTATTGTTATATTTTACCTACCATCAGTTTTAACAATAGTTGATATGCCATGAAGAAACCCTCTATATTTCGGATTAGGTTGGGTTTGGTCATGGATAAATTTCACTTTAATAGTTTCCATTGGACAAACAACAAGGACAGCTTCAGATAACCCAGCTCCAAGGCCGCATAATAAAATATTTCTTTGAGTTAAATCTCCTTTTTCATCACATGCCCTGTTCTTTAGTGCTTCAAACACAGAAAATCTAAACATGGTCAAATATATAATTATATATACACGAGTGTTTGCAGTTTTTCTCTGCGACACCAGAGCCAAGGTGGCACCCCCTGTTTTGGGGACTTTGACAGCTGCCATAAATGATATAGCAATATACATTATATGTTCACCTATTGGTCCTAATTTTAATTACAAGTCTATGTTATAATTATAATGCTTGTCTTATATTTTTAAAAATCCTGTAGATCTGAAAATTACCCACCTTACAGAAGCTTTAGGTATTGATCCATAAAGTAATGAACTTAGTCCTCGATAAAGACCAAAAAAACCATGACCTTGGACAGTTTTTTTGGCACAATCGATAGGTCCTGTGTATTTTGGTACAGCAGCTCTTTCGTCTAACTGTAATTGCGTTTTCACATATTCAGTTGGAAATGTACACAGAATTTCTAAACCACCAGCAATACCACCTAAAATATAAATATTACAACTCAAATCAGTATGACAAGAAGAACCATTTTTTTATCTTTAATTTTTTATTAATGTCATAAGCTCACAATTGGTTCTTTGCACTCATAGCTTGTACATAAATATTGACATTCTCCAGCAAAGCAGTAAAAGGTCATATGCATGTCTGTTGCGGAAAATTGTGGAGCCCCTCTCATTTTAATAAAATTGATTTGTGATTCCACAATTCACCAAGTTAGGCTCTAGGAACTTCATATACCCATAACATCTACCAGACCTGTAGTAGATGAAAAGTGCCCTGCAATGGAGGTTGGCCTCTAGGCTGTGCCAGGACCAAAGATGGGCTCAAAGGTCAAACAGGTCACACCTCCAAACCATCCCATTAGGTCCAAAGTTCAATATTTTTATAAAATAATTTAAGCTGTTATTAAATATTAAATCTTTATAGAGAAGCACATGTTCAATATTATACTGCTCAATTACTTTCCGTAGGCACGTTCTCTGTATTTTTTGCACTTTAATAAAAAGATAAAGCTCCAAATTTGTTCTTTATGAACTTAATCTCCAAATTATTTATCTATGGTAATACTTTAAAGTCCAATCACTTCAATGTCCACACAACCCCACTGAACTGAAACTTTGTTACATAACAAAATATTTCTGAACACAGTATGCCCTTCAAATCACAACAATTCACTTTAAGATACAAAATACCATTTTTTTGGCAACATTTTCATATCATGTCATGCTACTTGCCTGCTAGGATTGCTTTTCCTGGGTGCTTTTTGCCAGCAATCTTTCCCCCTGGAGCGGCACTCATCGAATGTTTACTTGTACGTGGCATCTTGATTGCTGTTGTGCCAAATACAACTGCACTAACACTTATCCTGAAATACAACGGAGCATAAGAGGTTCTATTGTATTTAATACATGAGAACAAACTCGTAAAAAAATATAAAACACAGCTCAAAGGTCAAGCCTTCTATCACTGTATTTGTCAATAAATTTCCTGACAAAAATACATACAAATTTTATCAAGATTTTCCACGCATGTACGATTACCTGTCCACACGCGGGACAGTTCTCCTCTTGGCCTCGTGCGTGTGTACCAGCCTCGTTCCCAGGCGCTTTAAATAAAATAAATATAGGAACACTACAGGCTTTTACGTAGATCAGTGGCTAAGCTGAGCGAGCGCGCAAGGAGTTTTGGGGAAGACCAAATTAAATATTATATAACGTTGCATTCAGTACAGTATTTATAGCTTGGTTTTACGACTTCGAATGATACCGAGTGACAAAAAAGGCTCTGGGGACGGGAACGAAACTCGGTCCAATCAGGGCCCGAGATTGATTGGTGACTATGATAACTATGATTGGTGTCTATGAACAAAGAGAAACCATAGATGGTAAGTACCGTAAAGGCCAAGGCCGAAAACGAGCGTAACACTACAACATGATAAAGTAAGTAAAGTCTTACTTAAAAAAGAAGTTTCTCTATCCACTAATTAATAGACAGGGTTCCTCTAATTGTAGAATGGATTAAATACAAAGAAAAAAGTGAAGCGCTGAACCTTGTGGCTTTGGGTTGAATGCGCGGGAAATAATAGGAGAGTCCAGTGAGCTCGGGGAGTCCAGACACCTCCAACACTATGTTACATCTACTGAAATATAACAGGTAGACTGTACGGGTAGGTGCCAAAATTTTATGGTGAAACCTTACACCTCATATTAAGGCAGAACGCGCGTAACCTGGAAGGGTGGACATCACCAGAAATAAACCTAATTTAATACAAATACGTTGCAATATATAGCCCACAGCATAATGATGTAGCCCAGTTTTTATACAAATAAAAGTTTTTTTAATATCTACAACAATCCAATGCTTCTTTTTCCAGCATTTTATACTTAATACCACGATGAACCATTCAATCAGTTTTTTTTTACCAATCACTCAGTTCTTTTGCACTAGTCGTCCAGTTTCAAAACAATCTCCCTTATTTCAATTCAGTTCCCTTTAGGGTTAAAAAAGTACTTTAGCACTATAGTCCACAGTGTTCACAAGCAGTTGCGTAGCCAGCCTGACGATTTTGTTCCGCTATGTAAATTTCGAGTTAAAATAAATTATTCATTTCTTTAGAAATTTATTGTTTTCACAGTCAATGAACACCAAAATATTAGCATAGCAGGACAAATTGTCAGCTGGCTACGCTACTGTTCACAGGAGTGTTTCAAAAAAATGTATGCATCTTGATAATTTTACGAAGTACAGTACCTGTTTAATTCCCCATGAAATATAGTCAGGTTTCGTTGCCGCTCGGTATTCATCAATTAACTGTTGTACAACCTCCCTTTGAGAGTAATAGAGTAATATAAAGTGCGTGAAAAGAATGAGGCAAATCTTGAGTTTTGAAATGTACCGACCTTGAGTTATCCATTTCATCCAAGTTGTCCTCAAACATGGGTTCTTTTCGATAATTCTCCAAAAATGCCTCTCGTTTTCTCAATTTGTCATATAAACGGCAACTCTTCTCAAATACCTAAAAGTTGAAGTCAATGGAATTTATGCAAATCTTTCGCAAATAACCTAAAAATGTCAACTTATCAGGCAAATCACGCGAAACTTTACCATGCATTGTAAGTTTACTTACCGTTGAAATGCTAGTGTGATTCGCCATCATAAGGCCACTAACACGGTGAGCTGTTTGAACATACGGAGATTTTCGTGAAAGAGCAACCTGCAAAAACATCGCAAACATTATACAAGAACATTTTTGGGCATTACAGCATATTATATTATCTTCAATGTGAAATCAGAAAACGAAGGGACTAATGTGACGATATATGTTATATATATGTTATCCTAGGGTGCATTGTATTCTATTATACTTAAGTTAAGCAAGGTGTGTTAAATAATCTGACTAGCAAAATAATCATCTTTTAAACTGTGCATACATAACTTGAATACTAACTTGAATACTGGCTGGGCCCCACGGAATGAACTCCGCTAACTTTCGTTCACGAATTCTTTGTAGACTTTTGTGAACCTGAAATGTTAGAAAAAAAACCCTCTGATATATAGTTGTTTGTGTGTTTTAAACTTATTAGAAAAGATTCCAGTAGGATCAACTAAAACAAAAGGATTTTGGAATAATTAGATAAAAAATGCTTTGGGCTGGATTACTCAGAGAGAACTAGCAAGTACCTGTGTGGGATCTACTTCTCCCTGAATAATGTTTAGTATTGAAATATAACAATGTTGGAATTTCTTATCTCGAAGTCTTGAAACCATCACGTTTTTAGGCTGAGATAGAAATAAAGATTAGTCGGTTAACAAGAACATATTATTTATAACATGAAACAGACAATCCAATCTAATATATAGTAGCACTCTTTGTACACTGACCTGAAGAAGTCTTCTCATAACATCCAATACTGTCGTTTTTCTAACACTTGATACCTTTATGATGGGTGATATTAAAAGTGACATTTCAGTTCCACTGACCACCCATTCATTGTTTTTAAAGTACTCAGCCATGAAGATATTTATGGTTGAATGAGGGTTAATTGCTTGATATGTTTTATATCAGCCCAGTCAAAGAAAACAATGACAGATTCATAAAAAAAGTCTGTCTGTCAGAATATCACTTCTTTAAAACGTTTTTGTGTCAAGCTAATATACCTTTTGATCTGTTGTTAGTGGAGTATAACCGGTCATCAAAAAGTGTAACCGAGGTGTGGGGATAAGAGATGCAATTAGGCCAATCAAATCATTGTTCATATAACCTGGAAGAAAAGGCAGCATTGAATCATCAAAACATTAGAATAGTAAACAAAGTGACCTAGTATAATTCTTCTGGCATCAGCATCATGTTTATAGTCATATTGTATTTATAATTAAAAACCTGGGTATCTTAATGTTGTTGTACTTGTTGACATGATTGTTGAAACCTATGTTGCATATAAGAAATAAAATAATAATTATTTTTATATGACTCCTGGTCTCACAACTATCACCACAATTATACATACATACCAATTGGTTGACTTGCGAAAATGTGGGATTAGGAATATGCAATCTGTCTGATGCAATCCGATTTAGGGCAGTGTTATCTAAAACTACCTAAGAAATTCAGTGCAGTAATTTTAATTTTAACAAAATTCATGCTTATTAGGCTTTGCTATTAATAAGATACAAGTTTAACACATATTATAATACTTGTGACAAAGACCCCTTTTTATCACATTCATCTAAAGTGTTGCAATAAAACCTACCACACAATCTGCATTTTGTGTTAACCTCTTTAGTGTCAAAATAGAATTGTATGGTTGAACAACCACATCGCTTATATCCTCCTGGAATTTACAAAAAGAGGGTTAAATTTTCAAGAAATCATAAATTTGAGATTTAAGATTGGAAAGTTTGACTCTTACTTGTTGAGGAAAAACTGAGTATGTTTGAATCAGTTTTTTGGGAAACCTTAAAAGAAAAAAAGTTTGTAAAATATTTTCATAACTACAACCACAAATTCAAAGCTCACCAAGGAAAATCAAATTCATAATCCCTTAATTATCTAGTTGGAATATGGGAAATGCTATCACAAACCTATCATTCAACTTTTCTAACATATATGATCCCATTCCAGAACCTGTCCCACCAGCAATGGAATGACAAATAACAAAACCCTATAAAAATGAGCAAGTATTTCTCTAAAGTATAAATGAATGTTTCAAAAGATACATTAAATCCACTTCAAATTCCTTGATTTTCATCACACCTAATAGCATTATTTTTTAATACTTCAAACTAGAAACATAGTTATACCTCAAGGCTATCACTCCCATCAGCTTCTCTATCAATGATGTCAAATATTTCTTCATGTAGTCGCTCAGCCTGGAATATTTATTTTAAACAAGCATTATACTAGAAAAAATCAAAACACCATGTTGCAATCAAGCCACAACATACCTGTGAATATCCACTTCCCCAGTTATTCCCCGCTCCTCCGCCATGTTTTGATGTAAAAATATTTTCTGGATTGTACAAATTTGCATAGGGGGATGTCATTATTGTGTCAATTACCTGAAAACATTGTCACATAATTGAATATACATTTAGACATGAAATTTCAAACAACTATATACACTTGGAATAAATAAGGTGCTATAATTATCTTCATACCCTTGGTTCTAGATCAAGTAAAACTGCCCTTGGGATGTAATGCTCATCATCAGCCTAGGTGCAGTATAACAATGGAATAAAAAGATGATTATATAGCCTCCTGCGCAAGCATCTCTTATGTATTTATATTAGGCATTTATACTTGGCTTGGGTTAGCTGTGTCGGGGAAGGCAAGGAAAAAAGCGGGAGAGAGCTCCCACACACTATTTTCTTGCTCCCTGACACAGCTAACCCAAGCCAAATATAAATGCATAATATAAATACATAAGAGATGCCTGCGGAGGTGGTCAATGATTATATATAAATTTGAAAAAAATCAAGAGCAGATCCTTATATAACAAAACACCTGGTAAAAAAAGACATCCTTTCTGTCTGTTCCATCTGTTGCAAAGTCTTCCAATATACCCTCTAAAAGAAATATCATATTTCTTTAGTTTCCTATTGCAGCCATCACATCCTACAGTAATTAAACCATGAATAATGCAAAATCCTATTTTATAGAGTATTGGTGTGCCCTAAAAATAGGTAGTTTAAAATTTAAACCTTATATATATAATCGACATTCAAATTCAAACTATTATATATAATCACAGTAATCCAGTAATTTTACATACCAAGTTATAGGGGAAATTTTAGAGAGATTTTGGACTACAACTGTTAGTTGGATAGCCCTAACTAGCTTTCATAAAACAGCAATGTGATGTATCAAATCAGACTTTAATCAGGGTGGACAAAAATGTAATAAAAGGGAAACTAGTGTCAGAAGAATGATAAATTTAAAATTTTATGAACTCATTAGAGGTTCTAACCTGCACTAATGCCATGTTCAGCACAAAGTTGTTTCCAAAATTCCATTCCAACTGAAAAAAATTCTTTAGTGAGAAGTACACTAGCTAGTTTTTGTGTTCGGCCAAATTACATTTCGAATGCCCTAGACTGACAAATCCAAATGTACCTTCAATAGTGCAGATATAAATAAATATAGGAGGGAGTGTGAATCTTCTCTAGACAGGCACAACATGCTACATTATAATGCTTTTTCAACCATAGTAATAATATATTACTTTTTGCTATTTGCCTATTTCATGAGTTTTTTTTGTAACTTTGTTTAATGTTCAACTAGCCAATGATGATCAAATCAAATACAAACTTTGTGATTTAATATGCATGGTTTATGACGTTTTTACTCAATTACTGTAATCCTAGCTAATGAAAAACAGATTTCAAAGAATTTCGTATTTTTATATTGAACCAATAACATGACATGGAAACGAGACTGCAGATCTTAGCTCTTAGCCTCTGAACCCCTGAGATGTTATAACTTGAAAATTATGATGGCAGATTGGCAGTATTTAATAAATGTAGTATTACTTACTTTGGTTCCCACATTGTCCTATTTGTAAAGTTATTATTTCTCGTGGCATTGCATATAAAAATAAGAAACGTTTGTCTATAGACTGTTAGACTGACTTCCAGAGACTGTTTTTGAAAGTTCGAAGAATATAAATATGGCGGCAAACCAGTCGTTCCGACATGTTACGAACTTTACACGGCAATTTACGAAATATTAGGCTGCAAAGGTTAGCGGAGCCTAAGGGGAACACTGGAGGGGAAGAACTGGAGAACGTGGAAACCGGGGGGAAAGGCCAGGGGGATGGTTTTCTTGTTCCTGCATTCCCCTGTGCATCTGTTCCCCCGTCCTCATGTGCCTCTGTTCCCCCGTTTCCCATTTCTCCCGCTCTCCAATTCCCCGATTCCCTATTTTAAAGAAAGCCAACTTTGAATACCCTATTCTAAAGATAGATAATCATTTCGCTTCACATATTATTTCACTATATTTGTAAAATTTCATAAACATTAAGTGGGCAAGCAAAAGCGATCCAAACCGGGCTGGCCCGTCTCATATAAACAGGCCAGAAGATAGACCATGAATTTGAGCTAAACTTCAGTATGTTATCGTCATTCGATCGCTAACAATACCTTCTAGGCTTATCAGCTGCTGTGCTCGCTTGTATTTGTAGTTTCAATATGTGGGCTGTGTGACGATCTAATACGAATCGTGAGTTAATTCATGAGATCCCACGGTATATAGATCTCTGTTCAACTTATTTTAGTCTTTAAACACCTGAACGTCTGGATCCGGCTGTTGTGTTTGCACAAATATTCTTATCTATTGTCTCCTACTGAGAATTTTAAATGAACCCATGCACTGGTTATAACAAAAAATGTGAAGTATATATGTATATCAATATGGTAAATCATGTGCACAAACCAAAAATATTGTTTGAAGTCATCATAAACGCATGTGCATGTACAACGATAGTATCATATAGATGATACAATTCTTTCTGGTTGCATGTTAAAACAACGCTCGTTGCATTTCCAACCCATAAAGACGGGAAATATTTGTAAAAATCGGCTTCTAATTCTTATCACAATATTTTATCGGAACAGTTGGATGCTCTAGTTCAATACTTGCAACTGATAGGAAATGGTTTTGATAATTTTCTTATCTATAGCTCTTAAAAACTCAAAGGCGAGAAAGGAGTGTTCGACGTTAAAATATAGATCTGCAAACAATTTCTGTCTGCTTGCATGTCTAGTACTTTTTAATATATCATATACTGAATTATATTGTCTCGCATGAATCATGCACATGCATGAGATTATATCTTGTACTGATGCACTTATTGAACGCTTAAAATGGTTATAGAAGAGTTTCCAGCTAATGATTTTGTTTTAAACAGTAATCATCGTTTTTGTTAGATTTATGTTTATAATATTTATGGAACCCCGTTATTGGAGACATATCTCTGTGTGGTGATTCCAGCCATTGCATGTGTGTAGTTCATTTGTAGTTTATGTGTAGTTCATTCTAACTTTTTAACATGGCAAATTTATAAAATAAAATAAAAAAATAAAATAAAATATTAACTCATTTTCAGGTACTCGAGTAGTTTTCTTCTCGACATCGTATCGAATAATTTTGTTTTCGTGATGACTCAATAGAATCATTCTTTGCTCAACTGTTTTATTTAGTCCAAAGGATCAAAGAAAAAGACTTCATCTAAATGTGCATGTCAAATTAATAGGGTCGCCCTAAGCTATCGGCATGTCACAAGCGAATTATGTTCTTGCACGCCTACACATTTTCAAATTTATATTCTGAAATGAATAGCCATGAATATAGCCCATATGGAAAAATTTTCACTTAAAATTATCAAGCCGTTAATTTTTTCTCAATCAACTATCTATATATAAAGCATCTCTGTGGAGTGCATGCGCTGTTAAAGTTGATATTATAATTACAAAGAATGCATGGAAGAAAGTTTTTGTGTTTAAAGAAAGTAGTAGACCTCTATTCTGATGGAGCCGGATTGCATATACATCATATAATTAATTTAGACGTCTAGCTACCACAATAGTCATAATTATTATCAATCAAAGAAAACTCAAAATTTGTAATAAGTTTATATCGACGTGATTTCTTTATAATTAAGTCTGAAAACTGTTAAATCAAAACTAACGTTTTTAATTACTACCTAAGTGAAGCGAATTATTTAGAACATCCTGGTCATGGCCTATACAAAGAATTCATTCTCATTGAACTCGCTTGCAGTCGCCCTGTACTATCTATAGTGCACTGCAACATGCCTTTTACCAGTCTATTCTGCATGAAAATGAGTTTTAAGATGGGGAAATTTTATGATAGCGTTCGGGCGGCATACTACATTTGCCTTGAAGTTTTTTGTACCTCCCACCTGCATTGGCAAATTACTTTCGATAACACCTGCAAGAAGTAATGATTTTCGGCTTCTGAAAAGGCCAGAGTTTTCAGAGCGTATAAATTGCCAGAGATTTTTATAAATCTTTCACACAATCCATACTACCGCCTGCATTCACTGCTACTGAATCCTGTTTCTCGATCATTTGGAGCATCAACTGGGTAAAATGTAAGTGTGTATCAATTGATATGTCATTAAATCACGATTTAAAGCAACATGAATAATGTTTATTGACATTTTGCATCATGAATGTGCTTACGTTTTTTTCACTTTATATCCGTTCGTGCATGTAAAATCATGCAGACATACCCGTTTTATCGCACCTAATCAAAGATAGTTAGTATAGATAGTAGAAACATGGTCATGGTATCATATAACGTATAGCTAAACAAATATTTGAAATAAACAAATATTTTGTCCTCATGCCTGGACAACCTACGGCGGTTTTTGCAACTGAATTTGTTTTGCATGTCTTTTTTTGGGAAAAAGATGAAAACGACAATTGTAGCAACGGCCCTCTTGCTGGTACTCTGTCTATCGCAAACGATGGCATGGAATGATGGACTCTGGGGGAGAGAATTACGTAAGCGAATGAAACCCAAATTTGATGCTGAAACAATGAAGTTAGCAGAGGAAATTATCAACCAACAGCAGTATCGAGGACAGGGAAGAAAGATGTCAAAGGCACAAAACGACGAGAGAATCGGCGAAGTCGATGAATCGTGATTAGAAGAATTAACTTTGGCGGATAAAAAAACTATAATAATATTAGCTACAGAACGTAAATCGTAAGCCCAATAAATAGCTGTAAAAACGTAGAGTTTGTCAAAATTCACCAGCTGTGAAGATAATGAAAGTTTAACGTAATAAACGAGGCAAGAATATAAATTTCAACGCAATTCATGTGTGTATTGATTGTTTGAAATTGCAGAAACCGCAAACCTTTTGTGTGGAAAAATTGTGTTATCTTTAACACGCGGTATCTATATTTTCAGTTGTGGAAATTGATGTTTAATCGGTATATGCAACTATAAAGAACAATGTATTTCTTTATACTGTCGTAAATTCATTATATCCAAACTCAAGGGATGGGTTGTATAGCTTTTAACTACACTTTGCGACTCAAATCGTAGCTAGTTTTACCCTCTCATCGGCCAATTCTGTTGCTAAGTACAGTTAAAAGTTAACCACCGGTTACCATCCATTTATCCGTTTTTAAGCCCGGCACTCTATCTGGTTTTATTCCTGGATCCTATAAAATTCGGCCTGATCTCAAATTTCTTTACATCTTTGAAAGCATGCATCTGATAAATGCTGGTGTGAAAACGGTGTCGCCTTAAGACAACGTTAACTTGATAACATGGCTTTCTCGGGAAGGTCTTTTTCAACAAGACCTTAAAAACATGATTTGGTCCAAGTTATTCCCATTTGCAATGAGTGACGATTAAAGATAACATAAAAATACACATTACAAGACCCTCTCCCTCTCTACATATAGATATTGCATGTTTATTCTTTTTAGCGACAAAAGTCACAAAACGCAATTCATGCTGATGAAGTCGCTATAAAAGAATTATATTATATAATGCAGAATGTTCTCTTATTTTAAAATATCGCCAGAATCTGCTTATGAGAGTAGATAAATTATATATATAGTTATCTATAACCTGCCAAAATATAACAGAGAAGAGAAGAATAGAGAGGATAAAACTAAAACGAACTTTCTGGAATTAGATAACATTATAGTAATGCAAATTTTATCTATATCAAATTTTTCCCATATTAGGAAGCATGTGAGAGACCTGCTAAAGTCATGTGACTATATATAGAAATCACTGAGTGACGTTGAAGTTTTTAAAAAAAATTTTTTTATAATTTGAAAATATTTTTGTATGAAAATCATAAAATTACCACCGAAAACGACTTTAAATAATGAAATTATGAAAAACATACGAACCAATATATAAAATGCTAGGTATAGGTACGTGTGGTCAACCAACAAATCGGACTTTTCAAATGTATAATTGTCATCGTGGTTTTAGCTAAAGGTTTTAGCTAAAGATGTGGTGTGTCTTAGGAATTGTAAATAATAGTACTGTTTGGAAGTCCCCCGTTCTTACACTACGCTATATTTGCATGAAATATACTCCTTGCTTTCTCGGGAAAGGATAAATCTAAATAAATTTTGCTTTTCGTATATTCTTTGGGTTCTTTTGCATTATCCCATGTAATTAAAATTAAATTGTAAATAATTAAAAGCGGAGACAACAGCTCTAAAACTGAAAGCTAAAGAATCCACTAGAGAATTTTAGATGAAGATAGATATAAAATTTACTTAAATTTCGTTTCAATGAGGCAACCCACAAATTCACAGTTACTGTTGTACGAATAATTCCATCACACGGTGTCTATATCTTTACATCTTTACATGAAAGCTAAGCTAAACTTTACTAGATCACTATATGCATCAAACAAATGACTATAATAAGCATCTCATAATAAATTTTGTCGCTAACATCTGTAACAAAAATTACAACAGTCTAATTAGCATCCAATCCCGGCTCGTGTCGCAAATTTGAGTTGGCGACAAGTAGCTCATGACTATTGGCCATTCCTACTATGACGTTATATATGTTACACGCTGCATTGTATGTGCATGCATGATATGTTGCATGAATCAAGGCATGGAAATCTGTTCTGAAAAGATAAACACGCCCATAAAAATGTTTTTAGGTTAGAAATGATAGAGCTATATA